TAATGTCTTGTATGGATGTCTGTATTTACAAAAATCTGCATGTTTATACACACAAAAAAATTCAAAATTCTTTTTAAAATACTGGGTGTTGCTGAATTGTAGTATGCTTTTCCATTTATGATTAATAAATATCATTTTTACTTAATAACAATATCACCTAACTGCTACCAATTAATATAAAATGTTAAATGGTTTAAAACTTTATAAATTATTATAATTAAAATTTTTCAAAAATTAAAACAATTACTGTAAAAATTTATTATAATTAATTTATTATTAAAATTAAACCTTCAGCTCAACAAAAATTAATTTCTTGAAATTTTATAAAATTAATGCGAGCTAAAAGTTATAAAAAAATATTTTTACCAAGATTTTTCAAAAAAGGAAACGTTTATAAAATAATTTCATTTCATTTCAGTCCTGAAAGTTTTGTTAAAATCTGGCAATTATCTGATTTTGCAAGAAGTTCCAAATCAATGTGTTTTTCCCCACAAAAAGATGAAAAAACAATTTTCCATACAAATTTTTCTTGTTGACACAAGAATAACAAAATTTTTAGCATTGAAGTTTGTATCAGGTTGGTTGGCTGAGGTCACTGATGATATTGGTGGCTGCCTGCCTACTTATGTGCCCACTACCTTAGTGTAACATGCAGGTCTTTTAAGCAGTTGGGGTGGATACATGACTGAATGTTTTTTGTCATGCTTTTGTTTTAGCACTACTGTTTGTGATTGGCTCCTTTTAAATTGTATTTTATATTTATGGTGAGGCTATTTATGGTGAGGGTATTTAGGGTGAGGGTATTTAGGGTGAGGGTATTTAGGGTGAGGGTATTTGTTTTGTGAGTCAGATATGAAACTCAGAGCCTTTGCACAGCAAGCAACTTTTTAATTTTGCATTTATAACATTCACATTTGAGCAACAGGTTTTGATGTGGAGTGAATTAGAAAGAGGTCTAATTTGAAGCAGAAACACATTTCTTTTTTAATTATTCTCCATTTGGTTCAGATCATTTTCTTTCCAGGAAGATTTTTAACATAAATTTGTTCCATATTTTCTGAGTGCTAATGTTTTTGCTTCATTGATAAATATTTGTCAGGTTTGTTGTTGTGCTGGTTGGTGATATGTGATCTTAATTGAGTTATTATAATTTATTCACAAACAAACCTGTCACTAAAACAATAGATGTTATACTTAACAATATTTACAAACATCCAACACTTCCACTCTCCCAAAATAAAATCAAAAACTCTCAAAAACTGCTAGTTGTATTGCAATAATTCCTTTTTAGGACTAATTAGGAAATATATTCACAAATTGGTGACATCGATTTGCGTTCATCTCCAGCACCAAGATTATCAGAATTTTGTGTTAACCCCTTACAAAATGAAATTTGCACAATAAATCCTAAACCAAATATTATGTTAAGCTGTTTATATTCACTAAAAATACAAAGTAAAAAATCTGAAAAAAACTCTTTGAAAATAACTTTGTTCTTAACTTCACGTATGAACTTAACCCCCTCCCTGGCAATTGTTTTCAGAAAAATGTTTTATTTCCAGACAAATATTTTATGTCTTTAATATAGTAACTAAGCACCTTGAAGTACCCAAGCAGTGTCTAACATCTCTACCAGTTAAACAAGTTGACAGTTGGACTTGTTTCAAGCTCAGAAGGGCATAAAAAGACTCAAGATCGTCATATAAACATGCCTGTAGCTGGTTCTTGAACTTTAGGTTTTCAATGTGTCTGAAAAGGACACTTTCGGTAATAAAGTATATACACATCTATGCTGGGGAAGGGGTTAATATCAATAAAAAAAAATCCTCTTTTTAGACATCCTGGTTGATTTAGACATATTAGTTGATTTGAATAATGGTATCTTTAAAACCTAAAAAAAAAGAAAACTACCAACAGTGTATGTCTACACAAGTACAAAATAGCTATCATAAATCTATATAATATATGTGAATGTCAGTGTGCCACTGTGTCATACTTTTTCAACTTTACTCCTAGAGGCTGTAGCCCAATATATATTCCAACATTTTGGAATCAGACCAACTCCGTGAGCAAATTAAGAACATTCCAGACTGGATCCAGACCCGCAATCCTGAAATTTTGGACTCCCAAGTTTTCATTTTTGGGTTCTGACATCTTGGCTTCTACTGATAAAAACAACGGGACACAACTCTCTAACTTTCAATAGCTCATGTTCAAATGAAAAATTACTGTTCTCAAATTACAGTATTTCAAAATAAAATTGTCCGTGTTTTCAACTTTACTCCTAGAGGCCATAGCCCAACATATCATACCATTTTGGAATCAGGTTAACTCTGTGAGCAAATTAAAAACATTCCGAGTTGCATCCAAACTCACAATCCATAAATTTTGGATTCTCAGGTTTTCATGACTGTGATTGTTTTTGGTGATTTTTTTTTTTTTTTAATGTGATTTTTCATGACAAATTTTTTGTACAATAACAATTTTTATAACTTGGAAATAAATTTGGGAATAATTGAAATTAATTGCAAAATTCAATGGAAGTCACCCATGAAATAAAAATAATAGTTTGCATGGAAAGTAAAAACCTATGTACATTAAATCGTTTTTAAATTAAGTGGCAGCAAAAGAATTATTATTTAACTTTTAAAAGGTAAGTTTAAATATTAATGTAATACTTAAATGCAGCGATCAATTTTGAGTTCTTCTGTAGTTTATTGTTGGCCATCGCATCTACTCCTCCCTACCTATTGTAATGAAGTCCCAATCAAGAGCACTCCACAGAAGCTAGCTTAAATGTTGCTCAATGGTAATTTAATAAATTGAACACCTTTAATATAATTTACATGCATAATATTCTATAACATACTAGACTGGCAGCGAGATGTCATCAATTTACAGTTGGCTAAATGTAGCTGTAACTTCTATGTTAACAGTTTCTTATCTTGCACGTCTCACTTGTGGAACTCCCTTCCGACTCCATGCTTTCCACTCAACTTTAATCTGCAAGAATTTAAATGCAATGCCAATCACTATCTACTGTCCTGATGATTACTCTTTCCTCTTCCCACTCATTATTAATGTTTTTGTTCCTAATTCCTCGCCACCCCTGTAACCCCCTTGTGTTTTAGTAACTTTACTGCCTTGCTTGGGGTGATACCAATCAAAAAAAATAATAAACTAAAATATAATTAACAAAAATTTCCTTAATCACATAATTTTCAATTAGAAGAGGTTTTTATTTTGTCTGAAACTGATTAATTAAGAATTTCGAATGTTCTCTTAATATGTCTGCCATAATGTAAATCTGTCTAATTTGTTCATTTTACTAATGCTTAATTTATATGGATTTTTAACACTTTTCTTGACAAACACTACAATATAATCATTGATAAAAATAGCAAAGTTAAAATATTATTTATAATGGTAAAAAATATTAAAAATCAAGGCATTTAAGTTTAAATGTTGTCATGTTTTTAGTATTGAACATATTTGGAATTTGTTTAGCATCAATAATTAGCATTTCTTATCGAGCATATATAAATGGGATATCTGTTAATAAATTCAGTGGATTTATCTGACATTAATGAGCAATTGATCTGTAAACCATTAACTTTTATATATATATATATATATATATGTGTGTGTGTGTGATTAAATACTTTAGACAAGTTTTGTCTATTTATTCTTAACAGGATCCTCTCATATTTATGGACGAGTTTCTTAGTATCCTTATTAAAGGAAGAAAAAAAAATCACCATATTGATGTATATCCATTTTATTCCCGAGTACTTTCAAACTCCTCTGAAAACTCAACTTTGAACTCTGAGAGCATCTGTGGTTTCTCATAATTTATTTTGGGTCTTTGTTAGTCAAATGTATCCTCAGTTATCAAAAGAGCCTAAGACTGATTGTCAAGGTGTTAGCTTTAGTATGAAATGAAAATGTAAATCAGATGAGACCAAAAATAGAGTATTGCTGCCACATCTGGGCTGAAGCTTCTTAATCCTCACATTCCCGCCTTGATGGAGTTCAAAATTGTTTTCATGGTCTTTTGGGTAATCACTCCTTATCCACCCCTGCAACATCCTTCCCACAGATGCAATGTCGCAAGACTATTGCTGATCTGTTACTACTTCTATGGAAAATGTTCAGATGATCCCCCCCCATCCCTAGTCCTCTCAGTTTGGCTCTTAACAGCTGACAATTGCCTTGCCACTTCCACAGAGTTGGATCATCCTCATTTCCTCTGTATTTCAAATGTAAGAATAACAGGCTCCCACATGGTTTCTCAATAATTCTATCTTGACCTCTTCAAGTCAAAGGTCAATCATCATCATCATTCTTCCTAAGCCTTGTGAACTTCATTTCTTACCACCTTCTCTTCTATTCTTATCACACACCTCATTAAGCATTACATTTTTGCTGACTGTAACCCTTTACCTTGAGTGACTCTTGAGCCTTTTCTTGGGTGAACTGTAGTAAAAAGAAAAACGATTTTCACTACTATTGACAGTGTTGCAACAATTACAGAAAATGCTAACTTTAATTTGACAAGGTCTGTTAGATTTAGGATAGATTTGCAAAATGTTTTAAATGCCTACAAAAAAACTGTAGTATAGAAAGGTGAAGCAGTCAAGTATACTTTTGTATTTCAAGCATTTCACGTCAACTCCAACTGCTAATGAACCTCGACCTTTGACATCAAGCAGACATGCAAAAAGATGGCTATTCTGAGGGGTCTGAGAATGCTCAAAAGTTTTGTCCGTAAATGACTAGTAATTGTCTTCTGCTTTCAACCATTTTCACATACAAAATATTTCATAGGAACACGTTACTATTTGATTGCAAGGAAAACCTATGTTGTGATTTTTTTTTCTCTCATTATATAAAAGACCTAAGGAATTAATATTAAAATATTGGTGAAAGAAATAAACTGCTTAAAATCACTATTTTTTTCTTATTGCAGATTTTGTAAATTTCTTGTACGAGGAGACACAATGCCAATTACAAAAGTCCCCGTGGTGAATAAATTTGGAATTATATCTGAAAAGCAACGTTTAGAGATAACGGAGCGTTTGTGCAGAAAGACTTTGATTGACAGCACAGTTATACGTCATTCATTCATCACCCATAAGTAAGTTTCCATTCTTTTTAGGCAACACAAAATCTAATCATCATAACTTTCTTACTTTTACATAATCAGCTTATTTTATTTATTAGGTAGCATTGATAATATTTGATTAAGGTTTTTGTACAACAGTTCTTCAGTTATCATGGGACAATTTCTAGCAAATTGCCCTGTCAGTGGGGCTCAGAATATACTAAGTGAATCCTTTGTAGTGAAGTAAGGCATACGCCACAGAAAGGGATCACCACCCACATTGATCCTTGCAAATTAATGTTTAGCTTTTTTCTTTTCTTTTTTTTAACTAGACATGTGACTAGATTTTTAACACTGTTGCAAACCAGACACGTGACTAGCTTTTTGTCTCCAATGTGAAAAAGGACTAAGTTGTGAATGTATCTATTAATTGCTTGTGATTTTTTTCCTATAAGACTTATATCTAATGTCAAATAACCCAGCAGCTGTTGATATGTCATTAAATTAACCAACATAATCTAAAATCATGTAAAATAACAAATGTTACAGTTGCAACTGATATTCCTCAGTTATCTATATATAAAATTCTATGACTTCCGTTAGCCAGTTCATCCATCCATCACATCCTCAAAAATAGCCATTACATTGACTGATCAAAACCAAATTTTGGGAAGAAGTGTAACTAGGTAAGGGGGTGAAAAGTACAGTTGGTATAACTAGGGTGCATAGCTTAGTACAATGAATTTTCATTAACTTTTTGGAAAAATTAAAAGATTTATTATTTAACATACAAAATACTCTCATTATTTAAAAAAAACTATTAATGATTATTATTAAAAATGCGATATTGTTTTTTGCATGTCATTTCTTTAAGTTTTTATATATATTTAATTCTGGTAAAATATAATTCACAGTAGAGAGAGTAGTGTAAATCTTGTTGATAACTTCAACAATATTAAATACTGTGATGATTTCAATACACTGATGCATGTTGCACCAAAATTTTAGTCGTATAAAATTTCCTAGGCAAAAAGTATTTTCTCAGCAAGAAGAAAAAAACATTTTTATTTTGTTTTAGAAAGTCAATACTTTTTTCTGAAATGAAATTGCTTTTTTTAATATTGTGAATATTTTTACTTTATGTAATTATAGTCTTTATCATTTAAATTCTATTAATATTATTACAAAGAAATGTTTCCATCATTTTAAATTGATCAATAAAATAGATAAAGTTTACTTATGAGGCATTTCATTTTTCAGGACTTCATCAAACTAAACTTATTATGTTATCAGGTGCACATATGAGAGGATTTTAAACATTTTTTTATTAGAATTTCTTTTTTTTATATATCTAGCCAAATTCATTTAGACTCTTTTTCTTTCCATCACATTTGTTAATAGGTATCACACACTGTGATAATAGAAGATCTGCCAAAAATGTTGTAGGAGCCAAGACACAAATTTTTATTGTTTTGAATGTAGTAGTAACAAATTTTATGTTGAGTTTAGATAGATCCTTTTTGATTGTAGATGTGATAGAGTTAGTTGGTAGGATAATATATTTTTTAGATTCACTGGGATTTTTCAGGAGGGGACATTTTTTTTGTTTTGGAGTATGTTATGGGCCTTTTGTTTCATGTTGAATATAAAGTAATTAGGCTACTGGAGAAGTTTGAAAGTGTTTTCAATGTATTTCTCTTCTTCATGTAAATAATGTGGGCTTCATATTCTGAGTGCTCTTAAGTAGAATCAGATGATAATGCTGGATTTTATTTTGTTATGATAAGAATAGGAAGACTTAGTCAATACTAAACAAAACAATAAGCTAAAACCTGAAGGCGAAGTTTATTCCATCACCTGTAACAATTGTCACAAAAATACATAGGAGAAACCTCAAAAAATCTAAATAAAAGATTATACGAAAACGAAAAGGATGTTTTACAAAGCAATATGTCAAATGCATTGGTTGTCCACCGTAACAAGGTTGACCACAATTTTGACATAAAAAATTCTACTTTGATCAAAGGAGAAAACAATTCACCACAACATAAATGTCTAGTGAGTGCCTTGATTGCAAGGTCATCGACAGTAAATTTGCACCCTGGCTCTTACAACATTTCACCATTCCTGGCAGATCTTTTATTATCACAGTGTGGGATACCTACTAATAAATGTGATGGGAAAAAAAACTCTAAATTTTCAAAGCTTTTCCAACCATTTCAGTTGAAAGCTAAAGGGTTAAATTTTCTAATTCCAGAAAAAAAATATTGTGGAGTATTTCAAATAGAAATTTGAATGATTTTTAGTTGATTCTTCCGAAAAACCAATCAAAATGGCCATTTTTAACTTGTTTTAGAGAAATGTAAATAAACTTATTTTTTGGTTTGGAAAATCCCACTAAAATAAGATATACATTTCTGAAATGTTACTTTCATAAAATTAGCAAATTTAAAGTTAAATTAATCTGTTCTGAAACAAAAATCACTTACTTATAGCATAAAATTTTCTAGACAAACATTTCTTGACCTTGGGGTCTGGTTATTTTCACGTCTCCATCAATAATTTGATGGCTGAATGTGTTGACAGGTTTAGTACGGTGCATCAAAAGTTCATAACAGTTTTTTTTGTTTCTTATAATAATTTAAAATACTATAAAAATTTCTAACATTATTGAGTTACCTCTATCTCTTTCATTATTTAATAGCTAAGATAATGATAAATAATTTTATTAATTATTAATATTACATTGTTATTACATTTTTAATTTAATAACTGAGATAATAACTAATAAAATTATTATTATATCAATAATTAAAATATCTCACTGAGTTATTAATTGATAAATGAGATAATTTTATTATCTCAATTTAATTTTTAATTTAATAACTGAGTGAGATAAGACCTTTACATGTCAAGGAGCTTTCCCCAAGAAGACAAGCCTTGAAACACGTGACCTTTATAACATTTTGATGCACAAAAAAAAAAAAGTATTTTTAATTATAGTAAAATGTTTTGGTAGCATTATTTGTATTAGGCTTTTAAATTTCGCTTAGTAAATATAGTCTTCACTTAAAAACTTAATAACCTACCCAACACTCTGCCTGGAAGAATTTTAAAACATTTTTTAAAATTAAAGAAAAATGAAAAAAAAACTAAAAGAAAAATGGAAACAATTTTTGTAAAAATTCTTTATTCATTGAAAAAAACTTTTTTCTTCAGATAATAATGTCCTTAATGTATATTATTTATAAAAGCAAATAAAAGCCTATCTAATTTGATAATTAGATAGTTTATTGCAGTTTTTATTTTACAATTTGGAGCAGATTTTTAAAAAAGTTGGTAGTAGTTGTGAAAAAAAATTGATTATTTAATTTCTTCAAGGAGTCCTGCTTATAAGTAATATAAAATAATTTGTGAACTGTTTGAAATTCTAGAAAATTTCTTAAAATTAATTTAGGGATGGGGAGAGGTAACAGATGTAAAAAAAAAAAATTTTACCAAGATTTTCTAAAAATAAAAATTTCAAAAATAAATTCATTAATTTTTGAATAAGTCCTGAAAGTTTCATTAAAATCAGACAATTATTTGATTTTTGCAAGAATTTCCAAATTAATGGGTTTTCCCCCGAAACTCTTACACTAAAATGGCCATTACCACAAGTATTACAAAGTTAACAATAAAAAATGAGATTTTTTACCTCAATTTAGAACATGTTAGAAAGAAGGAAAAAATTTTTAAAAATATTTAAAAAATACTTTGTTCTTTCCTTTTAATAATAACATAAACATTTTAACAATGACACTTTGTTTTTATTAAGTTTGGGATCTTTTATCATTATGCCATACAGATTTTTTAGTAAATTATTGGAGGTACCTACTCTAAATGAATTCAGCTAGATATAAAAAAGAAAATTCTAAAATCCCCATCATCCCTTGTTCATACATATGTGTAATTGTACCAACATAACAAATTTAGTCTGATTAAGTTCTGAAGGATGAAACACATCACAAGTAAACTTTTCCACTTTGTCATACAATCTCCCCAATATTGTTCTTGATATATATTAAAGGAAAAACTCAATACATCATTAAAGAGTTCAGTAATAATTTATTTCAGACAGACAACTGTCTGGAGTTATATATATATATATATATATATATATATATATAGCTAAAATATAAGCCTAACCTCAAATATATACACTTGTATTACATACTAGCAACAGTAACAGTAAGAAATAGATTAAGTATTGACCATCATAAAGACTGAAAAATAAAATTGATAAAGATTATTGTTTAAGGTTGACGGACACGCATGTCTTAATTAGTTTATTATTTATTTTTTATGAATTGGTCAAACCCAAACTCAAACAAAAACATTGTTTTCAATCGTTATGAGTCTACCGATGGAATAGAATTTTATTATAAACAATTGTCATGTAAATGGAATTTTTAAAGTTTTCTGAATGTAAAAATAAAGAAAAAAGTGTGCAAGACAATAAGAAACACTACATGCCAAAAAAAAAAGTGAAGTTTTTGTTGAAATCGGTTGAAAAATGTAGGAAATCTGATCCCATATATAAACGAACACACACACACACACACGCACACACACACACATACACGCAAACAAACAACCTGGGTTTTATAATGAGTATATAACTCGATATGAGTTGTCCCCTTTCATTCTTCGATGCCTCTTAATCGTGTTTTCAAATTGATTTCAAAAAACAATTGTGTTTTTCCAATTTTGGGCACTTCAGAACCACCGCAAAAGGTAATTTTACGTAGTCCTGTAAAGTTTTGTTGAAATCGGTTGAAAATGTAGGAAACCGCCCAATATATAAACGTACAGACGCCACACACACACACACACACACACACACACAACCTGGGTTTTATAATAAGTATGATGTATATATACACATATATTTAAGTATATAATTGGTATATACGGAATGAATTCCAATAACCAATAATTACTATTCTTAAAAGAGTGCTCAATACAAAGTAGAGCAGATATAATTATTATTTATAAAAAAATTATAACATAAGTATGTTATAAAATCACTACAAAAATAGCTATTTTGTTTCAACACACTCTGTATCTTATCAAGTGATGATGTTGAAAATAAAATAAATGGTTTTAAAAGTTTCAGATTAATTAACGATCCTACACTAGGGGGAAACATTGTTACAAAAGCTAGAATAATTAAAAATTATTGAGAAAAGAAAAAATATATATGTTTATTCAATTCATATATATTTTTTCTTTTCTCAATAATTTTTTAGTTTTTAAACTTAATAGTGATTAGATTTGGATTTTAAAATTGCCAGTTTTTAATTTTAATATTAAATTTTATCATATAATTTTATAATTATTGGTTAGTATAAATTATTTTTAATATTACACGTATTTTAAAGATCTGAATAGCTATTATAACATGATTTCATTGTCAAGCTTTTGAATCTTTCTATACTTGGTTTTTGATTGGTTATTCTAGCTTTTGTAACAATGTTTCCCCCTCGTAGGATCGTTAATTAATCTGAAACTTTTAAAACCATTTATTTTATTTTCAACATCATCACTTGATAAGACACAGAGTGTGTTGAAACAAAATGGCTATTTTTGTAGTGATTTTATAACATACTTATGTTATAATTGTTTTATAAATAATAATTACACATATATTTATATATAGTTATATTATGTATGTATATTTTTGCCATCAGAAATCCTGTAGAAGTGACAGAAGAATTTGTACACCGATACAATGAAGCCAGCAGTGAAACAGAAAGAAAAAAGTATGAGACCTTGGCTCTTAAGATGCTTGCAAGAATTAAGGTAATTATGTTTGTCTGAGAAACTATTCAGGTACAAACTATTTTAATCCAAAACTCAATTCATATTTAAAAATTATAATTTTTGTAAATAAAAAACCCGTCTTCAAATCAAATTTTTCCACCTTTTGCATCTTGTTTTATAAAACAAATATTCATATTTTTTATTCTTCATATATATATATATATATATATATATATATATATATATAAAGGGAAAAGGTTATAGTAGTTCCGAGAGAAAAGTGTGTATATTAAAAAGAAGAGAGAAACTGCAAACGTTTTTGGTTGTAATTTGGATATATTTTAAAAAATAAATTATGCTTTATTTTCCATAATTTTGCTACATGCGTTTCTGGTCTTGTGACCTTCACCAGGCAAAGATTGGCTATTTCCACATATTATTAAAAGGAATTAATTTTTCTTATGTTTTTTAATATTAAATATTTTCAATATTAGACATTCTTTTTTTGTGTTAGTAACCCAAATGTCTTCCTTGAATTGGCAGTGAAAAAGTTTTGTGCGAAGGGTAATAAAATAATTAAGACTGGTCTGAAAATGGGTGAGGAAGATATTTATAATGACCCCTGTGTGTTCTTAGATCTATTTCCATTTTTTTATGTTTTTGTCAGCGCACATATGCATACATATATTCCCTCTACATACATACATACATACATACATACATACTGTCTTATGATAAGGAATTAGTATACATATATGTACACATATACATACACATACACACACATTTTTCACTGCCAATTCAAGGAAGACATTTGGGTCACTAACACACAAAAAGAGAATGTCTAATATCGAGAATATTTAACATCGAAAAACGTAATTAAAATTAATTCCTTTTAATAATATGTGGAAATATCCACTCTTTGCCTGATGAAAGTCATGAACCAGAAACTTGTGTAGCAAAATTATGCAAAATAAAGCATAATATATATTTTTTTAAAAATCCACATTACAACCAAAAATGTTTACGGTTTCTCTCTTCTTTTTAATATATATATATATACAAGGTATTATCTACTCTAATAATAACTTTGGTTCAAATCACTGATTTTTAGTTGTGAAATAAGTAAATAAGTTATCATGAAATTATTCAAAATTAAAAATTGTCCAAATTCAAAATACTGAAATTCTTTACAATCACATTTTTTAACATTTTTTTCAATTTTTATTTTTTAATTCAAATTATATTGAGTTAATTCAACACATTAATTAATGCTTATAAAAGTTCTAAGGCTTTTCTTTTTTAACATCCAATCCAATTTGTTTGTCATTTTTCTTAATTACATGATATTTTCTTTTTTTCATTTGCAAGCCTCTGTAAAAGGGAGAGCTATGGTAGAAAGGTTTATTCCCCCATTTGAATTTCCCTTTTTATGGGCATTATTATATCCATGATATATCAACATCATGCTTCATGGACGAAACAGAATGGCTGAAAGGAAAAAGAATGACAAATATGCTTTGTTTTTAGAGAGACTTTTTTATCACTAATACATACACAAAACTATATATACACATGTCCCATGCAGTGAATAATATATCATGTATGTCTACACAGCAAGGCAGAGTATAAGGAGAAACAAAAAGGAAGAATCTTACATATGATATGGAGATACTCCTGTGTCTGGAGAAGCCTTGTTTAGGACTCCAGATTCAAATGGGCCGGAATCAGCTATGTGCCAGGGGAGGATATATTCCAAAAACCAGAAAACAGCAAGTCTTGGGTTTTCCCAAATTGAAGACTGCGAGCTGGAGTTGCATTCTATATCTAAGAAAGATGTATTCCCAAAGAGAAATGTCACCTTGAACTTGTAAACTGCTGGGGAGGCAGACTTAGCCTCAGCCCAGGCTATGGGGGATCCAGGGTAAAGAAAGCAAACTTTCGCTTTGGCTGCTGTGAAACGAACAGAATTTGACTGCTGCATTCATCACTGTATGGAGTAATGTCATTAAGCGGCCTTCACATGATCCACATGACATCTCCACCACAGGAAGATAAGCACCTTCTGTACACAAACACCTCAGTTATTAAACTTCTGATAGGATTCAAAATTAACTTTAAAACAAAAAGCCAAGAATCAAAAATATTGGTGTTTGAAATGAAAAAAAATAATAATAATAATAAACACATTTTCCTTCAAAAGAAAAGTAAATCCTTTCAATCCAAAGTTTTTTTTATAAAGCTTAAATATGGTATGGGCTATAAAAATTTTCATTTTTTTTTTTTTAATCGCGTTTACTTTGTTTTAGAGATGGAGTGTTTCTTCCACCCGATGAAGATTGCATTCATCACTCACCACATTATCTTTGGAACTTTGTGAAATGTCCTCAAGCAGAACAACCTTTTCTTCACTCATGCAGAATTCATTGTCAATGTCTTCCGGCACATTTGACGCGGATTAAATATCCTTGATATGGCAAGAGGCTCCATCAACCTTGATGGATTGTGGGCAAATGATTCCAGTGATCCTCTCCAATCCAAACTTCAATGTTCACTGGTGTCTTCAGATCATGTCCCACCTCAGGTCCTGATGAAGATACCATATGAATAATCCTTCAGCCAAACCTCATAAGTGTCAATATCTGTTATGATAGGTATTCTCTCTGACAAATGTAGTCTTGTCAAGAGAAGATAACTGCCCAGTAGGTATAGCAATACTGCCTTTTATACACTACCTCATTTACATATCACTATACCTTCCTGAACTTAAGCATCTTTATACCTTTAGCTGATCTTTGACTTCTATCAACAACCCTGGGAGATATCATCAGTCTCTCAGAATGAGACTCTTTATTTCTTTTTATAGGAGATCTATGTCTTAACCAATTCTCCCCATTTGAATCATCATGATATCTCCAGTCACTCTCATCCCCAGATTGTTCCTCACTACTACTGAATACACTGATTCTCTCCTCCCTCTTCTGTTTTTCACTTTCATCTATCTGGTGGTCTTCCTGATCACTCTCATTACGAGATTTATTCATCCTTTCTTGCATTGTCTGTTCTTCTGCTTCCTCTTCCTTTCCCATAACTTCATACTCTCTTGTGGTTCTAAATTGGTCTTCATGAACCAGAATGCCCTATCCCTTCTTTGTCAAAACATCTGTGTTAAATACCTTTTATGTACCACACACTTTCATTTATTGCAAATGACATGGTAATATGAGCTCTTATTTGTCTTTCCATCAATGCAGATAGGCTTTTTCTTCTGCCTGCATGAAGAATAGCCCTATAACTTAAGAGTAGTCTGGGTAAATAATTTCCTATATCACAATCCACTGGAGAGAATGCTTTTAATCCCACTTTACCATTTAAACCATTCTCTCTGCAATTTCATTTGACTGTTGGTGGTAAGGTGGTGTTTTGTACGGCATTCAGCCAATGTTTTAGCCATGCACATAAACCTTCTTCACAAAACTCAGGTGCATTGTCAGAGACCAAGATTTTTGGAACTCCATTTCTCAAAAACACTATCCTCAACACCTGTTTAACAGTAATGGCCTTTTTATCCGTGACTTTGATAACTTCAGGCCAACCTGAACATGAGTTGACTAATATCAGAAATAGTTCTATACCTTTAATGTAGGCATGATCCATATGTACTCATGTCCACGGCTTCATTTCCAAGAATGAATTTTAGTTTAGGTAAATTTCTTTATCTCTGCACACTTTGGGTATTTTTAACATACTCTACCACATATATCTGGCCAACAGGGTTGCAACTTTAGCCTCATTTGTGCAGTCAATAAACCTCCATGCATATCATCATGCACAGATTTAATTACTTCTTTGCTCAGAAACTGCAGATGTACTATGATATCCCCATTATATATAATTCCTTTTCCTATTGTTAATTTGTATTTCACTCTTTATAAGCCTCTTGGCCATAGAACAATTACTCCATGTATTTCTCTTTTTTCTATTCATAATTCTATTCAACACTGGATCCTGCCTAGTTCCCAACCTAAGCCAATTTAAGAGTAATACATCCACTTCTATCCAGTGCCAAATCCTATCCTCACAATTTTCACTTACTTCAACATTTTTACTCTCAAAATTTAACCGAGATAATGCATCCACATGCAGAATAGTATTTCCTTTAATATATACAATGTCAAAGTTGAACGCCATAAGCTTAATCGCCCAGCTTAATATCCTGGCAGATGTGACCTTTGGCAACTCTCTTTTGGGGTTGAATATAAATTCCAAAGGTTTATAATCAGATTTTAAAAGAAATTTCCTTCCCAGAAGAAAATTTCTAGCTCTTTCCATGTTCCATAAAATTGCCAATGCCTCCTCAATATTCAAATAATTTGCCTCCACCAATGTTAATTTTCTCGATAAGTACATTACAGGGTGATCCTCCTGTGACAATATTGCAGTTATAGTTCAGTCACTATATCACAACAGATATCTGTTATAGAAATTGATTAATCCTAAGAATGATTCTAACTCTTTTTTTATTAATGGGTGCAGCTATCTCCAATATTTTATTAATGAGTTTATCATCCAGCAATATGCCATCTTTGCATATTTGGTATCTTAGGTATGAAATTTTTTCACAATTAAACCGAAATTTATTGTAATTGTCATATCCACATTATTTAATTTTTTCAAAACTTGCTCTGTTTTACTTTTGAGCTCTTCTTTACTGCATGCATTAATGCCAATGTATATTTTTAATCACCTCTAAAACATTTTTAGTGGCTTTTTGGAAAATGTAACTTGACAATTTTATTCCAAATGACAGACGAGTCCATCTTATTAATTCAATAGGAGTGTTCATTGTAGTGACTTTTTAAAATTTGCTATCGGTTTTTATCTGATTATATGCTGACTTAAGGTCAACTTTAACAAAGTATTTCATACTAGCAAATTCATGGCACGCTGTTTCAATGTTTGGCAACAAGAATGAATCTGAACAGATCTGGTGATTCATGCTCACCTTATAATCGTTACAATCTCCATTGGGCTTGTGTATCCACACAATGGGTGAAGCCCAATTGCTACCACCTTACCTAACTTTTTCTAATATTCTTTGTTCCACCATTTTGTTCAGCTTAGCAGCCACCAAGTGTAGCATTAAAAACAGGGACTTTTTGGGCTTGAATGTACTGCTTTCTTTAAGCCAAATACTTTCCTCGTATCCCCTTAATAATCCAATATCCAGTTCTATAGACTTCATGGAATTTATCAGCTTTGATGTATCCACTCTTAACACATCAATTCCTAAAAGACTATGGCTTTTGATGTTTTTCATCAGGATGATGAGTATTATTTTGAATCTATTTTTTGTTTCAAATGTGCCTTCAAAGCATCTTAAAATTTTGATGATTGACCCCTCGAAGTGTTTCAACTGGAGATTATTTTTCTTTAACTTTAGTCTACCCATTCTTTCCTAAAAATTCCTCAATATCAACGTAACATCACTTCCAGTATCCACCTGCATGAGTGAAGTTACTCTGTTCAACTTTGTCATTTTCCTACTTTTATCCTGTTCTTTTATCTCAAATACTTCTGTGCTTTCAAATTGGAGGATCTATTTTCCACTTTTTCCACTCACTTTTTATATGTTAATACTGTCTGAAAATGATTCCTCCTTTTACACTTAAAACACCATTTCCCAAAGGCTGGACACTTATTTTTGCTCTTTTCATGTTACTTATTGCAATACCTGCGTGCAATTAAGCTTTTTCTATTCCTTCTCCTCTTGGCAGATTGTGTTATATTGTTGACACAGGAGTAAAAGTCTGTAAAAAATGAAAATATTTTTTTGAAGTACCTAAAATTTTAATAATAGTGGCTTAATCATTGACCCATTGTGTGGTTTTGAGACAAAGACAGGGTTAAACAAAGACAAGAAAGTAATCAACAATGACCCATTGAAGTTTCAACTTGCAGACCTTTGAAAGTTGAAGAAGGTCACAATCATACATTGCTGCACTTGGTACGGGTGACTGACAAAATGGAGGCACAGATAAAGAAAATTGGCACTGATTGCCCAGTGAAATTGTTAAGAAATGAAGCCTCTTAGGAATCCCAAGAATAATCTGGAAAGTGATAAACACTAGTCAGAAGAAAATTGCATGGTACCTAAGACTACTAGTTTTGACCTGTTATCCATGCACTAATTACTTGATACTAAGGTCTTATCTGAGAAAATACTACTGCTACTACTACTACTACTAATAATAATAATAATAGTCATATATAGTCTTAGATGTGTATATAAAATTATCTTTTGAGTGAATGTTCATATAAAATATACTTTTGATAGATCCTAATAAAAAGATTTGATAAAATTATCTGATATAATTAATGTTGATTTCTGAATGAATGTTAGAAATTATTCATCATCTAATAATTGTAAGTTTCTGGTGTTGTCTTTTCATGTTACAGCGTCGAGTTGGACTAAATAGCTTTGGCATCGGCAGACATGTGAACCTTCCTTTTGCATGGGCAGAATTGGCCCAATTAATCGAATGTAAAGGAATCATTCAAGATGGTAAGAAAACTCAAGAATGAAAATCCTTCATGACTCTTATCTTTTTCATTGTCAAGAATTATAAATGTGTTAATTGTCTTTGGATAAAATTAAATAGTAACTTGGTTAACAAAAAGTAGCTTTGTAGGAATATTTGAACTAAACTGATTATTGACAAAAATAGTGATGTCTGTAAAAGGTGACTTCAGTTTATTTTAGTTACTTATGACTTTACAAAAATTAACCTCTGCTGATTTAATGAAGATAGGAATCTTTAGACTCTTTAGTTAGACTTTATTTAAAAACAAAAGATTCACTCAAAACAACAGTTTCTTTTCTCACACTTCTCACTTGTGGAACTCCTTTCCAGCTCTGTTTTCCAGCCAACTTTAACCTGCAAAAATTTAAATGCAATGTCAATCACTATCTACTCTTGATTACTCTTAATTAATATTTCTATTCCTAATTTTTCCTCATCCAGTAACCCCTTGTGTCTTAGTGGCTTTACTGCCTTGCATGAGGTGAAACCAATTTAAGAAAAAATGTAAAAAAAACCTTCCAATAAAATTTCATTGAAAACATGAGTATCATTACTAATTGAGTTATTTATTTTGTATTCATTTCCTGGGCCAGGAAGCGAAAGTGATCGATTCCAGTTTATGAAAAAAAAGAATAGACTGCATCACAAGCATGAATTGACTACAAATAATTAAGTAGTTATAAGAGTTACTAAGTTATAAGATACTAAGAGTTATGTCCCTTAACATAGTCGACGAAATTAAAGTGAAGATTAACTTATATGAGTTATGTCCCCTAGCACTCCATTCTCGTGAATTTGTTTCCAAATGGTAACAGACTATGACACTTGAAAAAGGTCAAAGGGTACAATGACGAAAGCAATCGTAATTATACCAACTAAGATTATTCCAAGTAGATCTTTCTTTAATAAATTACACACTCATTTTAGTAAATATTTTTCACATATAAATAATAAATTCAAATGTTTATCAATTTTCACCTGTTGAATAAACATAGTTAAAATTAAAAAAACAATAAAATAAAAAACATTAAATAATTTAAAATAAACATAGTTAAATAAACAGTTAAAATAAATCATATCTCTGCTGTTCAATAACAAGAAAGAATTTTTTTATTTTTTTTTAATTGGTCAATTTCTCACATTATGAAACGTCATTTTATATTTTCAGGTTGTTTTTGTTTTTTTTGTTTTTTGGTGGGTTGTCTCACAGAAGCAAGCATCTCTAAAAAGATAAAAAAAATTTACTGACTAAAATATATTTAAAACTGAATATTTACAATACAAAGATTTTACAGATTATGTTGCCATATTGAGACTGAGCATTTAATAGCAGTATAGTGAATTGAATGTGTAATAAAATGAAATATTCAATTCAAAATTATTGTTACATATTTCATATTAGTTTTATGCATATACTGAAAGTCTAAAATTACAAATACCAAAAAATAATTCCTTTTCCAATGTCATATTAGGTGAGAAAATATCCCATTAAAGATTATATTTTATTCATCTTTTGTGATTTAATTACATCTTCCTAGAATCAGTTTTCACTTTTTGCAGGATTCTGATTAAGCTTTTCAACTTAGAAGATTATCAAATAATTTCTTTTTTATATTTTAATCATTTCACTCCAAGATGGGCAATAATGCCACTAAGATGCAAGCAGTTAATGGGAATGAAAAAAAAATGAGAATACTTTAAGAAACAGGACCAGGAACTCCATTCTAAACAGAAAACAAAGGATAAACCTTTAGTCCTGTTCAAAAACAGGGAATGAGTGTGAACAGAGTGATAGACAAACTTTGTATTTTTAATATTTTGTGCATGTAAAAAGAATCTATGCCAATCATTAATAACAGTTATTGAAAATAATGAGAAGCATAAAACATTTTTTTATTAATAAAAACATTTCTTCATCATTTTATGAATAAAAATATTTGATCAAACAGTTGGACATCAAAAATTATTTTCTTTCAATATATTTTCAGTATATAATTTTCCATCTTTACTGAATTTGCTTGCATTTTTAATATTTTCTGTTTCAACAAAGAAGAATCCATAAAATAATAGAATAAATTTGTTTTCTTTTTCATTTTGCTTACAATTTAAGGATAAATATTTTCTGATGTTCAAGACATTTTACCATGTTGTTTTATACTTGACCATTAATATTTTCAAGGAATGATTTGATAAAAAAAAAAGACATGAATTGGCTACAAAATCAACACAAGCAAATTGTCTTTTTCTACTTGTTCTTCTTCACCTCAGAATGTCTTAATTGTTTGCTGTTGTCCCTTAAACAAGCACCAATTCATCAGAATCATGTTGCTGCTTTGTTTTATTTAACTGAAACGCTCGTCCTCTTGTTAAGAAGTGAATCACTAAAAGAACCATTCCTACGAAGCACAGAAATCAAAATGCTTAAGGTAATCTCAAAGATTTAAAAAATTTTCTTTTCATCCTTCATGTAAACAAAAAGGTCACCTTCTCCTGTCATTTCACCAAATTTTTCTCTGATTAATTCTAAAACAAGTTTAGGAATTACTTAAATAAATTGTTCCACTTATAAAATGAAAAGGAAATTTTGATGGGGGAATCATTTTTACAGATTAACATTCATTTGAACTTCCTCAGGCTACTTTATTAGAATAAAAAAAATATATTGATTTTTTTTTTTTTTTTTATCGATTTAGAAGAGGGCCCTGTTCATAATATTGATACAGTGTAAAATCAATGCTGACTTTTTACAGAGTTATTAGACTAAGTTGTTATTTACAAAAGTCATGTTTGAAACTGTGCTTACATTATTGATATCTCCATATTTTTTTTTTCTGATTTTCTGAATTTTAAAAAAAAATTTGTATAGGTTGAATTTTTTAGAAGCGCATACACAATCATTGGGGAAGAATAATTATTTATCTTAAATGAAGAATAAACGGACATATACTTTTATTAATTTATATAAATTTTTGTAAAGAGTTAGGGATCCATATTCTCTTGCTTGTGACAAATGTCACACCTTGAGAAAAGTCTAATCAATGCTACTCTAAAAAAATCATTTCCAAAAAAATTTTCCTTTTTTTTTTTAATGAATAGACCAGTCTGCTTAAGTAATGGCCAAGCTTTTATTCACTTGTAGTGACTAGAAAACAATTGTACATTTTTCTTAAATGCATCTGGATACCAAAGTACTTGTACACAGAACAAACTAAAAAAAAAATATTAGACAACCAAGTTAGAGGTATTTTGGCCATGTAATCAGTTTAGTTAGACTAATGTTACAGAATGCAAAGGCCAGGGCCAGAATGGTCAACGATTGGCCAGAGTGACTCATGAGTGGTTCATTCTGACAGTGATGGGTTGCCTTTGTCTGGGGTTTGAATATAAGTCCAAAATGACACAAATTCAACAGAGGGCTGCAAGAATTTTGATGCATTGATATACTTCTCACAACCAGGGGGGGCACTGAGCCAATGTGCAACATTCCTCCCACTACCTCTTAGAATTCAAGCTGCATCTTCCACCCCTCCCTCTTCTAATAAAAACAAATAAAAAAAGAAATCATCATTTTCATTGATACTATTTTATGTAGTAGCATGAGGACTCAGAAATGACAGAACACAACACTAAATGAAAATCATAAATGCAAATTTTAATGCCGTTGGCAGAATTAATGAAGATGTTTTTGGTTCTCTATACATGCAATATAAAGACAAGTTCAAATCTGTGCCTTATTTCTTTTCTTTTTCTTTATTTATTGCTAATTGTTTGCCCTAAGAGTCACTCAATGTAGAGGGTTACTGAATGAGGTTGTTGTATGTATATAAAAGGCGGTGGGTAAGAAGTGCTATATGTGTGGATATGTAGGATAAGATAACAGTTAACTCAAGGTTAATGATTGTAGTGCTCAGGGAAGCATCCTCTCAGGAGTCTCTTTCACAAAGTACAGTTCTTTGGAAGAAGCTTTTCAAATGAAACTTCTTTCTTGTTTTTGGTATCTGAAGAAGGCAATGAAGCTGATACATGAAACAGCCATAACACTACTTGTCATGTTTTACACATTGCAGAAGTTAAATTTCTTCAGCCACATTGCCTGTCCTGGGTATGATGATAAACTACATCTGACAGCAAGGCCTCTGTCTTTGAGGAGCATGGAACTACCTCTTAATTGCTGGTCTTCCCAGGTCCACCATGACCCGGAGTGGTAGCACCTGTTAGGGTCCCAACTATGGGCAAATAGTTAACTCCCAAACTGGAGTCAAAACACTATGAAAGTGTAAAAACAGATTTTAAAACCAGCAATAAATTTTTGAAGGAAGAATTATTACCAGAAATATATTTTTGAAGAAAAAATGTCACCAGATATACATTTTTGAAGAAAAACTATTACCAGCAATACATTTTTGGAAAAAATATTACCAGCAATAAAAATCTTGTTGGCAATAAATAACCCATTGAGGTGTTGATATGCCATGAAACCAACCAAACCAAATGAAACCAGCCATGTTACAGAGGTAAGACTTGTTTCTTGTTTCACTGTAGAAAACATAATTGGTAAGTTGAGTTCAATTCCAGCTGAGATTTTGTTGCATTTCCTTCAAACTAATGAATAATGGGAAAGTTATGAATTAATCTTTTCTTATTCACTGCCAAGTTAATAGGGCAGATGAGATTCTCGAGCCTTCAGGGAACAACAAGAGTAGAACAGTGTATTCAAAACCATGGAGAAGACAACTAGAAATCACTGTCATCTTTCTATTAATAGAACTGCAGTTTCTGTTGTTGATCCCAATCTTAGTTGGAATGTATATTTATTTTGTAAACATTACAAAATTGTGGCACAAGACCGAAGGGAGATTAGAAATCTTAGCTGGAATAATATTTATTCGTACAATAGTACAAAATGTGGCACAGGGCCAAAAAGTGGGGTTGGGGGAAAAGACAGTCTTCTTCTGTCTTAATTCAAATCTTAGCTGGAATGACTGTAAATTTTTTCCCTCTTCCCTTTTATAGGCAGAAGTCCACAAATGCATGCTGGGATATTTTTCTTAGTCAATAAAATAGATCAGTTTACAATTTGATTTGATTCAATCTAGATCTGCCTTGTCTATAAGACAGATCACTGTGTTTGCTTGTCTGATTGCTTTTATGCATAAACACCAATTCGTAGTTTGTAAACTTTTTGCTTTCTTACCTGTAAATTTGCTTTGCATATATTGTTTGCTTGCTTGCTTTGATAGTATTTCATTTTTACCCTTTTTTTTCTTTTTATTTGTTAATTCTGTTTCTTGGACAGTTCTGCTATTTTTTTTGGATTTGACCATGGCTACTCACTCATAAAAAGACTACTCATAAAACTCTGCAACAACTACACTGTGATTGGCCAGAGTTGGTCCAACCCATATATTAATACCAACTCTACAATGGCTCAAAAGAATCTCCACTTGAGGTTGTCTGCTAGATCAGATTTCCAGATCACATCTATTTTATTCAAAGTGGCCCAGGTTTTAGCTATGTGAATTTTCACATCCTTTTCAGTAAATTTATTTTGCTTCCTGGGTATGTAAAAGATTCAACAAATTTTATTGATTCACCCAAGACAGTTTAAAGCCTTGTCTAAGCTTGATGGAACCTACACACAGATACTGAGAGCTATTGTCTCTTGAAGACAACATCCATCTAAATCACAGCTCTAAGGACCTATCCTTGATATTTCTGCAATCTTATGCAAATGCAGAATGCACTTTGCAGGACACTGCTGGCAAACAAAACAAGAACTCACAGAGTGATCTACTGCTATGGAGGCCAAGCCTCAGAGCAAGGCAAGCTGGTTGGCCAGCAACCACCTACATTGGCCAGCTATGTAATGACACAGAATGCTATTCTAATGACCTTCGACCTTGATGCAGAGCCATGATTATTGCCATGATAGACTCATGAATGTCCAAGCTAGCTCAACCAAATAAATAATTTGGTCAAATAGAATTAGTTATTTAATGAGAAATTTGTAAAATTTTAGTTTCTTCTGACATGTAATCAATTCCTGCAATCTGTTTCCTTAAGTCAAACACTCCACTGACCCTCAACACGTGTCTCCTGTTTGCTAGAGCAGTCACCATTCTGCCTGTCACCTTGTTATACACTTTTTATATCCTTATTGACCGCCAAAATTTAAATATGTAAAAAGAGACTCTTGCAAGAGTCTACCTGACTCCAGAGTCTACCTGACTTAAATGTGTGATCCGCTAATCTGCTATTTTCCCTTTTGGCACAATTTACAGGCGAGACATGTCCAAATCCGTTATAACACCATTGCCTGGATTTACAAACTGGCCTATGATAATACCACTTTATAACACTCCTATTTATCTGAACTACAGTTGCTAGGGTTTTATCACTTCTGGCCTTTGCTTCTGGGTGGTTTGGTCGCTACTTCTTTGTTCTGATAGTTGATACAGCAGTTTTCTATCAGTCTTTGCCAGCTCATATGTTTTTTAAATCCCAAGAAAGATGTATCTGAGAAAGTCTTCTAGATCTCTGTAACAAGATGAAATCAACTGTATGACATTATAAATAACTTCTGCCGAGAAATAAATCAATGCTCTTCTTATAAACAATAACAAGTTAGTTTAATTTGATGTTAGCCATATTCACTATTATTAATACTGTGAATATAAGCATTATCTAAACAATGTGGGACGACTGGTTTAGATAAGTTCTTTGCAAATCTGTCTGGCAAATGAAATTAATACTGGAGACAACTACAATTTGTTAAAGTCTCACTTTTGACAACTTCTTTTAACAACTGTTCTTTAACAACTCTTTCTGGTGACTTTTCCTGACAACTGGCTGTTACACAACACTCTAACTTAGTTAACTCCATGAGATCGCTAAAAAAGAGCATAGCATGATGAAAAAGATTCCAAACTTGACAAAAACAAAATTTTATTGTCTAAATGTTCATGTTTTTATTAAGAGGAAAGATGAAAGTATTTTTGAGGAATTTTTTTACATTTTTTAATTGTTCTGAGCACGTCCGAAATTTTCGTTAAAAATCCTGTTTTTTTTTTTTTTTTGAGTCAGGAAAATCGACAGATAATCAATCATGGCATCCATTTTTTTCCATTTTATAAAAAAAATGAAAATCTTACTTTGAAATTCTTTTAAAAATCAATTATCATTTTTTCAAAACTTATTTTAAGAAAATCAGAAATTATAATGTTTATTTAAAATATTTTGAACCAAGGTTAACTTAACTTCTGCGCCGAAAAGATGTAATTTGAAAATAACACAAAGCAGGTCATAACCTTTCACGTCACTTGACAGGTGTTGAATGACGTATTTATGTGATCATAATTTATTCTACGGAAGGCGAAAAGTGAAGTTATTTAGATTTAAATGAACAAATTATTTACCTCGTTATCTTTAAGGAAAACTTTCAGCGCTCTAATTTTTTTTTTTTTTTGTACTTAGCTTTACGTTTACAATGCTTTATGGAAAATATATTATAAACAAATTAAAATAAGACTGTTAAGAGTGAGATTAGATTTCATAAGAAATCTAATTAATTTATAGGTACCTTTCTTATGAAATTTTATCAGAAGTGTACATAAAATACTATAATTTTATGTACATTTATTACATTTTACTGTGTTATTTGTATTTCCATTCATTTTATTATTAATTTTGATATTTCATTTATGGAAAAATGTCATAACTGAGATTAATATAAAAATAAGATCATATAAATTTCATAAGATGATACTGATACTTGTAGGTACCCTTCTCAGTTGAAATTTGAAAAATCAAATTAACTTCTCCACACGTGTTTCACAAAAGTAAAGGCTTTAACAGCAGAGAACAATTCTTAACTTAAATAATGCAACTTAATTGTATTCTGGTTGGTCTTCCGTACTTTATAATTACAGCCCAATTATAAACACAAAATTACATTTCTTAATTACTGCAGATCTTCTAATTAGTCAAAATGATACAATTTACAACATGCTAAAAAAAGATCTATCTCATAAGGACACTTACAAAAGCTGATGCAGTTTTTAACTAATTTTATAATATTTTAACAACTTAAATGTAAAAATCTATTATAATTAAAGAAATAACAAATACAATTGTATTAAAAATTCATTTTTCATTGAAAAAATTTTTTGCTTTCAGAAAATATTGTCCATATTCATAAAAACAACTCAAAGCAAATAAAAGCATTTGAAATTAAATAATATCTTTGTTTTATTGAGTTTTGTATGTTACAATTCAGAGCTGATTTTCAGTTAGGGGGGTGTAATTAAAAATGAAAAAAAGCATGATTTGCATTCCTCAAAGCCTTGTGCTTTTAACTATTGTAATCACTAAACCCGATGCAATCGAATTTCTAGCGTTTTCATAAAATTAGTTATGGAGGGGTTAATAAATATTTAAAAAATATTTCTGCCATGATTTTAATAAAAAAAAAACATATTTATAATAATTTCGATCATCAGTGAATATTTTCTGAAAGTTTCATTAACACCCGACAATTATTTTTATTTTTGCAAGATTTTCCAAATTAATGTGTGTCATACAAAAAAAACCTGCTAAAAATTGTATATGTTATTTTACTAGTTCCAGTGATACAAAGAGAAACAAAGTTTTTTAATCAAAATTTATAATGTTCTGAAAAGAAGGAAAAATTTTTAAAAATAATTAAAAAAAACTTTGGTCTTTCCTCTTAATAATAGCATAAGCATTTAGATGATAAAATTTTGTTTTTGTCAAGTTTGGCATCTTTTTCATCATGCTATGCTATTTTTTTAGCAATCTTGAATAAATATAAGTTCCTACTAAATTTCTACCCCAAGCTATACTTCATCTCATCTGGTCAATTCCAACTATGTGATTCTTTGGAGATGGTCTTATCTCACACTTGGGACATCTAAATTTCAGCAGTCACACACTTTTCACAATTCCCCCATTTCTTCCACACACACACACACACACACACACATACACACACACACTTATCATGTACTGTGATTATGATGATGATGCTGGTGATGTCATCACCTTTGATGATTTTCAACCCTTGATCATGTCAAACATTAGCCAGAATACCTATTGTTTCAAATCATGGTTACCATTTTCTGATTTATCAAGACTTCACAACTGTGAGTTAATATTAAATTATTAATTATTTTTTCTAATCGTGAGAAGTGATATTTTTATTTTAACCCTTTCAAACCATTCAACGTAGTTTTATTATCTTCCAAAATCCACAATATTTATTGGAAAAATAAATTGGAAGTGATCTCAAATGTTTATGGGACAATAATACTGGAAACAATAAAATAAAGGAGCACAATTTGAAAAGTGCATTATTGTGAAATTTATCCTGTTCAGGAACAAACAACAACAAGTCCGATATGACGGTTAACAATGTAAACAAGACAGCAAAGGAAACAAACAACAAATGCTCGATGTTTCTAGAAATAAGAAAGAGAAACTTTATTTATAATATAAACAAAAGTTAGATGTAGACAAAAAAGAATAATACATGAATTGCACTAATAATGTGTTTAAATGCTATAAGAATTTTCCCAGCCATTTAACATCAAAACATATAATAAAGTGATCTTTTGTACTTGCAAGCAAACAAAAAGAATAACTCAGGTATTTTCATCTTAGCTGTTGAATTTTTTATGTTTCAAATAACTACTAAGTCTCTTAATAAAGAGTTTTGAATTTAATTTAACTCCTTAAAATTTCAGCATACTCTGCCAGGTATATAAGAATAGATGTTTTAGACTTACAAAAAACAGCTTTTTTCATGAAGATGAGACCACTCTGTTTTCTGTAGTAGTGAGTTGTCATGGAGACATTGACCTCTCCCTGCAGCAATATATCAGTAAGTTGGATTTGGAAGGGATGTTGACGTCACTCTCCCTTCTGCCTAAAGGCACTCTTCAGGGCTCATTGGCTGCTGCCAAAAAACACTTCCTGAAAGGTGGAAATTCACTCTTTTATGAGCATCTCCAGGTTGTAACTAAACTCAAACGAGTTAAATTTGCATACACGAGAAGACCCTCTATGGACAAAATAAACAGATCAGTTACCGTTTCTTTCCTTTTCCTGCTAATATACAAAAAATTACAAAAAAATACAAAATTAATATTCCTGCTAATATACAAAAAATCAATATTAAAAACATCTATAAAAAATCATTAAGCAAACATCTACTGAGATTTTGACACTTGTATACATTATTTTTTAATTTTTAAATAAATAAAATATTTGCAGCATGTCTACAAAATAAGTGTACATATGAAAATATAACAAAATGTTTATTTTTATTATTTTAATTTTAATCTCCAACATATTCTCCATTCTCATATTGTGACATTAATAACTGATAAAATTGTTCTCTATTGTAGCCTCTCTTTCAATTCTCTATTTTGTGTGACTGTTACAAGAAAGCAGCATAAATTCTTTCCATTTTTGGTTATGTTAATTTATTTGAGTAGATTCTGTGTGAAAACAGACTTCAATATGTTGCAGTTTTGTGACCAATTCATTTAATTGATTGACAGGTTTGCCAGTTGCTTTTCACTCGTCTCTATTTCCATAAAATGGCCAATCATCTTCAAGGCTGCAATGATTTCAAGAATAGGCTCGCTTCTTATATGCAAGGTAAGTGGAACTTGTAAGTTTGTAAACTGTTTTCTTAGAAAATCATTCTACCAGTGGCAAAGGCTAACTTGGATCTAGAGTGTGCAGTCACAAGTATTTTGTCTATCATAATATTTTGTCACTTACTGTTTGTCTGTCAACAACTCTACAAGCTACTTGCTACTTCAACAGTTACATAAGAAAATGAGAGCACTCTCACAAAAAAAGTTGAATTATTGTAAAAGTGAAAATTTATAATTTTGACATAAACATTATATCAAAATTACGAATTTTCATTTTTCCAGTCATCAATCAATGCCATTTTCTGACATCTGTTGTCAAGCAATAAGAAACTTATTTAAACATTTTTAAAGAATTAAAATAATAATGTCCATGTCTCATTAAAATAGAAACTGTTAATTTGATGAATTGTGAAGACCATTAAACCAAAATTGAATTAGTTTGTAGAGTAGCTGACAGACAAACAGTAAGTGGCAAAATATTACGACAGGTTGTATATAAGAAAATATTTGCAACTGCAAGCCCTAGATCCAAGTCACCTTTCGTCACTAAATTCTATATATACAAAATGAAGAAAAAATAATTCTACATATACAAAATGAAGAGAAAAAAGATTAATTTACTCAAGTAATTAATATTAATGGTAATTGCTGTTAGTTAATATGAACATGAATAAAATCCTATTTACACTATTTAAATAATAATTATTGAACTCCCAACTCTTTGGATTACTCAACACTTTTATCCACTGGGCCATAGCATTGGTTGAGTAATCCAAAAAGAGTGAGTTCAATACCTGGCTACAGTAGAGAGAACAAAAAGGACAGCGGAGCTACTACAGGGTATTAACTGAAAGTTAGATATCCAAAAAAGAGAGGCATGTCACATGGAATTAGAACAATCTAACCCCATGGACTAAATAAAGGGTTTGGTTCAAAATTTCAACATATATCACCTGAAGAAGGTCAGAGTGTACAACAGCCAAAATGGCAATAAAGATGAGAACAACAGTTTGAATGACATAACTAGTTACAATGCCTCATCTCAGAAATAGAGACGGATATTGAATAATACCCTGTTGTGTTTTCAACAGTAACGAGAGTTGCATTCAAAAACAGGTTTGAATTAACATCAGTAGGGTGTGATAAAAATTTGACCCAAGATCTGTGCAATCCAAATTTATAGAATAAAAAGATATATTGATTTTTCAGTTGTCAACCCCATAGGCAATTAAATGGCATGAAAAGGTGTCATTTTTTTATGCCTCTTTGTATCTGCTCATAATAATTGTAACCATGTCCTCAAAGAGGCAAAATCTTTGTTTGCTGATAGAATGAAGTACTGTACAGCCTCTAACAAGTTTGGTTCACATGACTGCTGGTGGCTGTGACTAATATCTTAAATAAGAGTAAATCTTCTATTCCTCTTCTCTCTTCACTCAATTTGAGGTGTTAACATCTACTGCTCATAAAGCAGAATGTTTTGTTTGTAAATTCTCTTCAAATTCTTCTCTTGATTCATCTGGAGTATTTTTGCCTGGCTTTCTACTTAGAACTGAGTTTCTATTAGGTCATATGTATTTAACTCCATCAATGATTTCTGCTATCATCTCTAAACTGGATCCCCTCCTCAAAGAATGCAGACTTGATGGTGTATCCCTGCAACAGTCCTTAAGAAATGTGCTCCTGTTCTTTCTAATCTCTACAATAAATTCCTTGCTGCTAATTCCTTCCCTCTTGAAAATCCTCTTCTGTTATTTCACTCTTTAAGAACTCCGATGAACTGTCTAATCTTTCTGTCAGCCTATTAACCTCTAATCAATTCTGAAATGGTCATGCATCTCTCATCGCAGCGTCTTCTTTCAGCTAAACAATATGGCTTTTGCTTCTCAATGTCAGCTGCTGATGCATTAACAATTATTGCTGAAAGAGTCAATCAAGCTTTAGATAAGAATGGTGAAGCTGAGGTTGTTGCTTTTGATATCTCAAAGACAATTGACAGAGTTTGGCATACTGGTCTTCTTCACAAGTTGAAAGGTTATAGGTATTCCTGGATGACTTTTTGAACTGATTTAATCTTTCTTATCAAATCATGAAACAAAAAGTCTACTTGAATGGCCACTCTTTTAGATCTTTATACATTAATTCAGGTGTCCCCATCCCCCAGGGCTCTATCCTTGTACCTATGTCGCTGCTAATTTTCATCAACGACTTTCAACTCGGTATCTATGCCAATAACACAGCTATTTTCTCTTAATAGTAAGTCTGGTCAGTTTGATGATCTCAAAAATGACTTATAATATGTTGTTAACTGGGGCAAGACATGGCTTGTTAATTTTAATGCCTCAAAAACTAAACTGCTCCCTTTTAATCATCTAAGAGAACACTTTTTTCCTTCCATCAGCATGACTGATGCTAATCTCTAAGAGAGTGACTCCTTACATCTTCTCAGGTTAACATTTTCCACTTAATTGATACAGAAAGATTATATTGAATCAATTTCTAGGTTTGCTGTTAGGAAAGTCGGTTCACTATTCTAGACAACTTGTACATAAGTCTACCATTCGTCCATGCATTGAATATTGCTGCCACATCTGGTCTGGTGCTTCTGCTATTTTTTTGAGATTCTAAAGAATCCACAGAAGAATATACAATGTTACTGAACCTGACCAGGCAACTTGGCTTCAGTCACTTTCCCATTGCCGTAACATAGCTTCCCTGTGCATTTTCTATAAATATTTTCATGGTAATTGTTCTGATGAATTTTCCTCTATAGTACTGAATCTTTATGAATTTAAGCACAGTACTAGATTGGCAGCAAGGTTTCATCATTTTACAGTTGAAATGGCTACATGTAACCCTATGTTCTATACTATCAGTTTTTATTTTCTCAGACTTCTTGCTTATAGAACACTCATCTGGCTTCTTGCTTTCTGGTCAACTTTTTATCTTCAAAAGTTTAACTGTAGCATCAGTCGTTTATTTTCTGTCTTTTTAATTCGTATTCTTTTATTGTTTTCTCTCCTCCTTAATATTTTTTTCTCATATTATCTCACACTCAGTTATCTCTTGCATCTTAGTAGCTTTGCTTCGGTTGAAATGTTTAAAAATATGCCTTTTCTTTGTATTATTATTATTACAGCCCTTAGAGAGGGGTGAAATTTAAGAAATGAAAAGACAATATCTGCCAAGGACACATGGCATAGTGGATAAAGGTGTTAGTTAGATCCAGTGACAGAACACAAAGAGTGTGAGTTCAATACCTGGTTAAGGCAGTAGAGAACTTGGAGAGGGGAATTAACAGGAGAAAACTGACAACTGGCATCCATTAGACATGGCACGTGGAACTAGAACAGTCTAACCCAGTGAACAAAATAAAGGGTTCAGGTCAACATTCCAACCACCTGAAGAAGGCTGGAGCATACAACAGCCGAAATGTTGTAATAAATATGATGACAAAAATGAGGACAATAGTCTGAATAATGTAAATTGTGAAAAGACAATGTTTAACAGTATTTCAACAGTATGCTGGTCTTCTTCAAGTTATGTTTAATGACCAAACTCAAAACTCAATTGGGGTTTCCGGCTGTTGTACTCCAGAAAACAGTCACAGAAATGTAAAACCCTGTTTGCAGCATGTCAAGTCAAATCGATTACAATTTTAAAGAGAAACATTACAATTTCTTCAGAAGGTGGTAATTATGCTGATTCTCATTTGATATACACCCCCACCCAATGTAACAAACAAGTTTTGGTTTGTGTGTGTGTTGCACAACTGGAAAATTAAATAAAGGATTTAATGGTCACTGATATGACGTCCGAAACAACAATGTGGCATCAATAAAATTTGCATAACATTTTATCATGAACAACTTCAATTTCAATAAATAACTTAAAGTGCACATTCTGAAAAACTATCCAGAATCTACCGGCCTTTCAGCTCTTAAAACACATGAAGTTAATTATATATGCAAATTACTAACATTCTACTCGGTAATATTAATAATAATTTAAATTAATAGATCATAAAAAATAGTTGTTGCTCCTTATCTAAAACACTGAGAATTCCTTTTGAATCCCTGTATTCCATGTAAATAAACCTTGTCTTTTTACCTAATCTCTGTGTTTCTACACAATCATATTATAAAAGATTTTCTCAGTTTGTAGCAATCAACATTCTTTGCTTAACTATCTGAAACAATTGCTTGTAACAGATTCAAAAAATGTAAATATGATTACAATCAAAGTTGCAATTTTAATGATGGAATTGAACAAACAGGAAAGACATTTTAAATCATCAATTTTGTTTCCTTGAGACATTTGCAAAATAAAAAAAAGTCACAGATACATGAATATTTTGTATTTTGTTAACCAAAGTTGAAATATTTAGCACTGAAATGAAATTTTCAAACTCTTTTTCAATTTAGATCTTGTTTAGCTAATCCATTGGTTTTGTGACATATTTGCCCATTAGGAAAGATGAATAAATTAAGGTAATCCATAGATCTAGTGACATATTTGCTTTGTAGGGGAGATAAGCATATCCAGCTAATCCTTTAGCCACTTTCATTCTGCACTCCTTCTTTATTTTTCAAAAGCAACCAGCATTTTACAATAATTGCTTCACAAGCCATTGGTTGTAATACAAGCCATTACAAAGTGCTCCATAAATAGGTGTGTATGTTTGTGTAGCAAAAATTTCCTTGTGCAATAATTTGCAAAAATTTTAATCTATAAAGTTTAAAAATCTGTTATGAAGTATGATTTCCTTTGTATTCTCTCAGTCCAGCAGTAGTTGTTAATCTCGTGTATCACATCCTACCCCTCCCCTTTCTGCTTGGCCTCTTTTATAGTCTCTATGTCTTAGCTATGTTAATTAGACAGTCATTTACATATCACTACAACATCACTGTCTCTGAAAACTTAAACATCAGAATTTATAGAATTTAATTTATTTACAAGTTGTCATAATGGTCATAGAGTTTGTGGAAAGTTAAGAGGTTGAAAACTCTGTCCTTGTAAAATGTAAAACTATTCAGTTCGTCCACAAAGAAAAATGAAAGGAAAAGAAAGTAGATAAAGTATAAATTCAAACTTTTTCATTTTCCAGAAATTGTTGAGGTGTTTCACAAAAAATTGTTTTTCTTCTTTTTATCATCCAATTTCTTCTCATGAAGACAGCTTTTGTACAACAGGGGACAAATAAAACACAGGAAAAATTTTTAATGACTTTGAAGAAAGAAAATGTATAAATTCACTTTATTATGTTTAGGTTTTAGTAAAATTCTAATCATTGCTTTTTAAAACAATAAACATTGCCAAAGAGTGAAGGTAATTAAAATAATAGTGGTGTCAAAGGAAAAACTGTCCTTTTGACACATGGTATTTGTGCAAGCACAAAGGTTAAGCATTGCCAAACATTGGTTCATGAATTTTGTGACATAGTAACTGTAAGTTCAATCCTTTGTTTAGGTAGGAGAGACTTAGAAAACTCAGTGGAAAACAAGCAATAACTGAGCAGTACTAAAAAGAAGATATTTTGAGATATGGACAGTCGAATGAAAACTATCTACAACAGTGAACTGCCTGTTACAGAATGTGAAGGCCAGGGCCAGAATGGTCAGCAATTGGCTAGGGTGCTTTGTGGGCATTGTATTCTGACAGTGATGGATTGCCTTTGTCTGGGTTTTGGTTATAAGTCCAAATTGGCACAGATTCAGGAGAGGGCTGCAAGAATTTTGAAGTGTCAATACGCTTACCACACCCAAGTTGAAAGACCTACTAAGACCACCTGCAGAAGGATGCTGAGCCAACATTCAACATGTGTTACCATGACATCATTCTTCCCACTGCCTCTTAGAATCGAAGCTGCCATGTCTGCTACCTCTTCTAATAAAAACAAATAAGAAAAAGAAATCATCCTTTTTGTTGATACCATTTTGTGTAGTAGTATGCCAACCCAGAGACAACATAGAATACAACATCAGTGGCTCAATTTGAAATTCCTTGCAGGTTACCCAGATTGACAAGCACCCAAAAAAGGTCATAGAGTGCAGCTGTCAAAATACTATCATGATAACAACAAAGATGAAGATAATAGTCCAAGTGTAAATGATATTAACTCGTCATCCCAGAGATTTTGACAGAAATACATAAAAATCTGTTAAATATTAAAAGAAACTGTTCTGTTATAACCTAGGAAAAGGTTAGTGAATAAGAATAACCAAAATGAAGGTTGGAAATGGAACGGTAATCTTTATAACATTAACAACATATAGCATTCACCAGAGGCATGTAGAAAGTAATCAACTACTAGTGGTGAATTCCCCCCCCCCACCAGACAATATATTCCACTGTATTTATGAGGACTGAAACATACCCAATATGGTCCATAGGTACGGTATAACAGATCTAAAACTCTTTATATAATTTATCTCAACATCACCATTTTCCCACCCACAGTTATCACCAAGATATTTTGTTTTTCATTATCGACTCCGTTGTTGTTTGTATTTTCCAGGTTTGTCCAAATGCCAGTCTCTTTATTCCTTCTACCCAGATGCTCAGTTGGCTTTGAAATTTATGATTCAAGTAACGTCCATTATTCTGGCCAGTACAGACCTGAATGTTGATGAAATCAAAGGAGGACATCTTCCGGCCAGTGTGAATAATGAGAAAAAAGATTTATCTTCAAATTTGATGGTAAATATTATTAAATTCATATCTCTGTTTATTTTTCTTTTTGTTATAGGCATGTTCATTGAGGCTTAGCACATTCAATCCCCTGTGCATGTGGCGGGGGGGGGGGTAGGAGTGTGTGTATTCACATTTTGTAATTCAACATTCAAGAATGAGGAAATAGGATTAAGAGTTTCAAAAGGAAATATTCTCAGATAAGATTTGGAATAATTTGAAACTTTTCCAGAATTGGGTTCAGTGAAAATGTGCTTAAATTGACTTGGAAAAATTAGATTCCAGTCTGAATATCTGGGATGAGGAGTTATCATTATTTACATTCATACTAATATCCTCATCTTTGTTGTTATTATCTTAACATTTCAGTTGTCACTTTATGAATTTGGTGTTATAGTAATTGTGAGTTCAGTCCTTGGGTTAGGCAATACAGACTTAGATTCGGTAGAAACAGGGTGAGCAATAAATGAGCAAAAACAAGACATGATATCCCTAAACATGGATAGATAAATAAGAACGATCACGCCCATAGATTAAATAAAGGTTCAGTTTGAAATTTTCTGAAGGTTACCCTGACTGACAAGCACCTGATGATGTCCAGAGAGCACAACAGCCAAAACATTGTGATAATAACAACAAAGATGAGGATATTAGTCCAGTGTCTTCTTCTGTTGAGTGTAAAATTTATTCAAGAGTTTTTCTCTTTTCTTATTCTTCTCATGGTTGTTTTTAAGGCAGAATTCATTAAATGCTAATTAATTCTAATAAATAAATAGAATAAAGGAGAATTATATTAATTATTGAACTGACAAATTCACAATCTTATATATAAATATTTTTATGTTAAATTATTTTATCTTAATCTTAAATATGAAATTCACAGTTTTATGTTTTTAAAAGCGATTATTAGAATTGTAATAAAATGTAAACACAAGACAAAAATGAATTTATACATTTTTTGTTCTTGAGAATTTGTGACAAAAATATTAAACACTATTTATTTATTAGATTGTTTATTTAAAAGAATAATTTTATATTCACAACATTCTAAAAACTAATACAAAACTAATGCAATGTATTATTTATAAATTTATAAAGAAATGAATCTGAAAACAATTTTTTATTTATAAATTTATGAAAACTATTTTTATTTATAAACTTTTATTAAATTCTTAAAACATGTGAAACAACTATAAGGAAATCCTTATTTACCATTTTATAATGTTTGCTTTCACAATCTTGAACATCAAATTAGTTGATGTTTTACCAATCATTCCAACAATCTCCTAAATAAATAGTGTTCACTATTTTTGTTATTAATTCTCAAGAACAAAAAAATGTATAAATTCTAATGTAAAAGCCGGAAGCTGTGTACTGTCTCTCCGGTGGTCCTGGCCGAAAAAAAAAAAACACCAGATCCTCCTCCGGTGAGCTGAAGGAACCACCACTATTCACCACGTTGTGAATTTTTTGATTCAAACAGCAGTGTCCCGGTCCTTCAGGACAGTCCGATGGTAAAGGATGAAATGGCTGGGTTCTACACTGAAAGGAATCGCTATTCGTGCAGAAAAAGTTCTTGTCATAACTGCAAGGACATAAAGAAAAGAGAAAAAAAAAATAAACACCACTTTCAGTTCCTGTACAAAGAGCTTTTTAAGGCTACTGCTTTTATGTCACTACCAAAGAAATTGCACGAATACAAAGTATCTTAACGAGATTCACTCGTTTTAGGTCGGAAAGTCACAGAGAGAGAAAGACGCGATTAGTCTGATATGAATCCAGCTGATCTAAGGGAGGTAATTTGTGGATCTTCGTCTGTACACAACAATATAGCAGTTTGCTTTCTCGGCTTTGTTGACGAAATTATCTGGATTTGTACAGGTTCTATTTCTATCTCTTGGTTCGGATCGGACTCCTTGACGCATGACAACCAACTGATCAGACCAGCAAGATCCACCAAGCCGTTTCCGCTGCATTCTGCTTAACTCAAGCGTGCAGGCAGTTTATATAGTGTGAGGCAGAGCTAAACAATTTTTAGGCACCACCCATGTATTTTAATATGCAAATCGCCTTGACCACCATGCATTTTCGCCTAATCTCCGAATCTCTGCGGGAGACTATTTCTCAAGTGGTACTGAAAATGAATTTGGATTCCCTGCTGGGTTTTCCGCAGACATCATCTACTTGAGTTTTGCTAAAACCACTTATCTCATCTGAGGACCTTGAGCTGGATTTTGTCTTTCAGACCACCCAAAACTCCAATTCACCATTTATCATAAGCTTTACTTAACGAACCTGTCCATTAATCACTCTGGAATTATTACACCTAATTAACTCAACCCCAGAAACAATTATAAAAAAAACTTATTTCTGGAATTACTCCGGAAACCCTTCTACCCAACTAATTAGTACCTTCATCCCAATCCTTTAGAACTGTTGATTAATAAATCCACCTGAGGGGGGGCGGGTCTCTCTCTATCTATCTCTCTCTGTCACAAAATTCACTTTCATCATATGTTTAGGTTTTATTACAATTCTAATCATTAATCTTTAAAACAATTAATATTGTCGAGGAGCAAAGGTAGTTAAAATCATAGCAGTGTCAAGGAGGGAAAAAAAAACATCCTTTTTTATCTTTCAGGTGAAAATAAGATGGCAGAAAAAACTTAGAAATTGGTTTTGCAAGCAATAAAATAGGTATTTACTAAATTCAGCTTAGTCAGACATTAGTCACCCAGTGAGGAAAGAACTCATTACTCAGTAATGGTCTCTCTAACTAACTTGTTAACCATTACACAATGATAATATAGTGCAGTTAATGGAAGTATTTCTAAATTGAACATCAGAAAACACTATGTCACTTCACAGTTCATCCAATTTCTTTTTTTCAGCCATTGGTTGACATTTGTTTATTTTGTAGCCTTGTCTGTCAAACGGGGAATCCTGTTCAGGTGAAGTCCGTTGTCCTTCAGGTCACAGTTCTTGGATGAGCAGCAGCATCCATGACTTAAGTCCTGCTCTCTGGCACGCCCTGGATGTCTGGAAATCTCAGAACCTAGTAGCAATTTCAAAGATTCCTGACAAAACCAGGTGGCAGCATTCTTTCAGTGAATCACTCGGGTCTTTGATTCAATGCAGCTATTCTCCAGATAATGAAGCTTGGTGAGTAAATCTTTGCGGTTATTTATGATTTTAGAAGCATTTGAATTGGTTGTAGCACTAATGTGTTGAAGATATCTCTATATTTAAAGAGATTTTGAGCGTTAGGGATTTAAAGTTCATAGAAATTAAATCATAAGTAATAATGAACAGTGTCACTTCTTATGCTTGATTCTCTGTCTACAAATATTGTCCAATAATTATTAGCAACCTCACTATTTAGTAATAAAAAAAAATATCCATTGTTATGATAACATAGGGCATGCTCGAAGCCACTTGACCCAAGCAAGTATCATGAATTTTTTAAAATTATAGAATTATAAAAAATAAAAATTTAAGAAATTTTTTAAAAAATTGTAATCTTTTACAATTAAAAGAAAATTTAAATTTGAAAAAAATTTAAACATGCAGAGTGGCCATGGTTAAATGTAAAATAAATGATTGAGAGAATTGTCCAATAAACAGAGTTGACAAAGTTTGCAATAAAAATAACAAGAAAAAAAAGAACAGGTCAAAAAAAAAAATATAAAGCAAGCAAACAATATATGCAAAGGTAAATTAACATTAATAAGGCAACTAGTTCACAGACTAAGAATTGGGATTGACACACAAGAGCAAATTAGAATAAGCCAATGTAGCATTCAGACTTCAAGACAAGACAAACCAGGACCAAGTCAGATGAAACCAAGAACCAGCCTATTTTATTGGCTAGGAAGAAATCCCAGCACGCATTTGTGTGTGCATCTATCTATAAAATTAGCAGGGGAAAGTATTTTGCAGTCATTCCCCATGAGGATTGGAACCAAACAACATTTAAAAATTTTAAAATTAGAATATATTAAATGTTATTATATTATTAAATTTCTTCTTTAAAACACTTATTTCATGGATATTCAAAATATTAGATACCACATTACAATGGATTTTAGAAGTACAGAAAAAACAAGCACATTTTCTCTTTTAAGTTTTCATGGCTACACAGACCAGTAGATGAAATAAATACTGTCTAAAATACACGAGGCATCTACTCAAAGACAGGTATCCACTAAAAATAATATTTGAAGTAATATATATATATGTACATAGGTATGTGTATTTTGTTACCACAGTACAGCACTTCCCTTATTTTATTTTGCCTTTGTTCATCTCCCTTTTAATCTAGATAATTTTTGGACCACTTCCTGTTAGCTCATAGTTATTACTGAAACCAACACGGTAAAATAGACACAGAGTATGCGGTTCCTTCCTTCTCCTGAATCTTAACCCCTAACAATAGCATCACTGTTCTATTGTTTTGCTTCTCGGTACATGTCCATCTACCACACATGCATACCTCAGACAGCCAGATAAACACCTTTTGATTTTCAATAAACCTACTCATGAACAAGACTTTGTCTTCAGAGTTTTGTTTGCCAGAAGGCGTTTATCTGGCTGTCTGAGGTATGCACACATGTAAGATAGACACATACCGGAAAGCAGAACATATATATTGTGTGTATGTGGATGCACATTGTATTTTATATATATATATGAATGCTTCTCTCAACCCATTGCATATCTCTTGAAATGCCAAAAAACATGTCTATTATGAATTTCCAAATTCAATTGTAATTAATCTTTTTTTGTTCCATATTAATTGTGTTTGAATCATTCTTAATTGCTTGATTGAGATGAAATCAAAATGTGGATTGCCTTCAAATGCCACTTAAAAGCTGCTAAGTGTTTTTGCAAGAACAAAATTCTTAAGTACAATTGAATGGCACAACCAAATCAAATACAGTATTTGTTGTTTCTGTGAGGATTTCTGATTTACATTCTTAGCAACCATATTCACATACTCTGAGTCTGTGTTTTATTGTGTTGGTTCTAGTAATAACTATGAGCTAACAGGAAGTAGTCAAAAAATTATCTAGATTAAAAGGGAGATAAACAAGGGCAAAATAAAATAAGGGAAGTGCTGTACTGTGGTAATGCAGCCATCTGTCTCTCTCTCTCTCTCTCTTTCATCTTCTCCCTTCAACACACTTTCTCTCTTTCCAATTCTCTTTCTCCCTGCCACTTGCTATCTGCTGCTTTCTCTCTTTCCAACTCTCTCTCTGCCAGTTTCTCTCTTTCCAATGCTCTCTCTCTGATCCTCTTTCTCCCTGCGGTTCTCTCTCTCTTTCCAATTCTCTTTCCCCTGTCACTCATTCTCTCTTCCTAGACATTAATTTCACTGTTTTTAAAAAACAGACATATCGACTCAAGCACATGAACACACAAAATGAAATTTTTATTGTAATAAGAAATAATGTCAGATTAAAAAGTCAATTAATTATATTATATATATATATATATATATATATATATATATATATATATATATATATATATATACACACACACACACTCACGCACACAGCTGTGGACAGAATTATCCAGCTCCACTGAATATTTGCATATTTTCTAAGGAAATGTGAATATTTGCAAGTACTTATTGGATTCAACATAAATAGTTGATTCCATATTTAGTTTTGAATAATTCATGAAATTTTTAGAAGTTTTGATCTATTATATTTATAGTTATAGATTTTTCTAAAAATTGGTGGAGTCCAAAATTATTCGACCCCCCCCCACACACACACACACTTATGGAAATTATGAAATAATATTGCTCTATGGCAATTGTAATGTTTTTTTCTTAATTTGACATTTAATACAAACACTTTTTGAAAATGAAATAGTATTGATTCCATAACATTCTAAAAGGTAATGAAGAAGACGTGAGTGTCATGTACCGTGATAACTCATTCATTCTGCAATTATGGCAAAGATGGCTGAACTTGACAAGAAGCTATGAATGAAGATAGTTGATGTGTACAAACAAGGTGATGGATATACAACACTTTCCAAGCATTTAAATGTTCCTAAATCAACAATTCGTAGCATTATCAAGAAGTACAACAAGATTTATTGCGTTAAGAACAACTTAAGGACTGGCAGAAAATGGTTAATTTCTGAGAGAATGGAAAAGAAAATTGTTAGAGATTCTGCTCAGGGGATGTTTTGCTGCTTTTGGACTGGAACTAGTGAGATTACAGGGTATCATGAATAAAGAGCAGTATTTGGCTATTCTTAAAAATAATATAAAACAAAGTGCACAAAAGCTGTCTTTGGGACATCAGTTGATGTTCCAACATGATAATGATCAGAAACACATGGTATGACTTGTTACAAAATACTTAGATGACAGCAAAATTAAGTATTGACATACACTGCATAAAGTCCTGAAGTAAAAGAAAGAAATCCTTCAAATTTGGAGGAACTAGAAGCTATTGCCAATGAAGAATGGAGTAAAATACCTAGCAATGTGTGTAGTGATCTTGTAAGGAATTATCAAAAATGATTAAAAGAAATAATCAAGACAAAAGGTTATGCAGTTGATTGTTGGGGGCAAAAGGGCCAATAATTTTGTTCTATGTTAAATGTTTTTCTGGTGTTTTTTGTATTATTGTTTGACATTAAAATAAACATTTTGTTGTGGTTATCACTGCAGATTCTTTCAAATCCATTATTTCATCATTTATGAAAAAATGCACATGAAGCTTCCATGAAAATTCGAGATATTACAGTTTTATTTCTAATTATGTAAGTGAGGTGAATAATTCTGTCTATAACTCTGTGTGTGTATATATATATATATATATATTTATATATATTATATATTTTAAAGCTGGATAGATTGTATTGTGGCAGTGACCATTCTGGCAGAAGCGGCCAAAATGAATCTAACTACATTGAAAGTCTTCCAAAATCTGGCTTGTCATTGCATCAATCGAAACTATCTAACATGTGAGTCACAAGTCAGGCCTCCAAAGCATGCAACAGGTCAGTTCCTATAAAAACAGTGACATCATGCGAGTCTCGTATCTGCTGAATGTCTAAAAGGTCTGTCCGGAATATACTCATCCATTTGGAATATCTCTAGAAGCAGTTGTTCTGCCTTGATAGAACCTGGCAACTAATCTTAAGAGGAGTGGGAGGGGGGATTACTGTGTATCAATGAACAGACACTCTCTCTTGGGGTTACTCAGTCACTAATGAAACACTATTGAATGAGTTTCTGATGTCACATTCATAATGACCAAGTAAATCCCATTGTCAAGATCTGTGAGAAATACAAAAGATTCTTATCGCTTGGATTTATCTTCCCTGTGACTTCTGACTTTTTTTTTGTCCATTGAAATGCCACAGATAAGATTAAGGTCAGTGTGGCTTGGAAAGTGATGGAGATTTCAAAAGAGGATTTTGCAGATATTTTAAAAAGTGAAAGGTGGAAATAATGTGTAAGATTTTAGGGGGACTAAAATGCCATTTCCCAAGGCAGGCTTCATTCTTTTGCTAATCTCAATTGGCTTGATATTTTACGGACAGACTTTGTATATTTTGGTGCCAATACACCATTGTGGGTTAAAACAAAGAAAATTTCTGCTTCTTTTCAAGTAAAAATTGAAATTTATTTTGGGTGTGGATCAGAGAAAAAAAAATGATCTGCTTGAAAAGAAACTCAAAAACCAAGCGAAATAATTTGACCAAAATTCTATTTGGTCAGAGTTCAATTCTTGTTTATATTCTACTTTTTATTGGTTTTAAAGTTTTGTTTACAAAACTTCCATGTTTTATCAAATTAGTAAAATGAAGATGTTCCAAAATTATATCCATTTTATCACTTAATTTATGTAAAAATGATTCTTAATAATTAATTATTTATTATTCCACAAATTCTTTGTTCTGTATCTTTTCTGATCTTAAAGCAACAAAATCATTTTGTGAAAATGATTTGTTTGCTCTGAAAAGGAAATATTTTGTACATTCTTCAGAACTCTCAACTTCATTATTATCTTCATTTTGTCTTCTACCAAAAATGACAAAATTTTGAATCCATTGTCTTTTTTTACTTTCCAAATGTCCAGAGTCTATGGCAGTCCATTAATTCAATTTTAGAATTGTCTTAAATTACTCTACAAATTTTAGATTTAGGAGTTTAAAAAAAAATGTAAATTTTCATGAATGAAGAAAAGGTATTTTTCAATCATTGGGTTGTATAGCCTTGGTTGGCAACCAGTCTATTGCAGAAAGAAATGGCAACCTACTGCATGAAAAAAACCTGCCTAGTCAGTCATGAATCAAAAGAGACATGATCCCCAAACATGTACTTAACTGATAGATGATGGTGACAACAAACCTTTTCCCAAACCACTTGGATTCTGTTCAGTTTTACATGGGGAAAGACCTCAACTATTTAATTTCTTCTTTCTCAATGATATTTTTAAAAAATGCATGAATTTTTATTTTGTCATGTGAAATCTGCAATTCTGAATTGGTTGTTTTTCATTCAACTCTGAATTGACCAATTTTGAATTGACCAAAGATTGCAAGTTTCAAGAAGAGTTTATGTAGTGTAACTGTTAACAATGTGGAACATGGAAATGATGAGCCAAGTTCAAATTCTGGCCTAATTGTCTTCACTTCCAAACAAATGACCTTTGAAAAAACATGAATCCATTTGTTGTTCTTCTAGCTAAGGGTTAAATAGTGGACTAGACTGGAATCTCTCGCCATGGATGGTGACCAATCTCAGAAAAGGAAAACTGAATTTCAAACCATGTAAAAGGCAATGGCAAACCACTTCACTATCTTTCCCAAGAATACATGGCAATTCACTGATGATAAAGGAAAAGGAATGTGTGGAGAGCTATGATCGCCTTGATACTGAAGGGACATGACATTAAAAAGAAAATGAGGAAAGTCTAAGAGAAGGACTACTCTGAATTCAAAACCTTGGAGAAGGCAATGGGAAATCACTTCACTATCTTCTCAAGAATACATGGCAATTCACAATTAATAAAGGGACACAATCAGCAGAGATGAATTATTGCCTGTTTTCTGAAGAAGAATGAAATAGTACAATAGTTTCTATAACATGTGTTTAAATAGCAAGGTAAACATGGCTCTTTAGCCTTTGGTTGTAGCCAGTCTAGGAAGAGAACAGTTCTGTATTGAAAAGCATGGAGAGAACAATGGAAAATCATTCCTCTATCTTTTCCAAGAATTTATAGCAATTCATAGATAATGAAAAGAAGTAGGTGTGTGACACTATTGGAAATTGAAAAACCCTAAATTCCAATAGACTGAAGATATACCAATGATACCAGACGAGAGAAACTCAAAAGTATATTTGTTTTTTTTTATTATTTGAAAAAAAAATAAGAAGAAAGTAATTAAATTTCTCATTCACTGGAAAGTTAAAACAAAGACACCATCTGGTTTCGATTAAAACTGAGGCTACATGACAAACTATTCTAGAGGTCCAACTACCTCCCAGAAAGAAATAGATAATATTTTTATGACCATTGTAAGGGACTGACCCCTGGATGGGAGTTTGGGTCAATAGATAAGTGTTAACTTTTAGCAGTAGACAAGTTTCCAGCAGAAGATATATAAAAGAATGAAATTAAAATTTTCATCAGCTGAAACGCAATGAAACTTCCCCAAATCAAGGGATTGTTCCCTTTTTGCCACTTGTTCCCTAAAGGGTTGATAATGGGTTAAGAATGATTGATTCCAGATACGAAAAAGACCACACACCAAAAGCATGATAAGAAAGAATTTTGAACAATAATTAAAATTTGTTGGTTGGGCTAGTTCCCGCCTAGCCTTTAGGAGATGGGTTTGGAGAGAGAAAGTGGAGACACTGCGGACAGACTACAGACGAGAGACCACCACTTCACCTGATCTCATATGACTTTCTACCCTGAAGAAAAAAAGCTTCCAATTTAAAGCCTTGTTCCAAAGAATTCTAACAACAAACATTGTCACGGTGACCAGGAAGGGTCAAAAGTCATTACATGGAGAATATAGTCTTGCTTAAGCTATCAATAACTGTATCATCAACTTTGTATCAGGTGGCATTTCAGCTAGCTCATGTGGAGGGCTCTTGATTGGGCCTTCAACACAATAGGCAGGGAGGAGTAGATGTGATAGGCAACAATAAACTACAGAAGAAATCAAAATTGATTACTGCATTTAAGTATTGCATTAATATATAAGCTTACCTTTTAAAAGTTCAATGATAATTCTTCTGCCGCCACTTAATTTAAAGACAATTTGATGTACATAGGTCCTTACTCTCCATACAAACAATTATTTTTATTTCATGGGTGACTTTTGCTGGATTTCGCAATTAATTTCAATTATTCCCAAATTTATTTCCAATTTGCTGCAAAAAATCAAAAACAATTACAGTAATGAAAACTTGGGTATCCAAAATTTCAGGGAATGCAGGTCCAGATTTTTCCCAGAATGTTTTTTTATTTGGCTTTATTCCAAAATCGTATGATGTGTTGGGCTACAATCTCTAGGGGTCAATTCAATTGACTTTAACTGTTTTTATCAGTAGAAGCCAACATATTGGAATCTGAAAACAAATGCAGCAATGAAAACTTGGGGATCCCAAATTTCCGGATTGCAGGTCCAGATCCAGCCTGGAATGTTTTTAATTGGCTCACAGAGTCAGCCTGATTCCAAAATGGTATGATATGTTGGGTTATGGCCTCTAGGAGTAAAGTTGAAAAAGTGTGACACACTGACATTTGCATTTATTATATATAGAAGTATATCATGAAAAGAATCGTTAATTCTGTTTTAAATTTTTTATGTGTATGTGTGTCTGGCTTAAACTCCAAAATTACAATATTTAAAGGCGTGTATGTTCAGATTCAACATGTCCCAAGGAATGCTTAAATAAAGAGAAACTTGTTTAATGTTTTTTTTGCTCAAAGTGAAGCTTTTTTATGTTTGAGTTTTTATATAAAATGGGCTTACAGCCATATCTTGAATCACCGGTTCTTAAACAGTCACTGAATTTAAGCAATGTCAGGCATGGTCATTACCTAGATGGGTGGTTGCTTGAGAATACCAGGTGCTGTAAGCTTGGATGTGCAGATGCTGTAATGGATAAAGGCTCAGAATTGAAAATTGAAGAACTATGTTCTAATTCCAGTCATGTTCATTATATTCACTTACATGCAAATACTCTTGAGAAGAGTATGAATCCACCTCTTCTCCCCCACCCCAGCTATGGGTCAATTTGTAGGACTTGTATCAGTAAATCATTATTATGTCCAAAGATTTCTCCCAATCTAAATATATTGCATGGCTTTAAATAACCTGCAAAAAGTTGATAAACCATAAAAAAAACAAATCAATCAATTTGTATAAAGTAGATAAATTATTGATAATAATTGAATAAAATCATCCTTTATTAAATAAAAGTACCAAATATTCTACAAGCCATTCATTCATTAACTTTGTAACTGTTTATTTAAAGAATAAATAGAATTAAATAATGTTGGGTTTAAATTGGAAATGTTAAAATATCAGTGCATGTTTGCTGTTTTCTAATACTATTACATATATTTGACTTTACAATTAATTTTGCTTATATAAAGTATATAAAGAAATAAAATTGTTTATGAAAACCTTCCTTGGAACATACCCCCAATGAGAATCTATCTAGTTTTAAGGCTATGAATATTGTTCTTTTAGAGTTTAAATCAGATACACATACACACACACAATGCATATAGGCAAATGCCCTTTCTCATAGATAACTGCTTCCACTTTGCTCTTCCGTCCTGGGTATGATGATAAACTACATCCACGTCCTGGGTAAGATGATAAACTGCGTCCAACAGCAAGGCCTCTGATCAAGAAGCTTTGAGGAGATTGGAACCACCTCTTAATTGCTGGTGTACCCAGGTCCACCCTGACCTAGGGTGGTAGCACCTGTTAGGGTCCCAGCTATGAGTAAATAGTTAACTCCAAACTGGGGTCAAAACACTATGAAAGTGTAAAAATAGGTTTTAATACCAGAAATTCTTTGTAAAAAATTATTACCAGAAATAAATTTTTGACAAAAAATTCTTACCAGCAATACATTTTTGAAAAAAAAAATTACTAGTAATACATTTTTGAAAAAAAATATTAGATAATCTTGTCAGCATTAAATAACCCATTAAGGTTGATATGCCGTAAAACTAAACAAACCAAGCCAAACCAAACTTTGCTCTTGTATATTTTTAATGGATTAAATAATTTGGGGATTTATGTTAATGACATCTTTTTTTTTCCTCTTGACAGAACATGAATTTCAAAATGATTGGAAAAGCACAGTTTTGGGAACAAACAAACAAAACACGAAACCACTTAAAAGTCAATTAAAGTAAGAAAATTTTTGACTTTTCTTTTATGGGATTTGAGAATTACTCAGTTGGTAGTGCACTAAACTAGAGAAAGATATTATGGATGCAGCACTCAAACAAATAAGTTTTGAAATACTTATACAATAATTATATAAAAGGTAATTCCAGAAAGACTGAATCATGTATATCATATTTTCTGTTGCTATGTCATAGACACTTTTTTTCCTCAAACTTTTAATCCTTCTGTATGTTCTGGAGTTTGAGGGAACACGAACAGGCTGAAATGATTGGTATCCTATTAGCATAAAGACCCCTAAATAAAATGTATATCATATATGACCAAAATACATTAAGACTTTTTCTTTTCAAAGACGTGTCATGTTGATGGCACCTGTATGTACAGTGTCGTTGTTATTCATCCATTTGGAAGATATTCTAAAATAATTAGCAGTTTTATAGTAAATGGTAACTTTAGTATTGATAGAAAACAAATTGATGGATTTGTATAATAGGCACTGTGACAAGAAATAATTTTGTTTTTTTTTAATATTAAGTACTCCAGATTACAAATATAAAAAAAAAATTTTACTAAATTTCATTAATATTAATGTGGACAGGGGGTCTAGTTTGCTATGTAAGTAATCATAAATTGATGAAAAAAAAAAAACCTTGTCAATCTCGTCGTTAAATTTACACCTTTAAATCACCTGCATTCATATTTATGATTGTTATTGAAATATTTTGTTAAATATTTACATTATTTATATTGTTCAAACTGTTGTCCTCATCTTTATTGCCATATTCATAACATTTCGGCTGTTGTATTCTCCAGCCTTCTTTTGTTTTTTTTTTATTCAGCTTCCCCTCCCCCCGTCATATTATTAAAATTATTATTCATGTTCGTCTAAAGCCATTAAAAAGAAATTATCAGGAACTGATATGAAAACTTGCTTTTTGTTTAGTGTTTTAAAACCTGTGACGATTACAGAAGTGCACGGTGGCGAAGATGTAAATGAACAGAAAGCCAGGAAAGCATTTCCTAAAAGAAACACTTTGTCTGTACCAACAGGAAAAACTATAACAAAAACCGAAACACCTTCTCCAACACAAATGTCATCTTTCTCAAACTTCTCATCCGACATAATGGTAAGTTGAAATGTATTCAACAAATTTTACTTAAAACAAAATATTAAGAAAAATAAAATTTAAGAGGAAAATACATCATCATCATCATCATCATCATTATTCTAATGAGCAGTTGTGGCTGTAGGGTCGCTACACTGCTGAACACCTGACCAGCTCCCTCCACATGTCTCAGTTGTGTGCCAAGGTCTGAGTCTCTATGAATGATCTTCCAATACAAGAATATACAAAAATAAAACAAAATACCAGACAAAAGTTTTTGCCTACTTCAAACTGTTGTAAATTTTCAATAATTGCCAATTTAAAATTGCATTCAAATCAAACATTGGTTCAACTAGAGTCATTTTCACAGGTAATTATTATTTTTTATTTTCTTTGATTTCTGGCGTTTACACATTTCTTTCCGGGTCCCGCCCAGGGACCTAAGGTTAGAAATGGCATCATGACACTTTTCACTGACAAAAAAAAAAATTTTATTATTATTATTATTATTATTATTTCCCTTGATTTCTGGGTCCCAATCAGAGACATAAGGTCAGAAATGACTTCATGACATTTTCCTCTGATCATTTTTGTAAAAAAAAAACGAAAACAAAAACAAAAACAAACCCTAAGATCACACACATTTTACATAGATAAAGCTTTTCATAATGTACTAGTGAATACAATTTTAGGTATTTCTTTAAGGCATTGGCTACTAGGAATTCCTTCAGTGAGTCTATCACACACTTTTCCAATCAATCTGAGGGATCCAACTATAACTGGAATTATTGATGTCGTCATGTGCCACATTTTTGAGATTTCCACTTAACCATCATTGTATTTTGATTGTTTTTTTTCTTTTTTTTTTTTAAGAAAGATACATGACAATCTTCAGGGACTGCCATGTCAATAAGAAAGCATATTCTGTTTTTGTGGTCTTTGATCAGGATGTCTGGGCAATTATTATTATTATTATTATTGCTATCAATATTATTATTGTTGTTGTTGTTATAATCATCAACTGTAGCAAGGATTCTGAATGAGAAAAGATGTTAGAGAAACCCCAAAAATGGCTGTACAAAAGTTTCCTACCAGTTGACTTTTGGGGTTTTATCCTTTCCATGATGTTATGAAAAATATTTGCATATAAGCCATTTCCCCACTAATAGGTGAAAACATTTTTCATAATAACACCATTTTTTTCCCCTATATATAGTGAAAAAAATTAACACCAGATTGCTGAATTCTTGCATTAAAATCCTGGGAAAAGTTTCCAAAGATAGTGAAGATGGTCAAGAATATGAGCCAACAAGCAAATCGGTAAGAAAACATGACATTTCAAGAATTATCATTACAGAACTTCTCTAAAAGCTTCAAGGTACTGGTAGTGTTCTGGGTCAACCAAGATGTGGTCATCATTGACAATTGCAACATAGAATTTTACAGAAACTGATCAAGACAGCAAATGCCCAGCCAAAATGAAGTGATGGGTAAATGTGACACATGTCTAATTTGGTGTCAGTAGATACATGCCACTAAGCACATGAACTGAGGAGGAGGGGGGTTATAATCCATTTAAGAGAAAAAAAAGCATGTGAAGGTGAGAGATTACTTTGGTCAAACATGTATAAGCTATGGGATGCAAATGATTAGAAGCAGATCAGATTCAGCAGTAAAACTAGGATGAAGCTGTTTTTTTCTCAATAAAGGAGTTGCTTACAGAAAAATGAAAGAATCCCTGTTAGATGAGAGCAAACAGAAACTGTGAAATTTGGATTTAACACTCTAATGTTTTGGACATAATTAAAAAATGATGGTTCATTAAGTAAAACTGACAGTTTGACAGGTGCCAAATACATGAAGATGCTGAAGAACCATTTGATACCAGATTTGGATGAAGATGAGATTTTGCTACAGATCATATGCAACAGAAAAAATAATAGAGTTGTCACCATACTGAAAGATTGGCCAGCTCAAAGAGCTGATTTAAATATCGCAGCAAATGTAGAAAGAAGAGTTTGTCAAAAGAATCCATGAAATCTTGAAGACTTGGGAGCATTCAGCTGCAGATAATGGTGAATGATTTACATGCATCCTTTACCAGGTGTATTGAAGCCATTATTATTGAAATTAAGAGAAGCTGCATGAAATATTAACACTGTATAGTAACACTTATTGAAATGAACATTATGTAATCATTTTCATTATAGGCAGTTTTCTGTTTTAAAACACTGACTCGATTTATGTGAGCTGGCTGAAAATTTTTACATGGCCATTTTTCAGGGTCATTTCATGTCTTCAATTGTCATTCAGAAACCTTGCTACCAAATATGATGACTAGGAATGAAAATGGCACCAAAATGTCCAATGTATTGTCTGTAGAAAATGTGATACCAAACATCAGCTTATAAACTTGTAATTCTTAGAAATTTACAGGAGTTTTGAAACAGCTGAAGTATTGTCACAAATTAGGCACATGTATATCCATGTTTCTCCTTTTTTCTCCATTTTTTGTACATCCTTCACACATTCACTAATTTGATTTAAAAAAAAAAGCAAATGTCAATATGACTAAATAAACATTCTTTTAAAAATCCATTTGTTTAAAGACTTCATTCAAATTCCTCACTTTTCATGATTTTCAAATCCTTTCCTTCCTCAATGACACAAGCACTTTACTGTTTATAACAAATTTGTTGCAAGTTCACATCTTTTTGGGGGAATGTCCAAGTCTTTCTGCAAATGACTCATTCAATATGTCATAAATTGTTAAGAATTGATTTAAATAACTCTTTCAAAAATAATTATGTTCACACAATTTGTCTCATTAAACTGGACTGATTAATTCTTATAGTTTTTTTTTTTTTAAACGATGCTTTAAGATAGAATCTAACATTCAAAATGTGTGTTTGTTTCAATGTCAGTTCAATGGATAAAAGTTTTTCAAATTTCCAAAACTGAAGAACATCTCAATTCATGCACAAGTGAACTTTCAAAAACATCAAATGCAGATTTTCAAGAATTTTATTATTTTCTGTCTTTTTCATGTGAATCTTCGGAAAAATGAATGTAAAATCCTCCTACCTTTTGTATGGTATCTTGTCATCATTTACTCTGACTTCCCAGGATTTTTTTAACCAAATTATTAATTTTAAATAAATAGTCAAATCCTTCTTTCTGCTCAAAAACCTATCCAGTTAATTTTCATGACCGTTTCTAGAGGCATTTCTGTCCGAATTTCTCAGATGAAGGATTATTATTTACAGTCAGACTAATATCCTCATCTTTGTTGTTATTATCACAATGTTTTGGCTTTCTGGGATGAGGAGTCAGACTAATATCTTCATCTTTGTTGTTATTATCACAATGTTTTGGCTTTCTGGGATGAGGAATTATCATTATTTCCATTATTTACAGTCAGACTAATATCCTCATCTTTGTTGTTATTATCACAATGTTTTGTCTTTCTGGGATGAGGAATTATCATTATTTCCATTATTTACAGTCAGACTAATATCCTCATCTTTGTTGTTATTATCACAATGTTTTGGCTTTCTGGGATGAGGAATTATCATTATTTCTATTATTTACAGTCAGACTAATATCCTCATCTTTGTTGTTATTATCACATTTTGACTTTTAGTAATGTCCCCATCTTTGTTGTTACAATGTTTCCACAAACTTATTGATATTTTAATAGAAATGGTTAAATTTAATGTTTCAAGTAGATCTTTTCAAATTTGAAAGTTAAAAAAATAATATACAACACTCCTGTCTTTGTCACATGACTAAAAAGATTTCCCATTGCATCACACACAAAAAGATTTCCCATTGCATCACACACAAAAAGATTTCCCATTGCATCACACACAAAAAGATTTCCCATTGCATCACACACAAATCCTGACAATCTTTATGTATTTTTAATTATTGACTTCTTTCTATTTGGGCTAAGACAAATTCAATTTTCATCTTTGCAATGTTGTTAATTATAATTAATTATAATTAATTATAAAAGTTCATTACTAAGTGGTGATAATTATGTCTGCCATTATTTTTCAGAAAAATAAACAGTTTTTATTTGTCATTATTTACAAAAGTCTTTTACATTTTTATTTTATTTTTTTCTATGTGCCATGTCCCTTCAGAACATGGCCAATCATGGCTCTCCACGATTTCCTGTCCTTTGTAGATCTTAGTAATTTTGTCTTTTACCATTAGAATAAAAAAATGTTCTCTTTACAATGACATACTAAAAGGGTACCTATTTGTATGGGTGCTCAGAAATTGGTTCCAGCAATTTCCACAGGCATCTTATTTCTTTTGTTAATTATGATGTGTCTTCATTTTCAGGCTTTTAACCCATGTATAACCGTGGAATCAAGTTTTTACCGCTGGCATTGGGAGGTGGCATTTACGTACACCAGTTTATTAGGAGACATTGTTCTTTATGCCAATAATTCTTTGATTCAGAAAAGAGCTTTGCTTGGAACAAACAGAGATATTACAAGCAAATCCTTTTTGGCTGAGCGACACAAATGCCACGAGAAATTCCTCAGCCAAGAGGCCATCAATGATGACAACAGTCTTGGTTGCTATGTTGGACTTTTTGATCTCACATTTTTTCACTCTTCTTCAAATCAGCCTCTTCAAACAGGTTAGCCATTTGCTTTTTCTTGTTTTGCTTTCTTTTTTTTTCTTTTTCTCACTATTTCTTTCTTTATGGAACAAAATGGTTGCATCTATCCTTGAAGAATCATCAACATAACTGAAAAATCTTTTAAATTGTATTAGTCTAATGCATACATTCTTGGCTACCTAATGTGGTAGGGGAATTTTTTCAATATGGTACAAACAGCAGACCTCAGAAAATCATTTAAAGTGTCAAAAAGTGTGAAATTAATAAACGTGGTCATCTTAAAAATGTCAGAGGTGGAAGCCAGAAAGTTTCACCTTCCCCTCCCCTGCCACCCCCCATAACCACCCCCCTCACAGAGTATTGATTTTTGCATCTCCATTTTTATGATTCAGCCTCTTGACTCAAGCAAATCTAAATTGGCCAAAGGTCCTTTTATCCAACGTGGACTCAATTTCAACAAAGGCCAAGACATTGTATTGGGGTTCGTTTACAATCAAATATATGTCTGCCTTGATAGAAATGAGGACGTTTTGTCATGTTAGTTCAAATATTTGGAATGTCAGAACATCTACATTAACTGCTTAAAATAAATCCCTTGCCTTCAGTCAACATTGTATGACTGAGGGTAAGTGATTTTGTTTTAAACAAATCCAGGAATATCAACAAAAGAAATCAAGATTCATTTCACCAAAGGCAAATTGTTATTTTTTTCATAAAAAAATTCTAGAATATTTCATTCAACAATTCTGAAGTCTTTTTTTTTTTTTCATTTTCTTCTGAAGAAAATAATTGGAGTTGGAAAATTCGTTTTGGTGCCATTCAAACATTAATCAGAATCTGTGAAAGTCTATCAAAAGATTCCACCAAAGAAGGACTTCAGACAGCTGCCTGGGGCATCCTGTACCAGGCAAATGCCACAGAACATGACCCACGGGTCCTTGAAGCCTTACGAGTTGGTTATGTAAGTAACATTGCTTTCTCTCTCCCCCTTAAAGAAAAACTTGTTGCAAGTAACCTGCTTTTTTAAGTGAATATGAAAATGACAACAAAAAGCAAAACCGAATTTATTTGGATGAACTGGGAACATGTGCCTGTCGGTCCCTTAGACATTTTTTCACTAATTTGCCCACTTCTGTACCAAAAACTAAATATAACCATTTCTTCAATGACACATGTCTGCCCTGACAAAATGCTTGTGACTCTCCATCTTTCATCTTTCTAACATCCATGTCTGTCTCTGGTTATAACTTGAATATGGTCTGATTATATAAGCCCAATGGCCAGAAATCACAACCTTCCTGCCAAATGTCACTTGATCCTAAAATTTTTGATTTAAACAGTTGACAAATGTTTATTTATGGCAACCCTCTCGAAGTGACAGAATGCAACTACAGCATGCAAAGGGAAAGAATTCTATGGCAATATATTTTGCCTCCCACATGCTAAAGGTTAATTATTTCCTTTTACCTAATTCTAAATAACAGGTGGTCACTTTGAAACTCTCTCACGTTGTCAAAAACACTGGTTACTCCAAGCCCAGATAAATTCATTTACAGACCATTTGATTGTGTAGGGTCCTAACCAATTGAGTGTGTGCACCTATAGTGCCACAGAACAAGTATTGTATGACTTTTTCCTTTTTCTTCATGGTCAAGAGTTTGAAATATAAAGAGAACGATGCCTTTTGAAGTTTTTTGGTTTGATTTTCAGCTTCAAATTCAAGACTGTTAGTGAGAGTCATTAACAAATATGAACAGAACAAGTTTTCAATATTCTGTTGGTTTACAACTCAAAACAACAGCAGTTACTACACTTTGATCATTGCCTGATAAAGAAACAAGTTGGCAATGAATCATGGAATTTCACAACTGAGAGCATTTTTAATAGAAAATAAATGATCTTTTATAATAGAAAATTAAGGATCTTTTATTAAAAAGTTAAAACAAAAGTCAGATGTAGGTATCTTCAGACTGATTTTTACTAAGAAATAGATTTAGCATGAATGATGCTCTATAATTTTAATGTGTGAAAGTAGAACAATTTTTATGCATTATTCATTTTTGACTAGTATTTCTTTCATCTTATTTCTCTTGCTTTTCCACCAATTAGTAAGTCTTAATTTGTCAGAATTTCTTAGATGAAGCCTTGTCAGTTATTATTCATTTTTGACTAGTATTTCTTTCATCTTATTTCTCTTGCTTTTCCGCCAGGTAGTAATTGTCTTAAGTTGTCTGAATTTCTTAGATGAAGCCTTGGCAATTATTATTCATTTTTCACTAGTATTTCTTTCATCTTATTTCTCTTGCTTTTCCACCAGGTAGTAATAGTCTTAATTTGTCTGAATTTCTTAGATGAAGCCTTGGCAATTATTATTCATTTTTCACTAGTATTTCTTTCATCTTATTTCTCTTGCTTTTCCACCAAGTAGTAATAGTCTTAAATTGTCTAAATTTCTTAGATGAAGCCTTGGCAATTATTATTCATTTTTCACTAGTATTTCTTTCATCTTATTTCTCTTGCTTTTCCACCAAGTAGTAATAGTCTTAAGTTGTCTGAATTTCTTAGATGAAGCCTTGGCAATTATTATTCATTTTTCAATAGTATTTCTTTCATCTTATTTCTCTTGCTTTTCCACCAGGTAGTAATTGTCTTAAGTTGTCTGAATTTCTTAGATCTTAGTCCGAGAAGGCCCAATATATTAATCTCCTGGAGGTTAGTATGAGCCATATGGATATAAGGCAAAAAGTTTTCTCTAAGACAATTAAAAGAGTACTTTTTTGTTTTGTTGGCATTTAACAATTGGTGCCCCATTTAGCAACAGACATTTTTTTAGATCAAATACTTTTACCCAAGTTCTTAAAGACGGGAACTACAGGAGCAGATTTCCAAAAATCAGGAAGGCATTTATTGTAGAGTTTAAAGAGAACAGGAGCCAGTTGTGAAGCCCGTTCCTTAAGGACTATAGCAGGGATACCATCATGTGCATATGCTTTGTGTGGATCCAGTTTAGAAATGATAGCAGAAACCATGCAAAGACTTATATAAATGTCACTGAATAGAGATTCAATTCTAAGTGGAAAGTCAGGCAAAGAGGATTTAAGAGTAGAATTGGAAGAGAATTTATGAGCAAAGCATTCTGTTTTATGAGCAGATGTATAGACCTCAAATTGAGTGACAAGAAAAGGGATAGAAAGCTTACTCTTATTTAACATATTACACAGTCACCAGTAGTCACGTGAACTAAACTTGTTAAAAGCTGTACAGTGCCTCATTTTATCAGCAAAGACTTAGCCTCTTTGAGGGCATGTTTACAATTATTTTGAGCAGGCACAAATAGGCGTTTGTTGTAATCATGCTGGTACACTCAAGCTGAACAAGCGGGTATGAACCAGGGAGAAGATTGTTGTTTCACTTGATATTTCTGAAAAGGTTACAAAAGCATCAATGTCAGCTTTAACTTAAGAAGAAACTTCTGTGTAGCACAATTCTCAATAGAAACACTAAGAATATCAATCTGAGGGGCGTCTTGAAGACAGTCACAAGCTGAATTCCAGTCAGTGTGTTTGTAACAGAAAGAACTCTTGTGAATAGGAAGTTGATTTCTAATAGATGACTCCAAACAAATATCAACAGATACTACATTGTGATCCAAATTGCCAAAAGGACAGAGTTATGATGGTCAACAAGAACTAGGAGAGAAGGTAAAGAACAAATCATGTAAAAAAGCATATTGATCAGATTTATTAGGGAAACAAGTAAGGAAATCCAGTATTTGAGTGAGAGATTGAACAACAGAAAAATTCAAAGTCTGAATACTGGCGACATCAATAAGATTAGAATGCTTAAGTCACTTGATGTGATGAGCATTAAAATTACCAAACACAAAAAAAAATAATAGCCAAAAATTAGTCTATAACCCTTTTACTGCTGCCTACACGTGATGGAGTAACTGTGTTTGTTGGTCTGGTTCTCTGAGTGTTAGGACAATGTTTTAACCACAATGCTAATTCTGCATTGGTCAATACTGACATTGGTCCAAGCTGGTTGATGGTTGCTGGCTGCTTTGATCCACACCAACTCTGCCCATGTTGTGTTCTTGATCTCAGAATGGTGGAAAATGAAATGTCATAATAATCGAAGTGCTGGTTCGAGCTGTGGCAGGCACTATATTATAGGAAGAAATAGCTTCACAAGAAAAAATAAAAACAAAAGATTCATTGGATTAAGCTTCACTTGGTTTATATTGCTCTTGGTACAACAAAAATTAACTCTTTCTGCATCAATATCTATAGTGACATGAGGCCTTGTCTAAAATTTTGGGTTCAAAGTTCTTCAGATTCAGGAGATTTGGTGGTAGCTGACGTGGATTCCAGGGGCATTTGATGCAGGATTTACAGCACAAGTCCTCAAGCTCTGAAAGCTATCTGCTTATATGCACTTTGGCCCAAAACTGGCATGGGACTGACGGTCTCTGGGGATTCAGTGATTCCCCAATTTTCACATTAATCCCAACAAGGATTCTTTGTTCTCTATTTCAGCTTACTTAATCAACTTTCCAAATTTGGAGAATTATCCACTTCCTTTGGGAGTAGTTGCAGAAATTGCTCCTTCCTTCAGCTCCAACTTTCTTTACTTTACATCTCATACCATCACTCCATACAGGTGGTACTAAATTCCCCCTCTTCCTCCTTCCCTCTTAGCATTCAATCTCAGCCTACTTCCCAGGGCAGGTATAACTGTCTTTGTGACAAATCACATTTTTAAAGGTTGTAGTTTTATTCTAGTCATTAATTTTAATTCTTTTGATTCCTCAAGGAAGCGATAAAATCAGTTCTCATTTCCAGGACTTATCTCTGTCTAGCAAAAACCTAAACCAGATTAATGACAGAACCTTTTTTTTCAAAACTTCAACCCTCAAAAAGGGTTTGTCCTTTATTAAATTTAAATTTAAATTTCCAAATGAGAGATAAAATTATCTCCCAATTGTGTTTTGTCTGCAAAAACACAACCCAGACCACTGATGACAGGACTTGTTTTCATAACAGCTTTAATCATACATCTGACCCTTTAAGAGAAGTTCATTCTCTTCTGGGCGAGTGATAAAATTATTTCCCAATATTTTTTGTCTGCAAAAACATAATCCAAATCTATCACTCCCCTCCTAATGATATTTGTTTGCTTAATTCTCAAGGAAGAGATTAATTTCTCAGTTTGTTTTACCCACATACCAGATTCTCAATGGATAAAAAAATAAAGTTTTGAGTATACCCTAATTCTCAAGGAAGAGATTAATTTCTCAGTTTGTTTTACCCACATACCAGATTCTCAATGGATAAAAAAATAAAGTTTTGAGTATACCCTATGGGAAAAGAAGACCAGATGTCCTCTTTTCACTTTCACATCAGTAAGGAAAAAGTTTCCACCCTCACTCTCTCTATCTTCCAGCTTATATTTCATTTTCGGCTTAACCCTTTCCTGGCTTTTCCAGCTCATAATTAACATTTAATCACTTCAAGGCCGCAGTGTCACAAGCGATTATTTATAATCCTAAAAGATAAAAGCATTTTAAGACAATAACAACTACAACTACTACTTGATGTAAAAGGAAAGAAAAGATAAAAGAATAGAAAAGTTAAATTCTAAATAATTGAAAGATTTATGGCCACTCAGTTTAAAAACAAATTAAATTAAATGAAAGAAATGTTAAAGAAAAATTTCTAATTAATTGTCAGTGCGTCATCTGTATTATTTATGGCGCCTTTTTTTTCTTCATTTAATTTGTAATCAACTATTTATGACTCTGTGAGTTTATCAATATAGAAATAATGTGCTTGTAAAATCTGCTTTGTTTTCTGGTTTTCTTCTCTTCTTCCACTCAAGTATTTCCCTTACGCTTCTTTCCAGGTGCAATCAAATTTGGAAATGTTCACGAAAACGTTTCATTTTCCTGGCAGTTTGGCGAGTCATATGGCCAATGGCCTGGTGAAGATTTATTTGTGTGTTCCCATTTATAAAGAGCAACCGAAGGAAAAGATTCTCACCCAAGGTGGCGTCGCAAACAAAGACCCTCTGGGAGAGATGCAAAGAAGAAAAAAAGAGAAATGTTTTAAGAAACATCGGACATCACTCAGGTAAATTCTTTTCTCACTTCTTCCAGTAGAGTTTGTTATCCAATGAAAACAATTGCCTACTTTTGTGTGTGTTTGGGCTGAAAAGTTCTTGATCAAATAAACGGGCTTTTCCAAAAAGATTTTGATATTTAGTTAGATCTGAGGATGTGATTGGGAACTTTTCTGTACCACTTTATATATATATGTGGATTGGTTTGATTGATGTGAGTTTGTGACCCTGGGTTTCACGCTTTTGCGATCGTCAGACAAACTGAATAATTTTTTAAAAGTTTGGGTTTATGTACATTGCGTGTATTAGTGTTATTATGGGAGTGGGGGGAATCATCGTCGTGATGTCATCGTGCTAATGCAAACATAGATGCATACACCCGATGAGGTATTTGAACACACATACACACTTGGTCATCCGTCGGGACTCATACATATATAAACATATGTGGACAGTTTCGGATTTGACATATGTATGTATATGGGTGGTGTTGTGTCTATACATATGCATTTGTATGTTGAAATTCAAAGATTGGAAGTCTAGCGAAAATTTCTCATGAATGTATACATGTCAAAAATCAGAGCATTTTTCTATTTTTGCACTGAATATTTCCTCGCATGTATGTATATACGTGTGGTGGGGTCTGTGTAAAATTATGATAGGTAAAAATTATTATTATTTTTATTTTTAATTTTTAAAAAAAGGGGTTTGTTATATTTAAAGCTGGTTATTTGTTTGTTTTTTAATCAGTTTGTCTGACGAACGTAAAAGCGTGAAACTCAGGGTCACAAATTCACATCAATCCAACCAAATATGTTAGCTCTATCTCTGATATTGAGCGCTTTCTAATAATAAGTGCATATAATATATAAATAATTATATATATATATATATATATATATATATTTATATACACACATTTTTCATATATATATATATATATGTGTGTGTGTGTGTGTAATCAGTTTCTAAAGAATAGTGAGTTTAAGCGAAATTCTTCTTGTCATATCCGCTCAGTTTTATAACCAGACATAAACAAACCAATTTCTAAAGTAATGGATTTTTTTTTTATTTAATAATGCGATATATCTTATGACTTTACACATTATTTTTACAGGAATAATGATATTTGAGTAAATGCTCCATTTATTTATTAAACATTATATTTATTTATTTTCATCTAACATTCTAAATATTTGACAAATCTTATTAAAAAAAATTTGTGCTCTCCAGTAGGATTCAAACCTGCATCCACCAGGGCAGGACGCATCATTGCTTAAAGGCACTGTTCAATCCTGCTTGATATGCAAAAGTTCTTCGTGGCTGAGCTGGTATAAGCATGTTAGAACTAATGATGGTTTTCCTTGCTAAGGTGCTGATGTAGGTTCAAAAATAAATGGAGCATCTACTCAAATATGAATAGCCACTAAAAATAATGTTTGAATTGATTTGATATATATATATATCTATATATCATACTTATTATAAAACCCAGGTTGTGTGTGTGTGTCTGTACGTTTATATATTGGATCGGATTTCCTACATATTTCAACCGATTTCAACAAAACTTCACAGGACTACATAAAATTACCTTGCGGGAGTTCTGACTGTGCCAAAAATTGGAAAAACAATTGTTTTTGCACGAAATCAATTTGAAAACACGATTAAGAGGCATCGCTTTCACGGAATGAAAGGGGGACAACTCATATCGAGTTATACTTATTATAAAACACAGGTTGTTTGTGTGTGTGTGTCTGTGTTCATTTATATATGGGATTGGATTTCCTACATTTTTCAACCGATTTCAACAAAACTTCACTTTTTTTTTTTGGCAGGTAGTGTTTCTTATTGTCTTGCACACTTTTTTCTTTATTTTTACATTCAGAATGCTTTAAAAATTCCATTTACAAGACAATTGTTTATAATAAAATTCTATTCAATCAGTAGACTCATAACGATTGTTTGAGTTTGGGTTTGATCAATTCATAAAAAAAAAAAAAAAACTAAACAAAAACAAAAAAAAAAACTAATTAAGACATGCGTGTCCATCAACCTTAAACAATAATCTTTGTCAATTTCATTTTTCAGTCTTTATGATGGTCGATACTTGACCTATATCTTACTGTTATATCCCCGGGCAACGCCGGGCTCTACTGCTAATATATATATATATATATATATATATTGCATATTTTTTGGCAGCAGGTTTTCATTAAAACATGTCTCATTAAATAATTTAGACAAGTTTTGTCTACTTATTTCTAATATAATCTCCAATGAACTAAAAAATGTAAAACAAACTCTTATTAATAATAACTTCTATGTTTTATTAGACATTTTAATATAAAGTAAATAGAATATAATACTTCTTCAAATAATCCTTAACATATTAATCTTTTAGATCACAATCAAATACATTCTAATTATAAACAGGATGAAAATATCTTAAAAAAATAATAAATACTAATATATCCTAGTAAAAAAAAAAAATTATATACTATATGAAATTCATTATATCCAATTTAATCATAATGACTCCTCTCCACCAATTAAGATGTTGCAGAAAAGCAACATTACATATAAATTTAAATGTCCTTTAGGAGATTGTATCTCCAACAGAAAAAATAATATATATGTTGGTCACACCAGAACTGTGTTGTCTCTGAGGTTACATTTTTATTTGAATGATGAATCTAACATCTCTCAACATTTACAACAGGATGCATGTCCACATTTGCAATTTAGAAAAATTCTTGTTGAAAATACATCTATATGTTTTCATGAAAAGAATAAACATAAACTAAAACTTCTCAAATCTATCTATATTAAAAAATTGAATCCAACCCTTAATAAAATTAATTTTGAAAACTGCACAAATTTTTTGAAATGTTTACAGTAGATAGTTTTAAAATATCTAGGTTTTTAACTAATAGTTTTAAGTAGTTTTTTAAAAAATAGATACCATCATAACTTAGTTACCTCCCTTGATGTTACTGCACAAATATGCTTACATCATAAAATTTAAAAATCATACAGTACACAAGTTCAATGTTTTTCACTTCACAAAGAAAAAATGAAATTTTCAAATAAACACAATAAATTTGTCTTAGATAAACAAAACCTGAAGATGACTTTTTGCTAATGTCGAAAGTACTTGGAATAAATTAATATGCATCAATATGGTAAGTTCTTTCTTTTCTTTAATAAGGATACGAAGCTTGTCCATGAATATGAGAGGATCATATTAAAAATAAGTAGACAAAACTTGTCTAAATTATTTAATGAGTTATGTCTTTTATATATATATATATATATATATATATATATATATATATATAGGCCACATATCTTCATTCAAACAGGTTTCATTGAATAATATAGACTTATTTTTATACTGATCCTTTCCTGTTGTCTAATCAGTTTCTTCATGTTTGGATGAAATTCAAGGGGAGGGCGTTGTAGTTTGTTTTGTTTTTTTAACCCAGTGCATACAATCTTTTCTGAGATTATCTTTAGGGGTAAGAATTCCTGAGACAAACTTATTGTAACTGTGATAAACTAAGTTACATATGAAAAATGTTTTAATATATGCACAACATCCAAGCACTTGTTATCAAATGTTTATCTTGTCAATCTTAGCTGTGTAAATTATTTGAAAATGAAAAGAACAGAAAAATTATTTTTCCTACATGGCTGTTCTTGAAATGTTGGTAATAGAATTGTGGATTGATCATAATACAAACCAAAATTTCACAAGAAACCTTCATGGCTCCATCTTTTTCATTTCAATGTTCTGATAACAAATCTTGTAAGAAAATGAAGACGAATCAACTCAAAATGGAAGATTGTCATTAGCAGAAATAAACATTTACTTGCAATGAACTTCCTCTCTGTTGATTTAACAAAACAATTTTTCTTTTTATTTTAAATAGAATTAATTTTGCCCTGACCAAACTGTCATGCATTCTTCTCTGAAGCAGACACTGTAATGCAAAGCATTTTTGTTTGGCATGAACACTTTATTTTTGTATCTCTTTATTAAAGTTGATATTTGAAATGGTAGAACTGCTAAAGGTTTCTTTGAGGCCCTGCTGACCAAAGAGAAGAAAAACAAAAACCATTCAATCATCTGAAATTTCACTTTATTAGATGACCTTGCAATAAATGAAAGGAAAAAATATCTTACAATAGAAAACTTGTGTTTTAAATATTTTACATTCTGTACACTCTGCTCGGCCACTTCTTTCCCCACAGTCACAACATTGCAAGCCCCTCGCTACTCTATTGCTATTTCATTGTCAAAATGTGCTCCATTCTTTAGTTCCACCAGTTCAGACCTTTACAGTCTTTTGGTAGCAATCTGCAGCCTCTTTCTCAAGAAAGCAACATTGCAAGTCTACTGCTACTCTATTTCCATGACAAATGTTTAGATGAACTCCATTCTTTAGTTCCACAAGTTCAGATCTTTACAGCTAGGATACACCATGCTATTTCCTTAGAGTGAAATTACACTAATTTCTCTGTTTTAAATGTAAGAAAATTCCACTGAGACAAGTTTTTTATTTTTTTTATTTGTTTTTTTCAAGACTTGCCAATTTGTGAAAGAGACTCACATGTGGGTGCTTCCCTGGACAATTCAATCTCAACCTCTTCTAGTCAAGTATCAATTAACAGATTTTGTCTTAATTCTTATAATCTTCACTTCCTATCACCTCCTCTTTCAATTATATCACACACCTCATTCATTATTATTATTTTTTTTATACTGTAATCTACTTTGAGTGGCTCTCATGTGTTGCATTCACTGAAATTTATAAAAAGAAAAATAACCTTGATTGTGGTTGAAGCTCAAATCCCAACATTTATTCAATTATTTATGAATACAAAGTATCGAGGCTCAAGAATATAATTTTTAAACTTGACCCAACATGAAGGCTATTTGTTTGAATCTTTTCTGTAAAATTTTTGTTGAAAATCAAGAAAAACTTTTCTTTTTTTTTTTTTTTTTCAGAGAAGAAATCTTGTTTCGATCGACTTGGCATGTGACTCCAATGAATTACAATACAAGGACGACATTTTGTTTGAGACGTCTTATTGAAGACCAGGTAAGACAAAAATGGGTCTGATAGCCTCTTCACTGACGACTTTTATTTTCTCTTTGAAATGGAAATTCTTATATAGATTTCTTTATGATATCTTTTGTAGTAAATTCAGACATGATTTCTTTTCTTTTCATAATGAAACTGAATTGGCATCAAAAATGACAGGAAGTAGCAAAATTACTTTAAAGTTAACTCTTTCTTTAATGCTTTCTAAACAAAGTCTGACACAAGAACTGTCTGAGCACTCAGTCACCTTGCAAGCAGTTAAACAAATTCAAGCCAAACCTTAAAAAAAATTAGACATCTATTTTAATTTCAGTCATGAAATTTTCATTTGAAATCTTTTTGGCAGAGGTAAGAGAAACCAAGAAAACTACGTCCGTACCTGATCGTAAATTATTGACTCTGGGGAAAGAAACTCAAAACTTTTTTGCCAATTACTTTGTCACTAGGAATATAAATTGCTTATTATTGGGGGGCATTGCTATTTTCAAATCTTTCCCTGCTTTCCTAGAATCCAACAGGCATTTCTTTTACTTTTGGTGGGGGTGGGGGATCTGCGTTTAGGGGATTGGAAAGAAAATCAGTGTGCCAAGTATGTTACATTGATTTCCACACTAATGACCTTTAACCCCAGCTATAGGTTAAATACCAAGGCTGAATGGGTTTAGCTTTGGTTAAACCAGTTTTTGAAAAGAACAAATCTGAATTCAAAAGCATGTTGTTGCTCTAGAAACACTCCCCTCCTTCTAATTACCTCCTGCTCCCTCCACAGTACGTATTGTGCCCCTATGACCCTAATGGGACAGATTATGGCCTGTTTTTGGTGCCTTGACGTTCATGACATTTGATATATTTTAAAAACATTTACATAGTTTGAAGTAAATGTATTACAAATTCTTTAAATAAACTAGAATAGCCATCTTTTGTTTTCAATGAAAATTGTCTTCAAGAAATACCACTAGTTTACTATTTATTGCAAACTAAATTGGCACTGATTTCAACACGACTGGAATAAAAATAACAGTTTTTTTATAACCAGCATTATAAGAATAAAACAATGAAAATAAATATGAGTTTGTCGTATTGATATCATTTCAGTTTATGAAACTATTTAAAAGTTATAATATCTAGAAAATTAAAATGATTGCTTTATAAAAGCTTAGGGGTCGTCAGTTGCAGCCTATACTAACTGAAAGGATAATCCGGACATGATTAGGGGGCTCATGATGTGATAAAATTGAATCTTTACTATCCATGAAATCTAAATCTATATTTACCTCAAAGACTGAAATATATTCTCGCTTTAAAATTTTCTCATCTTTTTCTTAATTTTTTGGCAGTGGCGTAAAGACATGATCCAAGAATCGGTAAAAGAAGAGTGTCCCAAAATTAGTGGTTCTCTTGTGGATTGTCCTGACAAACCAGAATCTTTATCCATTGAGCACTGTTTACAGCAAACTTTGAAATGTCAAAATAAAATTGAAGCAAAGATTTTCCAGAGTGAAGAAGATGTGAAAAAACTATTGGAGGAAAAAGAAACAAAAGAAATTTCGCCAGAAAAAGTTGAATCAAAAGAAAAATGTTGAAATTTAAAAAATTTTTAGACTTTAAACATTTCATCACAGGTCAGATTCTTTCCATGTAATATTTTAAGATTTAATTTCATATAAAAATCACCTCTGATTAAATTTGTATTTGATAATGAATTTTGTGTGTGGAAGAAAATGAAAAAGCAGCTGATATTAATGGTTGTTACATACAAAATTATTTTCAGTTTCAATGATTTGGGATTTACATCTTTGTAAACATTTCTCACATTTTTCTTTATTACAAATGAATAAAATCTGATAAAGAATAAAAATATAATTTGCATTAGTTATATATATATATATATATATATATATATATATATATATATATATATAAAAGTACCTGTTGTGAAGATTGCTAGCATCTAGATGTGTCCAATGAAACTTGCTGGTATGTGAATCTATTCAATAGAATTGAATGGAAGGTTGTAGAACTCTCTAGAATGTTCTAATCGCATTGCTATATAAGCAATGCAGGTGGAATGGTTTTGTTGTCTTTTTGCCTCTGTCCTTGCCTGTCATAAACTGTTAGAGAGTCAGTTAATTAACCTATTTGGATTATCGCTGTGCTTTCTCTGTAAGTGAATGAAAAATACATGACAGCACCCCCATATAAAAAGCAATACCTAAGATTTAAAATGCATTTTAAAAATGAAAAATCTTTCTTGAAGCTTTTATTTTAGTTTTAATTTTAAGTAAATTTAATATTTCTAATAAGCAAAATACAATGCTGTATTTCAAAACGAATTTAAATTGATTGGAATGATTTTTTTTTCTTTTCTTTTTTGATCATCAGTAAAAATCACTAAATTCGTCTATAGTGTCAAATTTGTACAATTTATTAAGAAAAATAAAATATACTTTTCTGAAACTTTGTCAGATGAAGATTAACTGATTTAAAAACAAATATTACTTTGAAATATTATAGAAAAGCATTTTTTTTTTTATTTTTTAGATGTTGACATATCTATCAATAACCTGATGCTCAAGATTTATGTAAGGTTGAAATAATTGTAGTAAAATTACATGACAAATACAACATAAACCCTTTTTTTTAGATAACTTTTTAACAACCTAGTAATCTTAAAAATCTTAAATATTTTTAGCATTGTAATATTTTATTAAATTTTAGGTCCTTTGGCTTTTATTGTCTTACTTCTGAAGATTCTTGTTGAGGAAATGTTAGAAAATTAGCAATAAATTTAAAATTTACTCTAGTTTCTGGTCTTGTTATTTGATAATATCTATAAATATAGACTTCTATATTTATAAAACCAAAAGGACAGGATCCACAGAAAAATTACAAACTGCTGTCACTGAGAATAAACTGTTGTTCTGTTATCTTTAAAAAAAAAAAAGAAAAAGATTTTTAATAAGGAATCCTGTATCATCAGGAATCTGCTTTCTCACTAGACATAAGAAGAAGGAAATTACTGGAAAGTAATTGAAACTCACCTGAAGCAAGCTGAATGTGTAATGCTCCTCATGCCAATGACACTTCCACCGAGCTTCACTACGGCATATGACTTCACTAAATTTTGATGTGTTCCTCTCGAATTTATATTTAAACTGGGGTCATCAGGAGAGAATGTGCACCGTTTCGGGGCCTTCCTCTCAACGGTTTCAGTTGCACACCGCTCCACTCCCTCACTGATGTGAGGCCCCATTATAACGATATACAAGTGTTGTAGATAAACTAGTTCAAACGTGTAACGGTGAAATTAAATTTACGAAAATTCCGAAAAACGGCAAACCTCGCGTTCTGAGAATGCAACGTGAACCTCATTACGCATTCACGATCAGTCATGTCATGCCGTCATGTTCGCTGAAACACTCCACGGAGTATTTCATTTTTTCCATATCCACATAGAACTATTTTCTGTTACTTCTATTAGGCGTTTTATACTCTTGGCCCTATTATGCCCTTTGATTCCAATTTGGCCCAGAAATTGGTACAGAGTGCCTGAAACGAAACCCCTTGCTCCAATTTCCACTGCTCTAACAATTGCATTATACCCCTCCTTTATTAGCTCTGACTTTAGATTTTCATATTTATTAGTTTTATAATCGTGGCTTTGTTCCATCCGGCATTCATATGGTACTGTTAATTCAACCAGGATGATTTTATGGTTCACCCTTGACAGAAGAACAATATCTGGTCGCAGACCTTTACTTGATATTATTTTGGGGTAATCATTACGCCAACCAGGAAGGTCTGCAGATACCTCCCAGATGCCACCAGAACTAAGGAGATTTTTTCCAGGTATAGCTTGACATTTGCTTGTTTGCTTAGAACCGACATATCTTTTTCCTTCTGCAGCAAATTCCTGGGCTGAATTAGATGACTCAGACTTCATATATTTCTTTATAATTTTGACCAGCTCATCCAAAACACTTGTGCCTCCATGTATATCTGCCATTGACAAGGGCTGTTTTACAAGAACTAAGAACATGTTCTAATGTTTGCGACTTTTCCTTACACAGGGGACAAGTGGGATCACTCTCTTTCTTCCATTTAACAAGATTGTTCTTAGATGGTAGCAGGTCATATGTGGAACGTATTAAATAGCTCAACCTAAGTGGAGCCATCTGCCAAATGTCCTTCCACGTAATAGATTTCTGAAGAGCCTCCTCCCAGTTTGTCCATTGGCCTTGTTGGGATTGTTGTACTCCTTTTACGAGTCTTTTTTTATCTTCTTCTTTCATCACATTTTGGATGACCATGTCACGGCGATCTTTACCAGAAGTTTTCGACCACCATTGCCTTTCATTTAGTCCTAACCCTTGTTTCCCTGCTTGAGTGTATCCAATGACTTCATTGAAAGCTAGATTGTCTTTAGCACTTGTTATCGTCTCTCTGACCTTCCACTTTCTCCCTGTTTTTAATGTAGGCTTTAAAGCTTTTATTGCTTTATCCTTGGAGTCATCCAAAATCATTTGAAGTCTAATTTTTCCGGATTTATACTCTTCCACAATCGATTTAAATGGTAACTTTAGTTTTGCTTGTCTGCAGTACAATGCAATATCAGACAAACCTGGAGGCAAACCCAACCATTTTCGGATATATTTGTTTATTTTCCTTTCCATTGACTCAATTGTACTCATTCCAAATTCGTACACAAGTATGGGCCATAGTAGCTTTGGAATGAGCACATGCTCTAAGCACCATACCTTGTATTTTCCTTTTAGAGGACAAAGATCTATCTTATGGAGATCTTCTTGTAATGACCTGGATGTTTCTTTTACTTGGTTGGTATCTTTTAAGGATTGATCGTACCACCAACCTAAACTTTTCACTGATTTTTCTGATACAGTAGGGATTCTTTGGCCACCTACTACAAAATTTGTGTTTTTGTTCAACTTTCCTTTTCTAAGAGAAAGACTTCTGGACTTGTTTGGTTTAAATTTCATCCTACACCAACGTATCAGGTCATCCATCAAGCTTAATATCTTGCGAGTTGAACTTACTTTGGATGAGAGGATTGTAGTGTCATCCATGAATGCTTTCACTGGTTGCATTTGACAACCTCCACCAAGCTCAACAACATCAGCCTTGTTGTTTGTCGCTTTGAGAATCAGTTCCATTGCTAGAACGAAAAGTATTGGTGACACTGTACATCCCATCGCAATTCCAACTTCAAGTCTATTCCACTTAGTCGTAAAGTCTTTTGTAGTGAAACGCATGAGGAAATCATCAAAATAAGTTCCTAGCATAATAGATATTTCCTCAGGAATATGGTACATTTGTAATGATAATTGTATCATTTGGTGAGGTACTGATCCGTAGGCATTAGCTAAATCCAACCAAATGACATCCAAATCTTTCCTTTTAATTTTTGCTTTTTGAATGGCCTCCCAGATCATGTTTCCATGCTCTAAGCAACAAGCTATTCCTGGAACACCATCCTTTCTGTACTGACATATCGATATACTCATTATCGAGAAGGTATTTGGTCAACCTCGATGCCAAAACTGCAAAAAATATCTTTCCTTCTACATTGAGAAGCAAAATTGGCCGAAATTGACTGATGTCCTTGGAATTCTTTTCTTTGGGTATGTACACCCCTTCCGCTATCATCCACTGTTGGCTGATATGGTAACTTTTCCATGCTAATTTTAAGTTAGTATGTAACCATTTAAGAAGAGTAGGGCATTTTTGTACAGAAGGAAAGGTATTCCGTTAGGGCCAGGTGCAGATTTATTTCTACTTTTGTCAACTATGCGTTTTATTTCTTCGCATGTGGGTGGTTTCATATCAAACTTCACTTTAGGAATGGCTGGATAAAATAAGTTGCTATTATGATCTAGAGGAATATGTCGTTTAGGATCAGAGTACATACCTCTTAAATGTTCCTCTAGAACATTTTCCTCTATTTTAAGTACACCTGATCTTAGTTGATCAAATATATTCCTCGCATATTTGTATGGTTCCTGGAAGAAACGCTCTTGGTCTTTCCTTCGTTTCACTCATCTCTTCCTTATATTTTCAGCTCTGCTAAGAGCGTTGTGCTTCTCTTTAAGGTCCTGCCAGATTTTAAGCAAGCCTTCTTTCTCGTCAAAATTTGCGAAACGGATTTGTCGTTTTAGATTTCTTTTTTTGTTTCTCAAATCTTGCATTAACCGTTGACGCCTGTTCTTTTTGGGTGGTGGCTTATCATTTTCCTCCTTCACGCTGTAGATTTCCTTACAAACTCTGTAGATTATTTTACTACTTTCGTTCAAACATTCATGATATTTCTTTCTTCCCAGCTCTTTACGTAATGTCTTGCTAATGATGTTGTCTAGCATACACCACGCTTCCGAGTTCGATGCTGGTGGAAATTTGATTCTTGGCAGTTTGGGTTGCGTCCCATCCTTTGATTCAACAGCTTGAATATCCTCAGCACTGTGGTATGCATCCTGGCATTGGTTTTCTGACGTCTTTTCTCTGTTGACAGAGCGCTGCTCCTGAACCATTTTCAGAGAAGCACAACCCATTTTTGTAAGGTGAATCTTCGTTTCTTTTTTGGGACCTGAATTTCCGACCACAAACACATGGGAAGTCCGTGCACTTTTCTAAATTTCTGGTTTGTTTTTCATTCTGGGTTTGTTGCCGATTATTCCGTTTGGATTCATCATCCTCCCTCCCTTTCGGTGAATCCTGAGGGCATTTCCTTTTATAATCCTTTTTAGTGTTACTTTAATGAACTCCGGGTTGCTGACCCAGTGAGATCATCTGGTCTTTCCCAGCGTCCCCTGTCTTTCCAGGTGTCTGTTAGTCTGTTCCTAACCGCCATTCAGTCTATTCCTGAAAGCCAACGGACTAGCCATGAGTTTGAAGAAGGAAATTACTGGAAAGTAATTGAAACTCACCTGAAGCGAGCTGAATGTTCTTCATGCCAATGACACTACCACCGAGCTTCACTACGGCATACGACTTCACTGAATTTGATGTGTTCCTCTCGAATCTTAAACTGGGGTCATCAGGAGAGAATGTGCACCGTTTCGGGGCCTTCCTCTCAACGGTTTCAGTTGCACACCGGCCCCCCTCACTGATGTGAGGCCCCATTATAATGATATACAAGTGTTGTAGATAAACTAGTTCAAACGTGTAACGGTGAAATTAAATTTACGAAAATTCCAAAAAACGCCAAACCTTGCGTTCTGAGAATGCAACGTGAACCTCGTTACGCATTCACGATCAGTCATGTCATGTCGTCATGTTCACTGAAACACTCCACGGAGTATTTCATTTTTTCCATATCCACATAGAACTATTTTCTGTTACTTCTATTAGGCGTTTTATACTTTTGGCCCTATTACGCCCTTTGATTCCAATTTGGCCCAGAAATTGGTACAGAGTGCCTGAAACGAAACCCCTTGCTCCAATTTCCACTGCTCTAACAATTGCATTATACCCCACCTTTATTAGCTCTGATTTTAGATTTTCATACTTATTAGTTTTATAATCGTGGCTTTGTTCCATCCTGCATTCATATGGTACTGTTAATTCAACCAGGATGATTTTATGGTTCACCCTTGACAGAAGAACAATATCTGGTCGCAGACCTTTACTTGATATTATTTTGGGGTAATCATTACGCCAACCAGGAAGGTCTGCAGATACATAAATAATTTTACCAATAAACAAACATTGCTATAGCCAATGATGCCTTCCAAAAGTTAAGCAAAGTATTAAGAAACAGGAAAAATTCATTAGAAACAAAGGAAAGAGTGCTATGTAATATCAGGCCTCATATATGCCAGTAAATGTTGGCTGATTTCCTCACAGACTAAGAGGAAATTTGAGGCAACAAAAATGTCACTCTGCAAATAGAGAGACTGTGAGAATACCAAGGACTGTACATGTGAGTAACGAACAAGTTTTAAGCTAAATAGAAACAAAAAGGGCACTGATACTTAGAAAGAAACAGTTGAAATTTTGGAGGCACATAATGAGGAAAGAAGGCTTAGAGAATTTGACACTCAAACAACATATTGAAGGCAAGAGGGACAGAGGAAAACAGCAAACAATCTAACGAGCTTGTGTAATTGGATAGCAGAACAGGGACTAGGAGGGATAGAAAGGAAAAAAACATTACTTTGAACTAAGAAAGTTAGAAAGTTGTAGCAAGGTGTGATTGTCCTGAAGAGCAGTGATTTATAAAAGGAGAAATCTGTGTTCCACCACTACCAACCAATGTCATGAAGAAAACTATTTTTTTTAATTATTTTTAAGTTACATTTATTTAGTAATAATAAAAGTTTTTGTTTCTTTAAAGAAAAAATATTCATCATCATTATTATCAATCTCTCGACAGTTTCCATTGTGGGGTCAGAAGAATCAGACAATTTTCTTCAACATGATCTGTTGACAGTAGCTCTGAAGAATTCTGGCATTGTCATCTCTGTCCACTCTTTAATATTGTGTTGCTGTCCCCATTTGCAATAGTGCTTTGCTTGATGGCCATGCAAAGGTTGTTATGCCATATGACATGGACAAAACATGACACCTTCTGTGACAATAGTTGTGAGGAAAGATTACCTGTCAACCCATGAAATGTTTGATCTTGCTTCGTAGATGGTCACTGGATTTTGTGCTCCCAGTAGGTAATGTGGAGGAGATTTCTCAAGAATTTGTTCTCAAATGCCCACATCCTTTTTCATGCTTCAACCAGGAGGGTTCAAGTCTCACATCCGTAAAGGAGGATAGATATGACCAGTGATTTGTAGATCTTGAACTTGGTAAGGAAGCTGATGTTGTTCTTGTTTGGTCATCACTGCTGTGGTGATCCATGTGCAGATTTCTGCATTGCAGGTGCCATCTTTTGACAGAGTTGCTTCCAAGTATTAGAAGCTTGACAATGGATCGCCATCCATGGTGACGCTTGCACCATTCGCCATTACTTTAGATTTCTCTGTGTTCCATTCCATATTTGCTGGCACGTTCAACAAGTTTGTTGATATAAATGAAGGTAAATATGTGTATAATGAACTTTTCCAAAAATAAAAATTCCCTTCACTTTGTGAATGTTTCTTTCCACTGATAATGGCTTTTGAGCCAGTCTCACTGGAAGAAACCATTCTTGACCTGTTTCTGTGAATAAACTCTTTCATTCACTGTTGAAATGGGCAGGATTTTTCTGTCTGCGAAAAAGTTTTCTAATCTGCCTTTGCCTCAAATTTAATCTTATCAAAATCATTACATCAGGTTGTTTTTATGACGACATATCAGCCCTTATTAGGTTAGTTAATATTGAATTTGTATGGTGCACCTAGTGAGGATCCAACTCAAACTAGTCTTCAGTAGCCATGACCCAATGCTGAGGCATCTTTTTAAAATTTAACATTGTGCTTTTGGATACTTGAACTGGTCACTGACCCCATGCTGGGAATTTCATAAAAGTCTTGTTCGTTTTTTTTTTTCGTTTTTTTTTTACCTCTTCCTTAACAATTATTTGAGGGAAAACGTTTCCTTCTCAGATTAATTTTTTTTATTTGTTTTTAATATCATATTAAAAATACCTTTCTTGTTAAAGACATGCAAACAAGTCTCCCCACTAAACTGTATTCTTTACCAGATTTTTTTTATTTTTCTTATATAATTTTATTACCATATTCCCTCTTTTCTCCTGAACTAGACATTTGGGGCATAATTTGTGGAAAAAAATGTAAAAAAACGAATAAGAGTAAGCAAGCAAAATCAATGCACCCAGCCAAATTCAGAAACTGAGGCTTGTTGAAATACCTGAGTGGTGGCTAACACCCTCTACCAGACATATGAGTTGACAATTGGACTCATTTCAAGCTCAGAAGGACATAAAAAGAATCAAGATTGATGTATAAACATGTCTGTAGCTGGATTTTGGACATGTTTATTCATCTGTGTTTGAAAAAGACACTTTCAGTAAAAACATATATGCCAGGGGAAGGGGTTAACAGGGCTTGACCACTATGGCTAGCACCTTAATGTTATTAACCCTCATTGATTTGCTAGGGTCAAGGGTCAATGATGTGCTCCATCAGCTGGATGAACTTGACTTCTTTATGGTTCCATTTCTTTTATGGCTTATCAACCCATTGGGTGATTTAATGCCAAAATTTAATGCCTTTTCTAAAATAAAGCTTTGTATTTAAACAGTCAAAATTTGATTTTTTTTAACTCATGAGACTGCTTTTAGTCAGGGTTATATTTTTAAAATTATATTTTTAAAATCAGTTTAATTTCTCTTAGAAACTGGATCAGTATTTTGAAAAAATTCTAAGTTTGTTGTTTGGTAGTATTTTAAGTGGATTGAATTAAAATTGCTACAATTTGTCAGCATGTGTTTTATTTTGAATGCCTCTTGGCATTCCATACATACTGGAGGTTCTTTTTTTTTTTTAGGATATAAAAATGGGTTATGGAAGTATATCCAATATGGAGCCTTCACATAATCACTTCTTCTCTTCTAGTTTAGAGTTTCTGATGCCATTCTCCTATAGTAGGTTTAATTTTAGACAGTTCATTGTTTGGACAGGAGTTCAAGAGGTTCTATCACTCCTCCCTTAATATATTGATTATTGGTTTCACATCTGTATATGGGATTTTAGTATTTAAGGTGTGTCTGATATGGTTTTTATAGCAGATTTTCTTGCTGCAGCATCTGCTCTATCATTTGTCATGTCTTTATGACATTGGACCACTAAGAATGTTTCTTTCTGTTCATCACAAATGACACGGCCTCACCAGAGGCTCTTCCACTTTGTCCCAGACCTGGACACATGAAGGATCTGGACATACTTAACAAGTCAGCTATTTCCAAAATGCTAACAATGGCAGTTTTTCTTTTTTTTGTGCCATACTGGAAGCTGCCATGTTAAGGCACTTAATAAGCCTGAAAGTGAAATGCAAATGTTAAAATTTAACTCATAATGCACAACATTACGTTAAGTCAGTTTTCATTTATGTCCTGTTAAAGGTAAGTTCTCAAATACCTGATCTGCCATGCGTTGTGGGGAGGTGTTAAACAGTATATTTAGGCAGCAATGCTTTATTTATATATGTTTTATTAAATAAAATGTGCAAAGAATGAACACTATGAATTTATTGATGTATACCTCTATAAAGAATAAAAATAATCTTGAAAAACAGCTTGTTTGTGATCAATATTTGATTAACAATGAGTTTTATTAATTAACTTTAGCCGCATTCATAACACTTTTCACTGCTGCATTCCCATAGCAATGCTGCTTAATTTTGGGGAAAATAGGAAATTGTCATTTACTGAAAATAAACAAAACTGACAGTGATTTCTCTTGCATGCTGCCATTTTGGTTTTGTTTGGATCATTTGGAAATAAACACTGAGTGTTAAACACAAATAAACCAACATTTCAGAGTATCTTGAAAACATTTTGTAGGCAAAGTTTTGTGAAAATGTATAAGCCACAGTAGCAGAAGAATTAATCAAACGTTGGTTATCTCCAAATATACTTTTTGATTTATCATAATTTGTATAAAATTTCCAAAATTTTACAATCAGTTTTTAAGAAAAACAATTTGCTTGACTTTGTGTCAAATAATAATCATGTCAGTTCCTTTAACAAATTTATTGTTGGAATGATTATTACATTTCAGATTTTGTTTTTTTTTCCTTTTTTTGAGAGAGAGAGAGAGAGAGAGAGACAGCAAATAAAAGCTTTCAGCACCAAAACAACAAAGATGGCAGAAAGATCTTGGCTTGAAAACAGATTAAGCAGTCAGGGCAGAGATTTTCTGTCTGTTGCAGTCAATTGGAAAAATTGGCAGTTTTTATAGAAACAACCTTATGTTTCCCATTCCATTGCTTTGACAAATTCTTCTTCTGTGAAGGACAACATCTTAGACGCTTCAGTGTGTAACTAAAAACAAAGAAAAGAAATTTGGAAAAAAAATCTAGAAACCAAAAAAAAGAGAAGAAAAGAAAAACATTACAAAAAAAAGAAAAAAAAAATCTAACAGCTTCAAAATTTTTACAAGATTCTTCTGCTTAGAATCCAGGAATTTCTGCCATTTATTTTGACCATTACATTCTCTGGTTATCATTAGGTTGCAAATTCATTTCTTTAAAGAAAAAAAATTACAGCAAATTTCTAAATTCAAATCATAAAAATCTGAGGATTAATTTTTAAATTATTTCTGACAGAGAAAGATTATCTTTAATCCGAATCAAATTTTATTTTTATAATAAATTTACAGAAAATCCTATTTAAAAATTAACCTCTTAAGAAGAATTAATTCTATAGAAAACTGGAGAGCAGAGTTCCAATTCACATTGGGTTCATTATATTCACTTATGAACAAATGACCAGCTAGGGGTTAATTAGGCAAACGTGTATCACTAAACCATTATAATCTCAACAAAAAAAAATCTTATAATCCAAAGTATTTTCTGCCTTTAAATAATTTGCAAAGGGTTGATAAACTGTAAAAAATGAATGAATCAACAATCTATGGAAAAATTTGAAAAGTTGGTTTGCCAACTGACTTTTTGTTTCTTCAAAATATCAATCAATTTTAGTTGTTTTCTGAATCCGGTCATCAATTCATTTTTCTGTTTTTCCAAACGCCGATTCTCTGCCATTAATTGTTCGGTCCGTTTCTTGTCCTGAGCACCATGTTCCTAAAAATTAAAAATGTTGGCTTTTTAATTTCATTAGGAAACATGAGTTTCACTTTGCAGATCCAAATAATGAAAAGCCAAAAAACAAAGAAAAACTCAACATCTTTCCGAACAACAACGATCTTTCCTAAAAATCTACTTTGATTTTTATGACGCATTAAACAAAAGCACAAATAAATCCACTCACAGAATACATTCTATAAATAATCTTATAAGAAACGTACAAAATCATAAAATATAGAACAATATATTTAACGTAATACTCTGGCATTTGTTCATCTCGTGAGACAATGGATTTGCACCTGGGGAAAGTTTGTTTTATCTTTTCTTTTTTTCAAACTTTTTTGTTCACAAGGCCCAAGGGCCAATCAAGGTAGAGGGTTACTGAAAGAGATTTTTGTAAAGGAAGAAGTGCATATTATGAAGATATGTAGGATAGATAAGAGTTGACTCTGAGACTTGAAGAAATAAAGATTGTAGTAATCAAGGAAGCATCCTCTCAGGAGTCTGTTCCACAAAGTAATTTTTCTGGGAAGAAGCTTTCCAAGTAGAACTTCCTCTTTACCAACAGAATATGAAGGGAATGTAGATCGAGCCTGTGTATATGGCAGGGTGGGTCCTAGCTGCAAAGGTCTGAATTGATGGAACTAAGGAATATAAAAGTCCAGGTGAACATATGACATAAAAATAGTGAAAAGCTTAGCAAATGTTTCATCTGTGGGGAAAGAGATTGTAGGATGGAAAATAATTCGCCAACCCGGCCACATCATGTTAAAATACCAGTTCCTGTACGATCACCAAAGTTAAGCAACATCAAGCCTGGTTAGTACTTAGAAGAGTGAGCATTTGAAAATACCAGATGCTGTAAGTTTTGATGTGCGGGTGACGTAATGGGGCTTGGAATTGTTAATCAGAGAGCCAAGTTCCAATTCCAGTTAGGTTCCTTAGATTCACTTGCATGCAAATAACCCTGCAAAACATATGACACTGCCTCTTCTCTCCTCAGGTATGGGTTAATTTAGTAAGACTTATACCATTAAAATCAGTATTACCTCAAATAAATCTATATAATACTAAAAGTCTGTGATTGCTTATGTGGTGCATGAGTCTGGTACATAATGATTTAAGTTAATCTGATTTTTAAAATATATGAAGTGAATAAGATTTAAAAATACAAGTTGCTTCTACAGTAAGTAATTTTATTTCAACTTTCTCCAAATGTTTCATAATAATCTGAACCGTCAATGGGGTAGAGTCTAGTAAATAATAAAATTGCCTACAAAACATTTAGATTTTGGCATTAAATAATCTATACAGGTAGATATATGTCCCTAAACAAAAAACAACCAAGCAAAACAAAATTGAAGAAAGTGTCAGCGTGCCTTAGATTCTTTGAATTTGAGTTTACTCCGAGTGACTTTCTGCTGAATGAATATGCCTGCCATGTTGTGGAGGTTTTCAGTTCAGAGATCAAGACAAGAGAACACAGTCAATTCTGTTATTTAACCAAAGGAAAGAAAGATAAATTTATCTTACCCCCTCCCCCAGGACAAAAGGAACCCAAACTGCCTCAGCTGGAATTTGAACTCACCTTGCCAATTCCCTCGGCTCTTAAAGAGGTAACTTTATGAGAAACATTTTTAGAAGACGTTACATGAAAGGGAGTTGACAAGTTCATTTTTCTTCTGTTATTTTTCTGAATTGAATTTTAAAAGAATTAAGTAAATAAAAAGGAAAGAAATTTGTCAACCTTGGACTCGTTCTTTATTTTCTGTAGTTGTTCTTTGTATTTTTCAATTTCTTCCAAAGCTCGATTAAGTCTCACTTCGGTTGCTTTATGAGTCGATCCGTCCTTTTTATTATTTCGTTTCAAGTCCTCCAATTCCTGCATTTAAAATTTCAACACAAAATGAAAAAGAATCTTAACACTTAATATAAATATGACACAAAAAAATAGAAAGGTTATCGTGACAATTATTGAACATAGAAAGAATTACACCTAAAAACAAAAGTGTAATAATGGTCGCCGAACAGCTTGGTATATGCATTACCAGGTTCGGAGACATTGTTTCTTAGTAGTTCCATAAAAATAGATATTTATCACGTTCATGTCATTTCTACAAGTCTGCTATCGCATGACCGCTTCAGGGTAAGGAAACATTTTCTTTAGCTACTGCTGCTTAAAAAGGCAACACAGAAATTATCTGTTGGCTACGATGACATCTAAAATTCTCTTCTAAGACATATTGAAGTTAAAAGGTTGTTGTTTGAGCGTATTTTAGATGTGTGTATGTTCACATGATAAAGAAGAAGCATGCAAAAAAAAATCAGGCTTCCGCAACGTAATGCCATCCACTTGTCTTTATGGTGACTGTAGTGAAACAAAATTCTCAATGATCCTGAACATGTCTGTCTTCTTTCTTGTTTCAGAAGCAAGTTAGGGTAAGTCAGGATATAAAATAACATACAGAAGTGTGTCATTAATTTCCTTCATATGGAAAAAAAAAAATACACCCATCTATGCATGCTTGTCATTTGCGGAAACTAAATAGTGGATGAGAACACAATTAGGAGGTTACTAGGTTCCTTTCAGCAATGGCAACAAGCGATGTGTATAAAATGCCAAGCTTCAGGCAACTCTAGTGAGCAGGTAACACTCGAAATGAAAAATGCATAAAATCTAAATGAAAATGGCAGTGATGATATGGAAAAATAGTTTTTTGTAGCTGAAACGTTGTTCTATCAAACGGTGTTATTTTTAAGCTTGTACTTATTGTAGTCTTTGCGGAAATAAATATGAAACATTAGTTTCAGAATGTCCTTCGCAGATAAATAGGTAAATAGCAAGTCAGACAGTCAACCGGCCAGCTTGCTGATATCTGAGGTATTTAATGCCCGGACCATTGTACGAATATAATATATAATAGTATACATAATATACAGTAGCCCTTATGCTAAAATGATGTAGTAGAGAGAAGTGTCATAAAAGTGATATATGTATGATAGACAGAGATCTGAGAAAAAACAAATTTTATGACAGAAAAAAAGAAAACATTTAAGTTTATACCTTTTTAAAGGAATACTGGCGAAGCCTACTTAAAGTATTTCCTTATTTCTATGATTTCTTATATAGACGAGTACATGTTCCGGGTTCAACTGAATTATTTCTTAATTATTATTAATAGAAATGTTCATAGGACAGTGATTTGGTGAATTTCTTGAAATCTGCTTTGCTGGGATTGGCTGAGATGTGTTTTTTCTTTTTTTAATCATTTCATCCCAAGCAATATGCCAGTAAGATGCAAGATTAAAAATATTGTTTCTATAATGCAAAATATGAAACCTGAAGATGAACGGAGACAGGGCTGGTCAAAATGCATTAAAAAGAAATATAATAAATTCGGATGCAAATTTGTAAATATTTATGAAAAGAGAGACATCCAATTTTTCCTTACCCTCTTCAGAGCCGTCACTTGAGATTCGAACCCATCAATCTTTACTTTGCCATCTTCAAACATTTTTTTATATTTGTCGATTTGGGATTGTTGATTGGTGATTGTTTTTTGCAGTCTTGTACGTTCTTCCTCCATTTGTTTTACTTCTTTCTGCACCTTCTTCGCTTCATCTTCCTGCGGAAATGCATTTGGATGACAAAAACATTAGGCAAAGAGATCAACACTAATCTAATCATGACACCAACATCAACCACCATTAGAAATGTACCTCTAGGCACCAATCTAATTATTTCACAATTAAAAACTATCAAACATCGACATAGTCTTACTTTATAAAAAAACAATAAATTTTCACATAACTGTTGGCTATATAAATATTTTTATCAATTTGACGATTTTCTCAGCTCATTATGAGTTTCCAGAAAAATTTCAAGTTCCTATTCTCGTTGACTATTTAAATAGACACAGAAAACTCAAGATCCAATGTTCTCAGCACCCCTGAAGGACAAATACACTGAAATGTTTTGTGACTTATCACCCATTGAATGACCATAACAAATAACCAGGAACCATGCAACCAATGACAGGACATGCCTCAAGGACCCAGGGGACTCTTCACTGACTGCCTTGTCACCATCATGGTATATTTTTCTGTGGCCACCTCACTGCTTATTAGAGAAATGATGAGATGCAAATGTTACCACATCAACCATAATCTGTTGCCACCATGTCACAACAAGCCATGCTACAACCGGTGTTATGTTTACCTGTTGAATTGGATATCCAACAGGGCTCGTGGTCATCTTTTTAGCTGAAAATGAATACAAATTGCCGTTCTGATAATAACAAACAACTATTTATTATTGACAATTACTACACAATTTCATCTTCTTTATATCTTTAGCTGAAGTGAATATTTGTCTCTACATAAAGACCCCTTTTCAGGCGCTTTCCTATGAACAGTCAGCTGAAGAATAGTAATGAATTTTTCTTTTGTCATCATTCTTTCTTTTAATTCAATTTCTTCCTTTTTAACTCAACTCCATTCTTCTAAATTTGGTGAAAAGTAGTTCCTTGTGTCTCTAAAAACCAGAGGACAAAACAGATTTTACTGACCAACTTGGGTGCTTCTCTTCCTGTAACTAAGAATATGAACCTTTTTGTTTATAAAGACTTCAGATAATGTAATTGTCATGTAAATTTTTCCTTCAAAGAAGAAGTTTCTCTTGACAAAAATCAGATGCCCAAGTACCAAGTGATGAGAAATACATGTATTTTGGGTGAATAGGAAATTTTTGATTCTTCAGTCATTCAAAGATTCTGTCACGTACACAACATTTTAAATTAGGAACACAGGTTTTGACACAACATTTCAAATTTTAAGCTATAATCAAGTATTTTTTATACGTTCTAATTGTTTCTTTTTCCATTAGAGCTTTTGCAACATACTGCATCTGTATATTCACTTTCAGTTATCTATTACTTTGTACACATAGGAGGCACAATGTACAAATGGATTGCAGCTCAGATTGAGGAATCAGAAGAACTTATCTTGGGTAAGGTGGTCACCTCTGCCACATTGCCACTTTATCCAGGCCAAAAATAAAGTCCTGACATCATAACTGTAAAACTGAAACTAATTAAATTAGATGTCAATACTAAATAAATTTACATAATTTGTAAATCATTTTGAAATTCATGTCAACCACTAATGTTATTTTTTAATGTCTCAGCTTGATTAAATCATTGCTAGATTTCTACCCATTCATTTGTGGATGTCAAACATTTAGGATTGGTTGATTTTTTTTTAATGGCACATCAATGCCTTATGGGTCATTTAATGCTGAAATTTAATTTTCTTGGGAGCTTTAAAGTAATAAAAATATGATATCTGTTATTCTGCTTTCATAGTTGAATACATGGTAGATGATACTCAGATTTTATGTATATATATGTTTGTGTGCACATGATTACTACAGTGATAATTTTTTAAATTTGGTATCATCCTATGCAAGGCAGTAAAGCCACTAAGACACAAGGGGTTACTGGGTGTGGAAAAATTAGGAACAGAAACATTAATAATGAGCAGCAAGAGGAAAGAGTAATCAGGAGAACAGTAGATAGCAATTAACATGTCATTTAAATATTTGCAGATTAAAGTTGGCTGGAAAATATGGAGCTAGAAGGATGTTCCACAAGAAAGAAGTGCGAGAAAAGAAACTGTTAGCATAGAACTTACTGCTACATCAAGCCATAAGGTATGTGTGTTTTATGTTGCAATTTGTTGAAGTTATATTTTGGAATACAGTTTGTCTTCTTTAAGAAATTGTAGGATTATTATATGGATTAATGTCAGGAAAGATTCTTTCATGTTGGTTGTTTGGTTGATTTTGTTTAGCGGCATATCAACACCTCTATGGGTTATTTAATACCAGAATCTAAATATTTTGTATGTAATTTTATGCTTTCATCTAAATATATTTTTTGAATACGATTGTATGCTTTCAACAACTGATAAAATATATTTTCGGTCATTTTGATATAAATATGTATTGTCAGTAATTTCCTTATACAAAAATGCATTTCCGGTATTTTTACTACAAAAATGCCCTTTCATAATACTTTTATTTTTTTTTGCTTGGGAGGGTTCACTGTTTGCCCATAGCTGGGACTCTAACAGGTGCTACCACCCCAGGATAGGATGGACCTAGGAACAATAGCAATTAAGAGGTGGTTTCACTCCTCAAAACCTCCAATCTCCTGATCAGAGGTTTTCCTGACGAATGTAGTTCAAGGTTTATGGAACAGGCAGTAAAAATATGAGATATTATAGATTTATTTAAGTTGACATTCAAAAAATGTTTATTATTTTACAAAACTGGTATTCATGGCTCCATTAAACTATAGACAAACTTTTATTGCTTAACAACAAAACTACAGTCCTTCAAATCTATGTCAGGGGACGCCTGCCTCCACCTTGCAACAATTTTTTATGTATCATATTTAATTTATCATCAGTTTTGAAAACAAAAGCAAATTTTTTTTTTACTTGATTTCATATTTGGATTACAGCTTTGAAAAGCTTTCCTAATATTAATAGTCATTCACTGTCTTTATTTTTAAATAAACTAATGAAAGTTACAAAAAATTGATTTCCCTGGGAATTTCAAAATCAAATTAAAACTAAGCCTTAACCTTCAATCCAAAATTCAGTAATTGGGAAACGTCTTCAAAATAAATTAAAAAAGTAGACATTCACCTTTTGATGAGATTCTTGTGACAATTTGTCCAATTCCTCTTGCATCACATGAAGTTTGGCCTTTAAAAAACGTATCGTGGCTTCTGTAAAACAGATTCAGAAAGAAACTCAAGTTATAGCAACAACAAGAGGCAATGTTTCTGTTTTCTTTTGTGCAAAATTCAAGGAACTTTGTATTCACTCTGCAAGAGATCCAATGTAAATTCCAGACATTACAGTTCTCAATTAAAAATAAATTAGTCTAAGATGTGTGGCCTCTACTCAGTGATATTTATTTTCATTTATAAATTATTTCCGACGTTTTTGTTCGGTTCTTTTTCAAGGCAAATCATGTTTTGTAAGTCAAGCAACCTACCTGCACCAACTTCGTTTGCAGTGGAAGGCAAAACATCATCAAATTCAGCTGAATTTATGCCAGGAATTAAATCATTTTTGGTGATTTGTTCTGACATTTGCTGAAAAGTGTCCTGCAAGTCATTCATGTAATTTTGGTCTGGAAGTGCAACATTATCAGCAACACAGCTGAAAAAAAAACAAAAAAAAAACAAACAGAACTGTTTATTTTCTATCTGGTTCTATTTCAGAGATGAGGTATTGTAATTTATGCTATTTTCATTGTTCACACTGTTGTCCTCATCTTTATTGTCATATTCACAATGTTTTGGCCATTGTACACTCTGGCCTTCTTCAGGTGATATACACATGGCCCAGTGGATAAAAAGTGTTGGTTGAAGAAATCCAGTGACTTGATACAAAGAGTTGTGAGTTCAATACCTGGCCACTTGGAGAGTTGAGTTACTAAAGGAAGATAACTGAAACTGTGATATCTGGAAAAGACATTACATGTGGAACTAGAACAATCTACCCCGGTGGACGAAATAAAGGGTTCAGTTTGAAATTCCAACATATATCACCTGAAGAAGGCTGGAGCCTACAATGGCCAAAACATCATGAATATGACAATAAACTGCAGACAACAGTCCAAAACAAGAAAACCTTCAATTTGATGTTCAAATTTTGCCAAATGCTTTGTTTATCAAAATTAGAAAGAAATCCAACAAGAGATATTTGTGTCTGCATTTCTGGGATGAGAAATTTTTATCCTTATTTACATTTTGGACTATTGTCTTCTGATATCGATGTGAAACATGGACACTGTTGACAGAAACAGAGATAAGGATCCAAGCGTTTGAGGACAAATGCATGAGAAAACTCCTTGGTATTTTCTGTTGAGAACTTAAAACCAATGAATTTGTGTGGAAAAGGGTTGAAAGTTTTGTGGTCGACCAGGAACCTCTTCTTGCAACTGTCAAACTGGTATGGTTTCGACCATCATGCATGGCACCGTTGAAGGTGTCCGTAGGAGAGGACACTAACGCAAAAACTGGTTGGCCAATGTCAAACAATAAACAGGTATGACTATACCAGAATTGCTGATAGCTGCCATTGATAGACTGTTGTAAAGGAGATTTAGTGTGGCTTCTGCATTTGGATCACCTCCCCTAGAGTTACAAAAGTCAAGGGAATGATGATGATGACTATTGTCCTCATCTTTGTTGTTTCTTGTTATCATAACATTTTAGTTATTGTGTCGTCCACCCTTTATCAGGTGCAGTCAGTCTGGGTAACATTTGCAGAATTACAAACTGAACCCTTTATTTAATTAACAGGGGTAGATTGTTCTTCTTCTGTCGATCATGTCTAAGGATATCTCGTCTAGTTCTTCGTTTTAATATTGCTCAGTTATTGCTTGCTATATTTTCACCAAATTAATGAAGCATTTCTTTAATCCATTCAGTTATTGTCCTATGGAAATACAATTGAAATATTTAAATGAAATATTGTTATTGGAAATACAATTGAAATGCCTTATAGGAAAAACATGAACCTATCTTCACTCCTCAGCAATGTTTATTGTAATAAACATTTGACAAAAGTGAATTTAGACATTTTTTTTGTTCTTGAAAATTGACAACAAAAATATTAATCACTATTTATTGATTAGATTCTTTATTTACAAGAATCATTTTATATTTACATTCTAAAAAATAATGTTGCATTTACAAGTTTATAATTAAACATGAAAACAATTTTTTATTCATAGATTTATAAACATTTACTAAATTATTAAAATATGTTAACCAACTCTAAAGAAATCCTTATTATTTACCATTTTATAAAGTTGGAATCGATTGTCAATTAGTCGATATTTTGTCAACCATTACAATAAATAATAGAATAAATGGTGTTTATTATTTTTGTTAAGTAAAGAGTTTAGTTCAATCTTCCCTGAAGGTTATCTGGATCAAAAAGCATCTGATGAAGGCCAAAGGGCACAATGGCTGAAACATTGTGGTAATAACAACAAAGATGAGCACAATAGTCTGCATGTAGAGAAATTTATTACGCTACAAAGTAAAATCTGTTTTATTTAAGAGAGTAGTTTGTCATTTTATCTTCATTTGATTTTTTGTCTTATTTTCTTTTAAGCCAAGAAATCAGAAAAATAAGTCTGTGTTATAAATTTCAATCATGTGTGAAAAAAACATCCCATGTTCAAATACCACCAAATGAAAAATGTTACAAACTTTGTTTCAACACAATATTTAGTTTCCAATGCCAATTCCTCAAATCTAATTAACCTTTATCCCTATGCATTATTAATATTACTTCCCTTTCCACTGCATTCTTTTTCAAGGCCTCTCAGTTGCAATATTCTTAATGTTAATTTCACTCAAAGTTGTTTTCTGTTACCATAGCAGGATATGACAACACAACTATAACATTCAAATACACTATTCTTCAGGGATCAGTCACCTTCAGTGGCAAGATAAAGTTTTTGTTGAGCAAATGAAGTCAAATACAGAGAGGGTCAAATTTAACGATCATTTTCTTGGCTTTAGACTTGTCTATAGTTAAACAAAGGTTATTTTAGAGTTTTATAATGCAAAATTAGGCCATATTTTCTTGTTTTTCTTTCATCTTTTTTGGGGAACAATTATCCTTTCTTTATACGTCAATGTTTGGAGGAGTGTTAAGGCACATGTCTTTCTTAAAATGATAAATAAATGTACATAATCATAACACTACAAATAACAGCTTACAAGTTAGTCATCGTACTGACAATACTTGTTAAAAGTTTTACATGTCTAGCATTTATCGTTTAAAATTAATGAAAAAAAATAATGACACCTTGCAGTTTTTGGTGTCATTTTTTTTTTTTTTTTTTTTTTGCAAACTCACCTTGCCAAATTCTTGATTTCATGTTTTGCAGATGCTGCTCTACCCTGACTGCTTTTACTTCTTGGCGGTCGTCCATGTCTGGAGTTTGGCCATGATTGTGAACTTCTAAAATCCTGGAAATGACAATTTTGTAAAGGCAACAAAAACAAATGTTTGTTGGCAAACTTTAAAAACATACTTTTAATTAAAGTCATATAAAAACAAACATTTACAAAAATTAGTTTAAACTTTTCCAGGTGCTTTTATTCGAATAAATCTCTCAAAAATAAAAATGAAATCTGTACACAATCTCTTATTTGAAATTCTGTTGACCATGAAGCTCTGAAAACCAAATATTTTTTCAGGGATGTCCACCTGCACACTGAAGCTAACATTTGATATCAGTCCTGGGTCTGAGGATAAACTACATCCGGCAGCAAGGCCTCCGATTGGGAGATTTGAGGTTTTGAGGAGTGTAAAACCACCTTTTAATTGCAGTTGTTCCCAAATCCACCCTGACCCCGGGGTGGTAGCACCTGTTAGGGTCCCAACTACGGGAAAATAGTGAACCCCCAAAACAAAAATAAAATACCATGTAAGTATAAAAGTACCAGTAATACATTTTATCTGTAGTTGAAGGCACACAGTTGAGTTCAAATATGTTTATTTGAAGCCATAAAATTGTGTTCAAATTATTTAGATTTTCATATTAAATAATCCATAGAGGTGTTGATATGCCGCTAAACAAAATCAACTGACCAATAACATTTGATGCCACACATGACGTGATGGCACCAACATTTATACTTCTGTTGTACTTTTTAAATCGCATTCAAAGTTATTTTGAAATTAGCTTTGCTCAGTTATGCCTCAGTGCTCCTATTAGTCAAATGTACCTCTGTGAATATTTTGGTCTCTTTTTTGCTGAAGATTGTGAAAATATTAAAAATAGCTACAGATTCCATTACAGGCACCAAACAATTGACAGGTCTTATATTTGGTAACTCTAAAAACCATTCTGAAATCCAAAATCTCAGGTCTGAAACATTTCTAAGAGATTGTGTACCTGGATGACAAAAATTAAAATTTTTAACAATTGTGTTTTCATAGAAAAAGCTAATTGGGTGTTTGAAAAACAAGAAGAAATATCTTGCTTTTCTTTACTCTCCAAGGACCACATTAGACATTAGTATATCCGTGATATACTAACATCTTTACACAATGGAAGGGAAAACAAAAATAATCCAAAAAAATGAATTCCAAAAATGAGTTTTGTACCTGAAAACATTTTATATACAACACTGAATTATACAAATATGTCATACAAAAACACAACATATAAATACAGAGCAACCTCGGTTCTTGACCATAATTTGTTTTGAAAGTCTGTTCTAAAACTGAATTGTTCAAGAACCGGATCCTTTTTTCACATTACAATTAATGTAAAAGAGATGAAATCATTTTCAAGCACCAGATGAATGTTTATTTACATGTTTACACTATATTTTAGTATCTCCATGTCTTATTACATTATGTATTTCACTTCTCTTCTTAAATTTCTTGAACTGGCCTCTGCTAGCTTTGAATTCAAAAAATATCACTTTCAGTACTTGCATTACCCTCAAGCCTTGTCATCCAAGATGTCCAACACCTGCAGCTGATTGAACAGATGATCACTTTGATCCAGGCCTTGCCCTATCCCATGTTGTGAATTCCTTTGATCATAAGGCAGGCCAAGATCAAATCACCATCAGGTATCTTTGGATTGGGCTGGTCCAAGCGGGGTGAAAACACAAAGAAGAAAAAAAAAATATAACACTCAAATAGAAAAAGTAAATACTATTTTTACATAAGGTCCTTTGTACAACAGTTGGTTAATTGTTGTTAAAGTCTAGGCGTTTGCATGCAGACAATTATCGACCCAACCCACTTCTTAAGTCAGACACAAAACTTTGTTAACTTGGTAAAGTTTGTTTTGCTGATTTGGTGAAGTTTGGCACAAGGCTGATGTTGGAGGTCTCGTCGGTAGATAATCATGTGGGGTGTCTCGCGTCCAGTGACTGAAACAATCTCTGCCTTCTTGCTTCAAGGCATTCATATTTATTCACATTCAACCAGTAGGGGGGTGGGAAGTGCGATACGGCCAGGCACTCAATATTTTCTCTACCTGTCATTTTCATTGTCTGGGTTCTGAGAATTAATTTCTTCCTAATTTGGGGGATTCCCTCCTTCCACAGGTGATGGTCAAAGGCATTAATCCACCCCCATAACTTCTACACTCTCTTATTACCATCTCCCACTAATACTCTTCAGTAGGTGTGGGTAGCTCCTCCACCTTCCTCTGTGTCTCATCTGCACCCACCACATTGGCCATCCTCTAACCAATGGTTGTCGACGGCCTCAGGGTGAAGGTGCAAGAAAAGATTAATTCTAAGCTTGTTATCTATGCAGAAAAATTTTTTTCCACGTCAGCCCGATGTTTTTCATTGTCCAAAATTGAAAAAAAATCCAGATGGCTTTCCACACCTTTGTGGTCCCATCAGGGACATTCTCTGCGAAAATTCTTATCTCCGAATTATGATTTTTAAATCCTATCCAATTCTATCCTTTTGCCTTCAGAGCCCGTATTTTTAGCTGTATGTCATCAACCAAGTCTCAAAATATTTGCCATATGACCAGTCATAGTTGAATGTTATTTTCTCTGCTAGTCATCTAGTTCTCAGTCCTTTTGAGAAATAAAATCTTTAATTTTTCCCACAATGTTTTATTGGTATGTCATTTGGTCTATTCATTAACCCTTCTTATTTATCAGGAGTCAATCGGTATATTTGTCATTCTATTCATTCAGCCTCCTTATTATTTACCAGTAACAAATAGTGTCACACTTGTACCAAGGGTTTTCTTTTCTAGATCATTATAAATTTCTAATGCTTTCTCACAAATAAATGCTTCACTGATACTATCACCTGCTAATTGTTTCTCGTTTATAAAAATAAGCAATAACTTTTCAACTTATTTGATTACCTTTGGCCTTCGTTTACTAACAATAGTAACTATTTTTGAAACATCACTTCCTTATTCTTTAGAATAGTAGATATTGTCAATTTAGGCATACCATACTGCATGGCCACAAATGCCATTTTTGTGCTTTACAATGATTTCTTTCTTCACTTCAATTGTTTTTCTCTAAACTTTTCTTTTTCCTTTACCAGTATCACTGTTAGCTTTCTTTGGAGCCATGACTAAGGACTAATGAAAAGAAAAAAGGCACAGTGTAATAAAGTTGGAAAAGAAAAGAACAGCCCAACACACAAACAGCAGTTGACTCAGAAATGATTCTGTTTGGGTTAACTCAGTTCAGTTCAATTTGAGGACTGAAATTTTGTTCAATAACTGAGGTATTTTCATCTCGAATTTTCTGTTCGAAAACCGATTTGTTCAACGTGAGATTTTGAGAACCAAAGTTGCTCTGTATATATTTTCTGTCTGAATTTCTGGGACAAGGTGTTATCATTATTTACACTATTTACACGCAGACTATTGTCCTCATCTTTGTTGTTGTTACAGTAGCCTAGTGGAATAAAACATTGGCTTGTGAATTTGGTAACATAGTAATTGTGAGTTCAATCTCTGGGCTGGGCAGTGTGGACTTGGACTCAGTGGAAACAGGACAATCAATAACAGTATGAAGTTGCAATCCCACCCTCAGTCACCAGTCAAGTCTGTGGTTGATCCTTACAGCCAGCCTTGGAGTTGGTCACTCCAATCCTCAATCCCACTCTGCCCATGTTGTGTTTGTTTCAAGTCACAGGGCAGGCAAATATCCGGTAGCTTTGGAGAGATGACCCCACAAGGAACAAAGTAAGAGACAGTTGTGAAACACAACAACTTTATATCAAAGATTCATACAATGAACGTTCTACTTACTAAATTAACAAGATTTTCAGAACCTTCCCCCACTTAATACCCCCTGACACTATGTTTAGTGATGCTTTGTAAACTGGTACAAGGCTGAAGTCTGATTTCTTCCAATCTGTGATTTTTTTTTCGGGACAACCATTCAGTTGTATTTCGTAGTCTGGAACAAGTTCTTTCTGTAGAAGGTGCACAGGGTTTGGCAAAGCAGGTCTTGAAGCAACTGGCAATACATCTCTCTCTCTCTCTCTCTCTCTCTCTCTCTCTCTCTCTCTCTCACAAACAGCACCTCATCGCAGCCTGGTTCCTTCTCATCTCTCACCTCACTTGTCTGTATTTATGAACACTTGTGCAAACCTGGTGCGAGGCATGAGGTGGTTGGGAAATTGATTGCCTGACCAAATTTGGTGAGATTCCTCCCCTGAAGAGTGGTGGTGGTAGAATATTGATCTGCCCAACTCCTTCCATCTTGTGTAGGTAATTCTCACCATCACCGTAATTCTTCCCTGTTGAAATTCTACCTGGGCTTTATCACTCACTTTGTCTCCTGATCAAACCTGTTCCCAGAAGCTAGGACAACCAAACCACAACTACCCCACCCCAGATCCTTCTCCATAATGAGCTAAATCACAACTATGTATATTCACCAGTAGGCTACCCTGTATTTCTCCAGGGCTCCAGAAGACATCAGTAAATTCATCCTGTCAAAAGGGAGATAATCACTCACTGCAACATTACAAAGAAATTACATTTATTGTCTTTGAGAAGAGTCATCATTGAACATTGTTCAGATGCTCAACTCTTTTCTTTGATACAACAGAGCCTGAAGCTCAAAAGAGAATTAATAACTATTTTTACAGTAAGTTGACCTTTAATCAGAAAGAGATGCAATCATGTTTAAGAATTAAGACATCACCTGAAAAAACAAAAAAAAATTTCTTCAGGTGATGAAGATAAAATGAGAATCAATAAAACAAAGGAAAGATCTTACAAATTTGTTTCTGACAAAAAAAAAAAAAAAATACACAAAGAAAAAATTTAATATCTGAATAATGCTGGATACAATTCCATGAAAGACAATGAAGATCTTTGTAATTTCTTCTTTCAAAATACTTAACGGATTTCAATCTTCTTCTATGTGCTGATTCCAATCAGGACATGGACAATCATGGCTCTCTACAACTTCTTCTTTACAATTCTTAGTAACCTTTGTCTTTTTAGTATTTTCATGCAAGGTATCTCAATTTCATTACAAGATCGGCATAATCAGAATTTAGTTCAAATATGATATAATTAATCTAACCAATTCTTTTACTAAGCACAAAATCTACAATTTGGGACAAAAATATTTTGGCAAACTTGGACCTTCCTTCCCACACAAAACAGAATGTCAAAAGGATAGTTTTTCCCTTGACACCACTATTATTTTAACTACCTTTGCTCCTCAGCAATGTTTATTGTTTTAAAAAGTGATGATTAAAATTGCAATAAAACCTAAACATATGATGAAAGTGAATTTATACATATTTTTTTGTTCTTGAGAATTTACAACAAAAATATTAAACACTATTTATTAGATTGAAAGTATTCTTCTAAATAAACATTTACAACAATAATACAAAAACTAATACAATTAAACTAATTCTATACAATATTTATCATTTACCAATTGATAAAGAAATAAATATAAACATATTTTATTCATAAATTTATAAACATTTATTAAATTATTAAAATATGTGAACCAATCAACTATAAGGAAATCCTTATTATTTATCATTTTATAAAGTTTGAATGAAATTGACAATTAGCCAATCATTTTGCCAATCATTCAATTAACAATCTAATAAATAGAGTAAGTAAACAATCTAATAAATAAATAGTTTTTAATATTCTTATTGTAAATTCTCAAGAACAAAGAAAATGTCTAAATTCACTTTCATGTGTTTAGGTTTTATTGCAATTCTAATAATCAGTTTTTAAAACTATAAACATTACTGAAGATTGAAAGTAATTAAAATAATCATGGTGTCAATAGAAAAACTGTCCTTTGACACTCCCATTTTTTTCTGTGGGCACAAAGGTCCAAGTTTACCAAAATATTTTTGTCCCAAACTGTAGGTTTTGTGCTTAGTAAAAGAATTGGTTAGATTAAATATTTCAACTAAATTCTGATTCTGCTTCGTTAGTGAATCTCATAATGAAGTTGAGAAACTTTTTGCTTTATTGATTTTAAGTTCTTTACCTTTAAACAAATCAGATTTGATGCTAGCATTTGATTTCAACATTAACTGGAATCATTTTTTTTTTGACTTGTCAGGACAAACAATATTGAAGAATTTCATGCAGCATTGGATTTTGTTCCAAAATAAAAAAAATAAAAAAATGTTTTTATTTTTGTTAAATAAAAACGGTTTTTTTTTTTCCATTTCTTTCAAATTTTCATCCAAAGTGTTTTGGTATTGTAACAAATTTTTATAATATTCAGACTAAATTCAAAATGGTTCGACTTCAAATCAAAAACACAAATAATGACTTATTGACATTTCTGTTACAAAGGTCTGATTTCTATTTGTTGGCGTGTTTTTAGTTATCATAATGTAAGAAAAAAATGGCATGACTCAGTGAGATTTTAGTTAAAGAATAAGACAATTTCCAGTTTGATTTGTAACTTAATTATATAGTGAAAGTAACAAAAAAAATATAAAATATTTTTACCAATTTTTATCCAGACCTAAAATTTAAGTGTCAATTACAAAACAGTCTCTCCTTATTTGTATATTTTTCCTTTACTTATGTTCACTTTCACACAAATACTATTGGGAAAGGTATGACTCCATACCTTCTTCCCCAAACAATGGGTTAAATAGCAGACATCAAGAGAGGTGGCAACCAGTCGAGGAGAAAGAAAATTACCTGACAAGCTTGTGCAGATGGATTGTGAAATGAGGATTGTAAAAAGACAAAAGTTACTGTAAAGGAGAGGAAGTTGTAGAGAGCTATGATCGTCCATGTCCCAGTTGGGATTGGCACACAGAAGATTGAAATCTGTTAAGTATTTTGAACGAAGAAATTAAAAAGATCTGTATTTCATTGTCGTTCATGGAATTGTATCCAGCATTATTCAGATGTTCAAATCTTTTCTTTCTAAATTTCTTTTCTTGAAAAATAAATTTGTAGGATTTTTTCCTTTGTTAAAAGAGTTAAAATAATAAACACTGCTGAGTAGTGAAGGTAGTTAAAATATTAGCAGTTTCAAGGGAAAAAAAAGTCCTTTTGACATTCCCTCTTTTTGCAGGCATGATGGTCAGATGGCCAATATGTTTTAAAAATATTCTAAACATTTTCATCAACCTTCCAATGGTACCAAATACTATGTGAGCAAATTTGAAAAAAAGAATTTAAATTTTACCATTCGGAAAAGAAAGAATATATATTCAGTAAAAAGCCACCCATTTTCTTACTTCATCTTTCATTTAAATATCAATACAGCCATTTATCGTATTTATTTACTTGAAGATTTAAGACGAGCAAGTAATGAAGACAACAGAGAATGACGATTCATTTTCTTGTTTGCTAAACCCAGAATACGTCATACCTTAAATCTTTCAACATCTCTTGGATTTTCAATTTCCACGGATTCTCTGAAATTAGGAAAAAGAAAATCAGAAAAAAAAAAGAAAATAGCCTAAGTTTGAGAAAAAGGTGAGAAAAAAAAAAGATAACGCTAGAAAATTCCAAAAACAAGAAAGGATTAATAAAAATGGAAAAAGATGAGTCACCTTATGGAATCTTCTTTTTTTTGCTTTCTCAAATGAGGACAACATTCTGTTGACTCAGACAAATGAGTTAAGAAATTACAACGTGAATTTGAAGAAAAGTATTCAGACTTGTTATAATCATCAACAAAAATGAAAATTTCATCTTTTTAAACTTGTTTTTGACATGTGGAGATTATAGATTTTACATGTATATGACTGAAAATTTCTGTCAACAAGCACATCGTTAATTTGTAATCTGAGCCTCTTTCCATTGCTTTCAAATATCTTAAGTTAAGTTTCATGTAAAATCAGCCATTGACTAGAATATTTTCACAAATTTGTCTTTTTGATTAAATGATTTTTTTTATGATTTATCAACCTTTTGCAGGTTATTTAAAGTCAGAAAATATTTTTAGATTGTAAGAATTTTTTGAAGATAATAATGATTTACTAATACAAGTACTACTAATTAACCCATAGCTGGGGGGAAGAGGTGGATTTATGCCTTTCCCAAAGTTATTTGTGTGTAAGTGAATATAACAAACACAAGCGGTATTAGAACTCAGCTCTGCAATTTCCAATTCTTAGCCGTTATCCACAACACCACCCACACATCCAAGTTTACTGCACATGGTATTCCCAAGTTTTCATCCATATGGGTATTGACCAGGTTTGACTTTGCTTAACTTCAGTGATCATATGAGAACTGGTGTTTCAATGTGATATGGCCATAAGCAAGCCAAGAACAGCAGGAAAATAGTGAATATAAAGAACTTGACTGCAATTGGAACTTGGCTTCTGATTTCCGATTCTTAGCCGTTATCCATTATATCATCACACATCCAAGCTGACAGCACTTGGTATTCCCAACCAGACATCTATATAGGTACTTACCTTGCTTAACTTCGGTGATCTTGCAAGAACCAGTGTTTCAATATGTGATGGCCATAAGCCTCAAAAATTTATGTAACAATTCTGAAATTACTGAGAGAAATGGGCCCATTTGTAAAAGATATGGAAATGTTTTTGTAACTAATTTCTGTTGGTTAGAATTCATTAGATCTTCCTTCAATATGCTAATGACAATGCTGCCTTCTGTCATTGAAAAGAAGAATTCCAACAGTCTGAGAATAACTTTGCTATGGCCGACCATTGTTTTGGCCTTACAGAAAACATTAAGAAATCCAAGGTCTTTTCACAGCCGGTCCCAAATACGATCTTACTAGATTTTGATATTACCATTTCTGATACAGTGCTTGAACAGGTGAAGCATTTTCCATATCGAGGCAGCCTTTTATCAAACAAGTGCACCTCAGAAAAGGATGTGGAACATAGAATTGGTGCTGCATACAGGGCTTTTAGAAAGCTAATCAAACGCATCTTCAACAACAAAAATTATGGTCTATAATGCTGTTGTCATTTCAACTTTGTTATATGGTTGCAAAACCTAGACTCTTTCAGCACAACATCTAAAAATTAGAACGCTTTCAACAACAAAAATCTTTGTTCAATCTTGGACATCAAATGAAATTACTATGTGACCAACACTAAAGTCCTGGAAAGAGCCAACAGACAAAGCATCAAATTGCTGATCATTAAACACCATTTTTGATGGTCAGGACATGTAGCAAGAATGGAAGAATCAATGTTTCCATGCCAAATCTTATTCAGTGAACTCACTTCAAGGAAAAGACCCTGAGGTTACCCTTTTCAAAGATACAAGGGCCGACTCAAAACAACACTGAAAACCACTGGGCTTTAGCTTAAATCATTTGAAACACTATACCAACTGATGATGTTCAATCACCATCAGAACCAAAAACTTCAAAGCCACCAGAAGAGAAAAGAAAGAAGTCAAACAACACGAGAGAAAGGCTCGATAAAATCAACCTTATCCTCAACCAACATTCCATGTAGGATGCCATTGACTGTATTACCATGTAGTCAATGTCATCAGCTCTTCCATGCAAGAATTGGTCTACTTAGTCATCATCATAAAGTAAGCAATCAGAATAGAAGAAATTAAATTCTTGAATATGAGATAAAGCCACCACTGCTACTGGCAATGAGATCAAACCTCAATTAGCCTGTCCTTGAAGCAGGACATTTGTTAGAATCAATGAATATTGATTAAAAGTGGGGGGGAGCCGTTTTCATAACATAAATACAGTATCAAATCAATCCCTGACTTCTTTAGACTTGACTTTGTTTTTAATTAAAAATATCAGATTTGAAACTGTGCCTATGTCATTGATAACTGTGTATGACTAATGTAGTCATTTTTTTAACCATTTTTTAAACAAATTTTCCAATTTAGCCAATAGTTCTTTTCAGATAAATATTTATTATCTCCCTTTGCTTTACACAAATGTTTCCATAATAAAGCCAAAGCCTAAAAGGAAAATACATCAACCTGTTCTGCAAAAAAAAAAAAAGATCCCTAATTGAAAAAAAAGATAACATCAGTAGTAGAAAGTTATCAATAATGTGGACCCAGTTTCAAATCTGACATAGAAATAAAATCAAGGTCATGGTAACACTAAAAAAAATTATGGATTAATATTTTTTTTTAAATTATTTCACCCCAAGCAAGGCGATAATGCATCTAGAATGCAGGAGATTACAGCGAGTGAAAGTGAATGAGAAGGCTTCAATAGGTTGGAATGAAGGAAGGACAAAAAAAGAACAAGGTTCAAGAAGATAGATAATTATAATGGCAATATTTAAATAGTTTTGCACTTGCATCAGTTCTATTTCTTGCATAAGTAATCTACGATTTTTATCTCTACAATTAACAACTATTTGTTACATGTGAAAGAGAATTCTGTTCTTTAAATTATTAAAAGTAAAAATATCAAAAGAAAACTAACACAATATTTATCATTAAAAAATTCCAGCTCCCATTTATATGTAGTCTAGGATTTTTATCTATAAAATTAACTCTAATATCTGTCTATATTTCTGAGATGAGGGCTTGTAATTATTTACACTATTTACATTGTTTGAACTGTTGTCCTCATCTTTGCCATATTCACCTTTAACATCTGTCTCTATTTCTCAGATGAGGTATTGTAACTATTTACCCTATTTACATTGTTTGGACTGTTGTCCTCATCTTTATTGCCATATTCACCTTCAACATCTCTCTCTATTTCTCAGATGAGGTATTGTTACTATTTACACTATTTACATTGTTCGGACTGTTGTCCTCATCTTTATTGCCATATTCACCTTCAACATCTCTCTCTATTTCTCAGATGATGTAACTATTTACACTATTTACATTGTTTGGACTGCTGTCCTCATCTTTGTTGCCATAGACAATGTTTCCATGGCATGTGGAACTAGAAAAATCTACCCTGGTGGACAAAATAAAGGCTTCAGTTCAAATTCCAATCACCTGAAGATGACTGGAATCTACAAAGGATGATGACAACAGTGTGAACAATTTACATAGTGTAGAAAATTAACTCTTGTTTTGCCTTTTAAGTCAGTAAAGTTAAAAATTTACATAGTCAAGCCAAAAAAGAAGTTTTATTGGAATGAAATCTAATCATAGATTATAAATGAGAAGAGCAAAATGAATCTCTTAAGCATAACATTACCTTTTATTCGACCCCTGACTTCATCAATTACTATTGGCCAGTTTGAAAATGCAACGATGGAACCTCATTCAAACATTCACCTTAGATTCTTGTGTGTGATATCCAAGAGAGACTGCTCCCCCCGCCAGCCTCTTAAGTCAGTATTTATTTATCTATCTTTGTCACACGTCTTATTCTCCTGTGTTGCATCTCATGTGTGGCCTCCAGGAGGTCATCTGTCAGGTCAACACTATACCAGGTTATTCCAGCATGAGATTTTAACACATTACATTAGCAACCTTATCTCCCCTACTTACTAATGTGATATTCGATCTTTATGGTAACAAGTGCCTTGTTTGCTTATTGAGGTTGTGATGAGATTGTTATTGAGGTTGTGATGTTAGAGGGCCAGATATTCTTGGCATTTATTTACTGGAAACATTGGAATAAAACAAACTGACTCAGGGATATAAAATAAATAATATATTTTTTATTTATTTCATTTAAATGGAAATGAATTCTTTGATATTTGGTGTAGCCAAATGTTCATTTATAAGTTGGATATTGGTAGCAATCTGGATAAACTCCATTTTGATCTAGTGTGTTTTTCTTGGACCTAAGAAGGGCCGAAATATCCCTAGCAGATAACCTCTGAACTACTTCATGTGTCACTCATGAATGATTGTTCAAGCAGTTGCATCTCTTGTTCCATGGTTTCTTTTGCCATCACTCTCCTCATCTAGACCAGATCTGTCAGCACAAATCTTTTTAACCAGGCTCCCATATTTTGGCACAAACCTTGCTTTCAGCTAACATCAAAAATCTCTTTGTGTTAATTTTCTGATTGGCAAAATTATTTTATTTTCTAGCATTCCTTTCTTTTTCCTTTTTTTTTTATATATATAACAGAGTTATGCATGAAGTCTGTCTTATTTTGGTAGTTATATATATATATACATATATTAAAATGCTAAGAAAAAACAGTAAAATTTCTAATCCGGTGTTCTTAGCAATTTATTTTATTTCTAAAAAAACAGTGCTCGATACAAACAGTAGAGCAAAATATTATGATTATTTTCTTTTTCAAAAATATGATTCCATCGCAACACAGAAGTTTCTATGCTTCAAAACTGAAACTAAAATTGTAAACTTAATTATAAAAATTAAACTTAAAATCCAGAGTTTCGTTCCATTGTCAAGTGATGTTAGGAAATATATATATATATATATATTATGCCAGCTGGATGTTTTCCATAAAAGCTGTCTGTGTGCAATCTGTGGAGTTAACCTTCAAGATAGGACATCTAACATAGACGTGTTTAACAAGTGTAATATTGGAGGAATCGAGACTTTTCTCATACAGTCTCAGTTACGGTGGACTGGTCATGTCTTGAGAATGTCTGATGACAGGATACCCAAGATCCTAATGTACAGCCAGTTAGATCAGGGCTACAGGAATATAGGACACCCATGGCTAAGATACAAAAGCTGAAAAGCAACGTCAGCTGTCAATATACCACATAACACCCTCAACCGCTTAGCCTTGGAGCGGGTAGAATGGAGATCAACATGTTTTAGTGGACTCAGCAGTTTTTAATCTGTCTGAATTATCTTCAAGAAGCGAGAACAAGATCTAAAAGGTCAGCCAATCTAACAGTGATCTCATCTCACAATCCTTACTCTTGCTCCATATGCGGCATCCTTTGTAAATCACTAGTGGGTCTTAAGTGCCACTTAAGATTATTGCACAAAATTTCATAACTGAATCAATTAAGCTGTCAGATCCTCATCTGTTGAAACCGATGGGAGAGTCCATTATTATTATTATTTATATATATATATATATATATATATATATATATATATATATATGTATATTTATATTTATATATTTATTACATTGTATATGTATATTCATAAATACATAGGCTATGGTTATGCAAACCTCCAGTGTTTTTTGTCTGGGTTCAGTCTTTTCTTCTTCTTCTGGTTTTTATTTAAGTGTTGTCTTCTCCTTATTTGTGAGAGAACTATGTAGACAAAAGGATAGAGAGAAAAAGATAGAGAGAAAAAGATAGAGAGAAAAGATAGAGAGAAAAGATAGAGAGAAAAAGATAGAGAGAAAAGATAGAGAGAAAAAGATAGAGAGAAAAGATAGAGAGAAAAGATAGAGAGAAAAGATAGAGAGAAAAGATAGAGAGAAAAGATAGAGAGAAAGATAGAGAGAAAGATAGAGAGGAAAAGATAGAGAAAAGATAGAGAGAAAAGATAGAGAGAAAAGATAGAGAAAAAGAGAGAAAAGATAGAGAAAAAGATAGAGAGAAAAGATAGAGAGAAAAAGATAGAGAGAAAAGATAGAGAGAAAAAGATAGAGAGAAAAGATAGAGAGAAAAGATAGAGAGAAAAAGATAGAGAGAAAAGATAGAGAGAAAAAGATAGAGAGAAAAAGATAAGGGTTTTAAAGGAAAGTGCAAATGCATTACTTTAATTCAAATTCTTTCTATTTTTGTTTATATATTTTATTTTCATATTTTATTTCAATTTTTTTTTATCAGGACTCACTACAAAGTCAAATAATGCTTCATTTTAATAATGGAATTTCCCAATAGCAGTACTGGCTGCCTGACAGCTAAACAGCTAAGGTCATAATGGCTTTTATATGATAGGATAGACATTTATTTTTCTTCTTCTATTTTTTTTAAATCTTCACCCCATGCAAGGCACCAATAAGAAGACACTGGGAGTGGAATAGAATGAGAAGACTTTAGTAAGTAGAAAGGACAATAAAAGAACAGGAAGATGGCAATAAACATTGCATTTAAATTTTTGAAGATTATAGACAGTGGGAAAGCAAGAAATCAAAAAAAGAGTTCCACAGGCAAGAAAAGAAATGATTAGAATAGAACTTATGGTTATATCAAGCTAGTAAAATGATGAAACCTAATTGCCAATCTAGTAGTATGCTTCAATTTATATAGTCAATGTAGAGTTCATTGGAACAATTGCCATGAAAATATTTATAGAAAAGACAAAAGGATGCCATATCACAGTGGTGGGAATGGTGACTGAAACCAAGATGTCAGGTTAGAACAGAAAATATTTATAAACCCTTCTCTGGATTCTGTTGGGAATCTTGAGATAGCAAAAGCACCAGACCAGATATGGCAGCAATATTCAATCCATGGACAAATGGTAAATTCATAAATGTGCAATATTGGTTCTAGCAAGAAAAATTGTCTGGCATAACATAGTAAGGACATCTTTGGAACTGTGATATTGCACTCAATTTGAAAGTTGGGGTTTGATGTATTAAATAATGAAACAAAATATGTTTTTACAAATCATTTTTTCAGGTTAAAGATATAATCAAAAATTAGTAAAAGCTATGAATCTAAATTTTTAGTGTCAATACTTATCACATCAAACTCCAGCTTTTACATTCAGTGTAATGTTGATTTTCTAAGAACAAAATGAAAAATCAACCTGCCCTAATGACACAGTGAACCAACTTTTCTAGCAGCAAACCTATCAATTGATTCAATAGAATCAGTCCACTTCATGTCAGTAGAAAATGTTAGACTGAGAAGGTGCAAAAATGGAGGTTAACATAGACTGATCAATGATAAAAATGGTTCTCTATGAGAATCAAAGGATAGCAGTTTTGTTTTGGAGGCGTTATAATTTACAAGCCATTTCTTGCCCCAGTTAACTACTGGTTGGAGGTCATTTTTGAGAGCAGCTACCAGTTTTATTTTGTTGTACCAAGTTTACTGATTTTTGGCACAAAACTTTGATACTTATCAAGAAACAACACAAATTTATGAAATTTATTTTTCTCAATTCTGGGGTCAATATTCTTGAATAGAAGTTGCCTAAAATTCCATCAACTTCAAGGTCCTCAGATAACAAAAAAAAAAAAATCAAGATTTAATTATCAATAATTCCGATTTTTGCTTTACTTTTTCACAAAATAAACAAGCAAAGATCAAAATAAAAATTATGTTTAATACCACATGTTGGCCATCTTGAAAGGGGCAAATCTCACAAAAAGGTTATTCAGCACCCAAGAATTCTTCTGATTGACATGGGCCAATTGTTCAAAGAATAAATGAAGCAAAGTTAAGAAGGATAGGAGAGGAATATAAGCATCCTTACAGTAATTCATCCGCATCTATGTTATCCAAAATTCTTGACTTGAGAGTATCGACTTCAGTTTTGATGTCACAATGGGGATCACTGAAAATAGCTTCATGGCCTTTCTGGAATCAGAAACAAATAAGACACATCAAATAATTTTGGAGAAAAAATTAATTTAAATATTTCTTTATTTCACTCTTAGAATATATTTTAAATAATTAACAATACCCTTGAAAATTTCATAGTTTTTCTATTTGCAAGTTCATGACTGTATAAGCTCCTTGTGAGTTCTACAACTATAAAAATACTCATGGAAATTCCCCTATCGTATCATTAAATATTTGAGCTGGACAATTTTAGCAAAATATTACAATTGATATAATTGGCATTGCTTGACACCTGCCTTTGGTTAGTAAAATACAATATATATTTATTTAAAATACAACAGATTTATTTATTTAAAATACAACATAGATTTATTTATTTATTTAAAATACAACATAGATTTATTTATTTATTTAAAATACAACATAGATTTATTTAAAATATAACATAGATTTATTTATTTAAAATACAACATAGATTTATTTAAAATATAACATAGATTTATTTATTTAAAATACAACAGATTTATTTATTTATTTAAAATACAACAGATTTATTTATTTATTTAAAATAAAACATAGATTTATTTATTTAAAATACAACATAGATTTATTTAAAATATAACATAGATTTATTTATTTAAAATACAACATAGATTTATTTAAAATATAACATAGATTTATTTATTTAAAATACAACATAGATTTATTTAAAATATAACATAGATTTATTTATTTAAAATATAACATAGATTTATTTATTTAAAATACAACATAGATTTATTTATTTAAAATATAACATTTATTTATTTAAAATACAACATAGATTTATTTATTTATTTAAAATATAACATAGATTTATTTATTTAAAATACAACATAGATTTATTTATTTATTTAAAATACATCATAGATTTATTTATTTATTTAAAATACATCATAGATTTATTTATTTATTTAAAAGATAACATAGATTTAGTTATTTAAAATACAACATAGATTTATTTTTTAAAATACAACATAGATTTATTTAAAATACAACATAGATTTATTTATTTAAAATACAGCATATATTTATCACAACAAAGTGAGACAATTATAATAAATAATAATCATAAAAAATATTTTATGCCAATCAAGAAAACAACCATGAAGCTTTCTCAAAATGAAACCTTGACAAAGATTAAAATTGTTTCTGCTTTACTTTTTTAATTTCACTTTTTATTCCAATTATTCTCTTAAAATGAAATTAGAAAATAAATTTTTCCCTCAAAATATTAATTTGTAATTGATTATTTTCATTCAAAGCTTAAACATTAAATCTATAAAAATGTGCCATTGTGCGGAATACCTTGTCTGCCAGAATGCCGTTTGGTGGTGATAAAAGGTGTTGTAACTGAGTTATCAAAAACAACAGTAGAAAACCGGAATTGGTTTAACAACAAGTTTATTACCTTTTGGTACAAGGGAAACATAATGTAGAATAGAAACTAGGAAAGAGAATGTTTAGTCATGAATGACTGTTTTCATCAAAGGCTACTATTGCTACTAATGCTCCTCCTGATACTCCTCTTGATGTCGGAGTATTTTTATGTCTTTTGTTCAATGGCTGAGTCCAAACTTGTAAGGAAATATTCTCCCTCACAATAAAAGGATAGGACAATATGCCCTCATTCTTTTTTTTACCTCAAAACAAAAGGACTTCACTGCCACTTTTGGTCCAAAGTATTTTTGATAAAAAAAAATATGAAGATTTCTTCCCTCAGCCGGTTGTCTTAATTTCAGTTAGTCATGTGATACATTGCACATACTTTGTGTAACAACAAAGCCTATAAATGTTCCATCTTGGTATGACGATAAACTACATCTGCATACTGGGTAAAAATGTCCAACTGCAAGGCCTCCGATCAGGGTTTGAGGAGCGTGGAACCACCTCTTAATTGCTTAATTCTAGGTACACCCTTACCTAGGGTGTACCTAGGGTGGTGGGGTTAAAACACTATGAAAGTGTAAAAATATGTTTTAATACCAGAAATACTTTGTAAAAAATTATTACCAGCAATACATTTTCAGAAAAAAATATTACCAGCAATAAAAATCTTGTTGGCATTAAATAACCTTATTCAGATTGATATAGCGTAAAATAAAACAAACCAAACCTATGAATGTTCTTTTCTTTCCTTTTCTGTTATCTGTGTACACACAAAACTATTTTCTCTCTTTTTGAATCATGTTATTCTTTATATAAGAAGAGATATGTAAATTTCCTCCACATGTTGAATTTGTTTCTTTTGAAACTTTTCAGCCCATTCATCGCAATCTTTAAACAACTGCGAATGTTACAAAGTAGCACTACTCACTGCATACAAACTGGTGGCCAACAGCAACATCATTCATTCAATTCTTTAGCTCAGTTTCACTATACTATCATAAACAGTACTCAAAAACAAAAACTTGATGCAATTCTGCTTATACTAAGTAAATGACTTTCACCTTTCCTCTATAAAATGGCCAACTTTACATAAAAATCATCAAAAATCAATGTTTTACTCACAATAACTTCTTCAGCTTCATGTACCAAAATGGCGGACTTCGCTTCAAGTTCTGCATTGAGTCGTCTGAAAGATTTTTAGAAGAACCAAAAATGGATGAAGGTTTTTAAAATTATGACCCACAATAAAAATATATATTTCTCAGATTTAATCATAATGATATTAGGGAAAAGAATTTAGATTTTCTAGAAGAGAAAATTCAAGATCAAAATGTCCATAAAAAAGGAATCAAATTTCAGCAATATTTAACCTTCATGACCATAAAAAAATGGTGTGTCCAAAGGATAGTTATTCCTTTGACACTGCTATTACTGTTTACACTTGTCACTCTCTTGATAATGTCTAATGTTTTAAAAAGCAATGATTAGAATTTGAACAATACCCAAACATATGAAAGTTGATTTATACATTTTCTTTATTCTTGTGAATTGGCAACAAAGATCTGTCTATATTTCTGAGATGAGGTATTATAACTATTTACATCATTTGCACTGTTGTCCACATCTTTATTACCATATTCACATTTCGGCCATTGTACAAGCCGGAATTCTTCAGGTGGTATTTCTTAGAATTTCAAAGGACACATCTCATCTATATCTATAATTCTCAAAATGTTTGTGTATGTATGTGTGTATGCATGGGTATGTGTGATCGGATATTGTTTATGTGTTGCCACAGTTTTCATCTGATTTTGATAAGAATTTTTTTTTTTTGATAGATAATTCTTCAGTGCCAGTTTTGAGTCCAAACTGGCTGAAAAAATTACAACCTTGAAGGTGAAAAATTGAAAAACTGATTTTTTACACTTCGTACAAAAATCAAAAGCAAAATTTAATGTCTGTAAAAATCAGCGTACAATCAATTTAGAGAGTTGAAATCTAACGCAAAAGATTCTTAGAATTATAAAAATAATTATATTATAAATAAAAATTATCGTATATTATTATGACAGTCCATGGAAGAGGCTCCTTCCTTCCAAGAATGAAAACGCAAAAACAGCCCTTTTCAGGACCCCCCCCACTTCAAATGATTTTTAGGTGGGCTGACTTTAAACTTAAACTGCTCCAACTGAACGGCAAAAATTCCCAGTAATGAAAGACCTGGTCAAAGATGAGTTATACTGCTAATAATAGATAAAAGCTTTGTTTGAGTAATCCAAAAAGTGACTTGACCCAGAGAGTTGTGAGTTCAATACCTGACCACAGCAGAGGGAACAAAAACTTAGAAAGTTGAGTTGCCAAGAAGAAGTAACTGAAAGTGAGATATCCAAAAAAGCCATGGCACATGGAATAAGAATAATCTAAATAACTAAATAATGGGTTCTGTTTAAAATTCAAAATTTGGCCAGAGCGTACAACAGCCAAAATGTTGTTAATATGAGACAGCAGTCCGAACAATGTTGTAAATTGACAACAAAGATATTGAATACTATTATTTATTAGATTGCTTATTTACAAGAATAATTGTATATAGTGGAATGTTTTCTTGTTGCTTTCTCTATGGCTTTGAATTCAAAGTAGGCCATCTCTTAGACTGGCTACCACCCAAGGCTATAGAGCACACTCTATTATTTAATCCATAGCTAGAGGGAGAATATATGGATTCATTCCTTTCCAAAGAGCACTAGTGTAAAAGTGAATGCAGTAGAATATATGTGAATTTTAACTCTGCTTGTCAATTCTATTTTCTGTGCTGAGAACCATTGCACTACACATTCACGTCTCTTCAGAATGTAGGCAATAATGGCTCTCCACAGCTTCCTTTTCTTTATTATCTCTGAATTGTTATATATTTTTTGGCAAGATATTGAAGAGATTTCCCATTACCTTTTTCAAAGTTTTGAATTCAAAGCTAAAGAATCCGATGTAGCCTGCAATTTAACTGATAGCTGGAGAGGAGGGGAAGGAATGGATTCATGCCTCTTCCAAGGGGTTTAGGACAAACAAACATTGTAGACAAGGCTGTGATTTGAACTTTGCTCACCCATTCTAATTTCCATGCTGACAATTGTTATATGACTCACACTAGTTGTCTTATATACATTCAAATCCAATAAAATCCATTTAAATCAAGGTGAATCCAAAGGTGTTCTTGAAGAGAAAATCAACATCCTCTACAAAGTGTTCCAAGAAATGAGACTCAAAATAAACCTTTCCAAAACTGAAACTATAATCTGGAATTGGAATGAAAGCAATGATGTTAACGACCCTGAATCCATTATAAAAATTCAGAATGTGAATTTAATAAATACTAAACACTTCAAATACCTTGGTATATGAATCAATTTAAATACAGGAGATAAGGAAATTGAATGTAGCATAGGCTGCGCAAGAGGTAGTTTCGCCCCAAACCACAAATTGCTACAAAACGAAAACATTATTTAATAGTATAGTATCTTATATTATACTAGACAAATTTATATTATTTAATATTATATTATACAAGACACATTTATATTATATTATACACATTTATATTATTGCACTTTACAGATATAAAATGAATTCAGTAAATATACAAAAAGAGAAAGAGTTGTGAGACAAGGATGTATCTTCTCATGGAACTTTAATCTTTAAAATGATTTCTTTTCAGAGGCCATTGTTCTGATGAAGAGCTGGGTCTATGCTAATGACATAGGTATTAATAGTTGCGATAAAAATGATCTTGAACAAAAAAAATCAACAACCTTAACCTCTACCATGAAATAGGACCCAAAATAAACCTTTCCAAAACTGAAACTATGATCTGGAATTGGAATGAAAGCAATGATGGCACCGACCCTGAATCCATCATAAGAATTCAGGATGTGAATTTAATAAATACTAAATACTTCAAATACTTTGGATCAGTTATAATAAATTTAGTGTAGGAGATAAATGTAGCCAAATGTGTTGAAAAAGTGGCAAACAAGTTCATTGTGAACGCCAAAGAAAAAAATTCACAAGCAATTTAGAACAATTTATGTTAACGACAATTTACCAGCAACAACAGCTCAAACAATTCACTGACCACAAGGCAATACTAAGAAACAAAACAGTCCCCACAGTAATTTGGTTTTGTATTATATAGAGTCTACTTCATATATCTCGAAAAGTCTTGTATGACTTTAATGTTTTTAAATATTTTTACTTGGAGGGGGCAGCTATTTTCCTTTCTGGATATTTTACATGCATTAGCTCTTTGTGTTAGTAAGTCATTTTGTCTTTTAATCTTTTTTCAGTGGGGGAGGGCAGTCTTTTGCTTCCACTCCAATATAAGGAAATTGAATACAGAATAGGCTGCACTCGGGGTAGCTTCCCCTAACACCACAAATTGCTAAAATAACAAAATATTATCAGATCATTTTCTTAAATAGTCTCATCAAAACAAGACTTGATGACTAGATGTTATGCATGGTATCAGACTCTTTCAGAAATATCTAAACTGTCAGCTGTATAAAACCATTTTCTCAGATCAATGACTAAAATGGCCTTGAGTGAATGGAGCATGTAGGTCTTGGTGAAGACTATTCTTCCAATATTGTAGACTTGTGAATCACAAAGAATTGTACCAAATAACTGAAAACACATCACTTGGGAACTTTCAACAGTAGCAACAACTAAAATGGATAGCACATGTAACTCAAAGGGAAAATAGAAATATGACATAATCAATATTTTGATGTTCCACATGACTTCAAAGAAAAAGTTAGGAAGGAAATTACTATCGGTACTGGAAATCAGCAACTGAAATAGAGAAAACTATTTTCCTGAAAAAAGATTTTTATAAATTTCAACAATAGTACAAGCTGCTCAGTCAATGAATGCCAAATGTTTCTTTATAAGGAAACATCTAATGTTACCCTTACTCTTGATCTGAATGAATTTATAATTGATACTTTTTGGTCAAAATTTACATTGTTCAGACTGTTGTCCTCATCTTTATTGCCATATTCACATTCAACATCTCTCTCTATTTCTCAGATGAGGTATTGTAACTATTTACACTATTTACATTGTTTGGACTGATGTCCTCATCTTTATTGCCATATTCACCTTCAACATCTGTCTCTATTTCTCAGATGAGGTATTGTAACTATTTACACTATTTACATTGTTTGGACTGTTATCCTCATCTTTATTGCCATATTCACCTTCAACATCTCTCTCTATTTCTCAGATGAGGTATTGTAACTATTTACACTATTTACATTGTTTGGACTGTTATCCTCATCTTTATTGCCATATTCACCTTCAACATCTCTCTCTATTTCTCAGATGAGGTATTGTAACTATTTACACTATTTACATTGTTAGGACTGTTGTCCTCATCTTTATTGCCATATTCACCTTCAACATCTCTTTCTATTTCTCAGATGAGATGTTGTAACTATTTACACTATTTACATTGTTTGGACTGTTGTCCCCATCTTTATAGCCATATTCACCTTCAACATCTGTCTCTATTTCTCAGATGAGGTATTGTAACTATTTATACTATTTACATTGTTTGGACTGTTATCCTCATCTTTATTGCCATATTCACCTTCAACATCTGTCTCTATTTCTCAGATGAGGTATTGTAACTATTTATACTATTTACATTGTTTGGACTGATGTCCTCATCTTTATTGCCATATTCACCTTCAACATCTGTCTCTATTTCTCAGGTGAGGTATTCTAACTATTTACACTATTTACATTGTTCAACATCTGTCTCTATTTCTGGACTGTTGTCCTCATCTTTATTGCCATATTCACCTTCAACATCTGTCTCTATTTCTCAGATGAGGTATTGTAACTATTTATACTATTTACATTGTTTGGACTGATGTCCTCATCTTTATTGCCATATTCACCTTCAACATCTGTCTCTATTTCTCAGATGAGGTATTGTAACTATTTACACTATTTACATTGTTTGGACTGTTGTCCTCATCTTTATTGCCATATTCACCTTCAACATCTCTCTCTATTTCTCAGATGAGGTATTGTAACTATTTACACTATTTACATTGTTTGGACTGTTGTCCTCATCTTTATTGCCATATTCACATTCAACATCTCTTTCTATTTCTCAGATGAGGTATTGTAACTATTTACACTATTTACATTGTTTGGACTGTTATCCTCATCTTTATTGCCATATTCACCTTCAACATCTCTCTCTATTTCTCAGATGAGGTATTGTAACTATTTACACTATTTACATTGTTTGGACTGTTGTCCTCATCTTTATTGCCATATTCACATTCAACATCTCTTTCTATTTCTCAGGTGAGGTATTCTAACTATTTACACTATTTACATTGTTCGAACTGTTGTCCTCATGTTTATTGACATATTCACAACATACACTCTGGACTTTTCTGCTAAAAAATGGTTACTGGTTATTTATAAATCCCAAAAATTCACTCACTAATGTCTCCAAGGACACATGGCCAAGTGAATAAAAGCATCAGAGTTGTGAGTTCAGTGTGGCTGAATGGTCACAGCAGATGGAACCAAAACTTAGAGAGTTGAATTACTAACAATTAACTCTAACACATATCCAAGGATATGGTATGTGGAATTAATACAACCCAAAATTATCCCACGGACTAAATAAAGGGTTCAGTTTGAAATTCCAATGTATATTACCTGAAGAAAGCCAGAGTGTACAGCAGCCAAAATATTGTGAATATGGCAATAAAGATAAGGACAACAGTGAACAATGTAAATAGTATTTAAATAATCCTTTTTTATCTCCTAATTATTTTAACAACTTATTCAGAATAACTTGCTTGTTAACTTGCTTAGACATTAAACACCCAAGGCACTTGTCCTCACTGAAGAGTTCCTTTTATAGAAATAGTTCAAGGGAAATAACTGATAATTCACATAACTGACCCTGGCTCAGACAAATCTTTCTTTTATATTTGCCTTTCATTTATTTTCAACTTATAGACTAAGCAATATTTTCCTTTTTTATTTCATCAAATACAAACGAAAACATGAAAAAATTATAATGGAAATGATAAGTGTATTATTTTTCATTTCTTCTTAGAAATGTCTGACTCAGTCAAAAATACTTATCTTACTTATAAAAATACTTAAATCTTACTTATATTCTTCTTCTTTACCACTTAATTCATTAGTTTTTGATTTTGTTTTCAACAGACCACTTTTCGGTGGATGGGTTACTTTTCGATTCACTGTAGACATTGGTTTTTGATTTTTGATACTTTCCACAAATTCACAGACAATTCACATCTAAAAAAAAAAATAAATTAAATTAAGGATATGAATTCAATAACTGAAAATTTCACATATTAAAACATTTGATCAGAAAAAGGTTAAGACAAATTTTACGGGATGAGGAGTTATTATTATTTACACTATTTATATTCAGACTGTTGTCCTCATCTTTGTTGTTATTATCACCACCACATGTGTTGTGATAAAAACAACAAAGATGAGAACAATAGTCTGAATATAAATAATGTAAATAAGAAAAAGGTTCATTTCACATTTTTAAAAATACTGAAATTGGAGTTCTACAGGGTGCGATGGATAAATTGTCATTTAAATTACACAAAAATGAAAATAACAGTTGGTGAATGCTGCCATAATCCTTGCCTTCAGTTCATCTTTGGTGTTACAAGGAGTTTTGTTGGTCTGTCACTCAATTGTGCCCCACACATAATAATCAAGGGGTTTGCAGTCTGGGGAGTTAGGTGGCCAAATGAAAGGGGTGATGTGGTTGCAGAAATTGTCTGGCAACTATCACTGGGTTCTCCTGTTTGTGTGGCATGGTGAAAAGTCCTGTTACCAGATAAAGGTTCTTCCAGCAGCCACCCTCTTGACCCAGAGTAGCACTACCTCCTCAAGACGATGTAGGCCTCTGTGTTAAGTCTGAGGCCTTCACCAACAAATTTGGTAGTTCTTTTCTTATCAGAACAATCAGAGTGACTTTTCCAAGTTGCCATACCTTTGTAATCACCATTAGACTCATCTAACTCTTTTTGAATTCTCAGCACTAGAAATATATAATGGTGACAATTTACCCATTGCACCCTATAAATTAGAAATATGTAATGGTGAAAATTTACCCATTGCACCCTATAAATTAGAAATATATAATGTTGACAATTTATCCATTGCACCATAGGAATTAGAAATATGTAATGGTGAAAATTTACCCATCGCACCCTATAAATTAGAAATATACTAGCAGCAGAGCCCAGCGTTGCCCGGGGATATAACAGTAAGAGATAGATCAAGTATCCACCATCATAAAGACTGAAAAATAAAATTGACAAAGATTATTGTTTAAGGTTGACGGACACGCATGTCTTAATTATTTTTTTTTTTTTTTTTTTTTTTTACGAATTGGTCAAACCCAAACTCAAACAAAAACATTGTTTTCAATCATTATAAGTCTACCGATTGAATAAAATAACTTTATAAACAATTGTCTTGTAAATGGAATTTTTAAAGCATTCTGAATGTAAAAATAAAGAAAAAAGTGTGCAAAACAATAAGAATCACATGCCAAAAAAAAAGTGAAGTTTTGTTGAAATCAGTTGAAAAATGTAGGTAGCCTTTCTGTAATCTTTTAGTTTTACAATTTATGATTTTTACTTATTGAATACAGTAAAAAAAATTGCATATTTTGCTTGTGGTGATTCATAATTAGAATTCTGATTTGAATATATTTTCCACTCGTTGTTTCTAATACAAAAAATATTAACTTTATTTGGGTTTATTAATTATGATCTAACAAATCTTATTCATTTAGTAGCCTTTCTGTAATAATAATCTTTTACAATTTATGATTTTTACTTATTGAATACAGTAAAAAAATTGGACACCATGTGTATTTAAAGTAGTTTCCCATTCCGGTTATTATTTTTAGTTAGGACTTGTGAATGTTTAGATTTCATTATCTTTCCCTAAAGATAAAGAATTTATTCCGATGTTTGTATTCATACAATCAGTAGAGATCGTTAGATTATTATTTAAGGTTGACGGACACGCATGTCTTAATTATTTTTTATTTTTTTTATTTTTTACGAATTGGTCAAACCCAAACTCAAACAAAAACATTGTTTTCAATCGTTATGAGTCTCCCAATTGAATAGAATTTTATTATAAATAATTGTCTTGTAAATGGAATTTTAAAGCATTCTGAATGTTAAAATAAAGAAAAAAGTGTGCAAGAGAATAAGAAACACTACCTGCCAAAAAAAAAAGTTAGTTTTTGTTTTATTGGCTGAAAATATAGGAAATCTGCTCCCATATTTAAAGGAACCCCACACACAAACAACCCGATGTGAGTTGTCCCCTTCCATTTTCACGATGTCTCTTAATCGTGTTTTCAAATTGATTTTGTGCAAAAACAATTATATTTTTCCCATTTTTGGCGCTGTTAGAACCACCACAAGGTAATTTTATGTAGTCCTGTGAAGTTTTGTTGAAATCGGTTGAAAAATGTAGGAAATCCGATCCAATATATAAACGTTACAGACACACACACACAATCTGCATTTTATAATAAGTAATATAATGGTGACAATTTACACATCGCACCATATGAATTAGAAATATGTAATGGTGACAATTTACCCATCGCACCCTATAAATTAAACAGTTGTTACCCTCTGATTTAAGTGGATTAAACTAGCACAAAGCAAAAATAAAATTGAAGATGGTCACCCAAGGATGATGATAAATGGTCTGTAATATTAATATTCACAAAGGGTAACAAAGAGAAATGAAAACCAATTTATCAAACAACAACAACAACTTAGAGATTAAAAGATAAAATCTGGTTCAAAGGTCATAATCATGTAAAAGCTTAATTATCCAAAAGCATGTTTTGAAAAAAAAAAGTTAATTACTTTACAGCTAAGAGAAGATTAATACTTATTTGTTATGAGACAAAAAAAAATCTCTTTTCTAATAAAAAGATATATTCCTGAAATGACCCCATAAATTATAAAATTAATTTTGCTTGGCTGAAATTAGCTTAAGCTTTTAATCACTATTGATGACAAAATAATAAATTTGTTCCTGGAAAGAGATTATGCAAGAATAAAAATTTTAAGCTAACGCCTACTTTTTTTGTGGCTGAGTTGAAAATTAACTATGTATTAAAATATTTAATTAAGTCTGTAATATTTCCATGTGGTGTGTTTCAGTATGAAAGAAAAGGAAATCCGTTTGACAATTGTTTATTTCAAGTTCACATTTTCAAAATGTATATATAGTGTCCATGTCTCCTGGTGAGCTCTCATTTTTTTTTATTTCACACCATGTCAGAATCTCGTTCAGGAATGTCCTATATCAAGGGATGTAACTCTGGTTACTAATTTCTGCACACATGCTACAAAATCATGTCTATAAGTAGGACACTGCTTACCCAAATTAAATTTGATTCTGAGAGTATAACATTTGCCTAAGAGAAAAGATTAACTAGAATAGGCAATAAAATTTTTTCAATTCTGTTGTCATTTAGAGTCAATATACATTGGGTCCTGGGGAAATAAATATCTCTTTAATAAAAATTCATAAAATGTTAAAATCTACATTATAAAAGAAGAGACGATCCTCTGTGCATCATACATTGTCCGAGTTCAACTTTGCATACACACACACACACACACACATATATATATATATATATATATATATATATATATATATATATATATATATATATAGGTAGGTAGGTACCTCCAAAGAAAAGTAATACCTAAGGTTTAAAATTAATTCTTAAAAATAAAACTCTTTCTTAAATCTTTCATTTTAGTTTTAATTTCAAGATTAGATTTAATATTTACAATAAGCAAAATATTTTACTGTATTTCAAAACTAATTTAAATTGATTGAAATCAGTTTATTTTTTTAAATCAATGAAAATGGCTGATTTTAACTCTCAGCATAACATAATTCCCTTTATAAAAAGTTTTCAAAAATAAAATATACTTTTCTGAAACTTTATTTGAGAAGACAAGCTGATTTAAAGTTTAATTAATCTGATTTGAAATGAATATTACTTACTTTTAGTTTAAAATAAAGGATTTTTTTAACATGGAGGTAGGTGTTTTTATGAAGTGTTGACAACTATCTTGATCTGTTCAGAATTTTTTTCTATGGAGGACATATTTGTAAAAAATTACTTGACAAATATAATTTTTTAACTACCCAGTAAGTTTAAACATTCAAGAAAATATATGTTTTAAATCCTTTAGTTTTTCCTATTAATAAATACAAAGGTTTTGATAATTAAATATTTTTATTAAGTTTGGGTCATTTTTTCATCATGTCTGTTCACTTTTAGTGAATTATGTCTATGTCTGCATTGCATGCCACAAATGATTTATATGTGCTTGTGCTGTCTAATGTATACAAAAGCACACACATACACACAATTTGATAGAGTTTGAAATAAGATATTGGAATAATACATTCTCCTCCCACTCAGTCTAGACAACTCCTACCCTAGACTGAGCAATAAAGTTGGAAGCATGGCAAAAAAAAAGAGAAAAAAAACACTAAATTTTTTAAACTTGAAAAATGAAATAACTATAAGGTTTTGTTGAATTTTTCAGAAATTATTCAGTAATAAATAATATTATGTTTTAAATTTTGTAGAAATATTTTTAGATCTGACATTAGCATAAACACACAATTTGAATGAAATTGAAATGGATATCTATGTTTTAAGGGCTAATTTCCTGTTCTGTCTGGCAAAAACTCCTGGGTAACAGGAAAATAGTATAAAACTTAATGTGTGATCATTTGTAGTTATTTTTATTAGTCATATCATGTGTGTGTGTGTATATATATATATATATATATATATATATATATATATATATATAAATTTTATCCTTTAAACTTTATCTTTAGTGGATACTCATAAAGGGAAAAGCAAAAAAAAATAATTTTTTAAATCCTAAATAACCTTTTTTTAAATCTCTTTGTAGCAAATCTGTAGCAGGTCCCAATACAATTTACTCAGTGATTCTTCAGATGACATAGAAAAGGGTTACACACACACAATATATATATATGAAGAAATATAGTTTTAAGGTGTACTATATTTATGGGATAAAGTGTTCAATATCAGAGATAGAACATATGTAAATATAAATATAAAAGTGAACATTGAAGTCAACATTCAGAGGCAACAGGCTGTTTCATGTTGCCTCTATATA